AAGGACTCAATTCCGCCTCCCCTTCTTTCGCCCCTCCGTCTGCCTTTCTGCCTTCATTCATTCCGCTTCACCTCATCCATCTCTTCCATCCCACCTTCCCCACAACTTCCCTGACCGCAGCTTGCATTCTGTTGGACGCGTGACTGCAAGCACATGGCGCCTCTCCAGGGAAAACAGATCCGAGCGTACATCGACAACACTAACATCACATCTGTGATCGGGCCTGACGGCCTGGCAGGGCAATCTGTCGTACTCATCAGCATTCAACCCTCTTGCGCCAACACAACCAACATCATAACGCTCAAGGACGGTGTCGGCACCTACAAATTCGGCGAGACCCAACGCCTGGTGACAATCCCCAAGCCCGGCATTGAAACGTTGGACGTGGACGCAAGCATTAGTGAGGATTGCAACGACGAGTGGTGAGGTTGGATGCGGTCGGGCGAACCATGGGTCGCTGGTGCTGGTGCGTACAATGGGTGTTGGCGCGTACGTTGTGCGGTGTAAACATAGCAAACACCATCCTAGGAATACCGGTACCCGTTGTTGTTGTTCACCCACCATGTTTGGCGTACGTGCTACTTTGCATGGGTGCATGCTCCCCAACTAACTGCACCTCCATGCATTGCGCAGGATCATGGTGTACATCAATGTCGTGCACGACTCAGGCGGCACGACTCCTCCACTGCCCTCCGCGTCGTGCCCTTGCTGGCCGCGAGCCGAGGCCAACGGCACGTGTTCAGGCATCAAGGTCCCTATCAAACTGGAAACGCTAGACGTGCCAAACGGCCAGTCCGTCATGCAGTAAGTAGGAAATGAACGTACGGGCGCAGCTTGGTTCGACGGGAGTGCAGAATTCTGACGGGATTGCCTGTACGATATTGCGTTCCTTGGGTACGGCAATGTTCTAAGCGTGCACCAGTACAAGGAGGCAAAGCAAGGGGGTTTACCTGATGGCACATGCATGCATTCCTTCCTGAACCTCCCCTTCCCTTCCCGCCAGGTGCATCGACCCTGCCAACTTTGATATCTTCACAGGCAGAATGGCATACAGGTGAGTTCTCTTCAGTCACCCAACGGTACGGTAGCTAGTAGTCATGTAATTGCCACTCTTCAAGTCAGCCATTGGTCACGCGCCTGCACCTATCTGACATGCAGCCGGTAGTGATTGCCCCTCCTAACAACCTCTGGGGTGGCCCCAAATCTACATCAGCCCACCCTAAACATATGTCCCAAGTTCCTGTCGTACACACCGTGATTGTTGCCGTACACCCCTGCCTGCTGCCAGCTACTGTTGGCGCTACGCCTGCCTGCCGGACGTGTTCGCAACCACTCGGTTCAAGGCCACGTGCACGGATCTGGAGCGATTTAACATCGCCAAGATGAATGGCAAATACAAGCTGGCCATGCAGCGAACCGAGGGCGTGCAGATGTTCGTGACAGGTGAGGCGGGCTCACTCGCTCGATGCATGTCGGGCCCTTGCGGTTAGTGGCAATGGCTTAGAATCCAAAAATATGCCCCACCTTCTGTAGACCCCTTCATTCGGCTTGCATTGGCGTGTAATCTATGGGTGTGCGTGCGAGTGGTACATTCTTACCGGTAATGCGTGCCCGCCACATGTTCTTAAGCCGACCGCCCGGATCCGCCTCAAAAATCCCCATCCTGGTTGCATGCTCCGACCCGCCATCAGGCAAGCCGAAAAACGCCAGCCTACCCACGGTGACCTACACCGTAGCAGAAGACGGCAGCTGGATCACGCTTCCTGAAGGCGGCGTCGGCAACTTCACGTTCGAGTACGTCATTCCCTCCGGTTACGACGACCTATCGGCTGCTGTGGTTATGGATGCGTCCCCCCGGCCACCGCCGCCCCCCTCGCCCCCGGGCCCTCCCGGCTCCTCCTGCGGCTGTCCGCTGGTGCCGGAGCAGACCGTGGGCGGTGCTGCGGGCCGCTGCAACAGCAGCTATGCGACGCTGACTGTACGGCTGGCGAATGACAGCAACACCAAGTTCTACCAATGCGTGCCGTGGCCGAATTACGGTAGGTGAACGGTTTTGTTGCCGTACATGGGGATAAGGTTGAAGGGATGTGCTAGTTGTAAGTAAGAGGCTCGTGTGGTTGACCCGGACGAAACAATAGCATTGTGCAACTCTGGACGGACCCACGGGTCAGTGCCACGGCCTAAACATCGTTCTACGCCTCGTCTGGCCTCCGCTTTCCCTAACGCTTTTCCAAATACGTGTCTAACCCGATGCAACTGTTGTACAGACATCTACCTGCGGGAGATGGCCTGGAGCCACTGTTGGCGGTAAGCGGGGAGGGAGCGATGTGCGGCGTCGTGTTAAGAAAAATGGCCACGTCGTGGGTGTCCCTCCGGACGCACGTAGGCCCTCTTCCCGACGGACATGGACAACACCTTGCTTCGCAGCCTCAGCTATCATGAGAACACGACGGTGCTTCTAGCAGAGAGGAATGTCTCTCTATGGAATGATGTCCTGACGTACCGGTATTGTGTTTGCCTTGGCCCGCCGCAGGTACGACTGCTTGCCGGCAGCCTTCTATGGAAGGGCCTACAACCTCTCCATAGACCAGGTCGATAAGTACAACATCAGGAGCATCACACCCGCTCGCTACACGTTGCTCAACTTTGTCGCACCGTTCGGAATGCGAATCGACACGACCATCAACACCGTTGACGGTTTGTCCAGCAAGTACGACTCAACCGTTGGGACGTTGCTGGTCAACGGCCGCCAGCAAACCATCACCATTGGCGCCAAGGTCAGCAATATCAGCATCCAGTTCTACATTCCAGCCGTTTGGGGTATTGACGGTTTGGCAGCTGCGGTTGTCATGCGCTACATCGATGGCTCAGCGTTTCCGCTGCCACCATCTCCTCCCAGCCCTCCACCGGCCCCGCCCGCGCCCCCTCCCTTGCCAGTCAGCGAGCCCCGAATCCTGGTGAGCAGTGACCACAAAACGCGCTTGTTGACGAAACCACACATCTGCCGGTTTAGCTTCACGACTACGATTCAAACTGTGGTGCCTCTCTCTGCCGCGCCTGAGTGGTGCAACTAACCTGAAAGGCTGCCGTGAATTCGGACCCATGTGCAGGTGACCACAATCTTCGTGATCATAACCGAGGTGCCCCTCTCTGCGCTGCAAAACGTCAGCGGCGTGTCGCCCTGCGGGTAAGCTTGGCGAGTAATGCGGACTGGGCTTCCCTGCCTGTGGCCACCGGTCGCTGACAGGCAGCCGGCAGCCCTATCTTTCACGCACCGCGCCTGTGTTTGCGCCCTCCTCCAGCAGCCCTCTCCCTTCCCATTCGTGTCCTCAGCTCCTCAACTTCACAATAACTTACCTAGTAATAATCCGTAAGAATCCCATCCATTTATGCATGCAGGTACTCGATTACAATCCCCATCCAGTTCTACGACTTCTCCCTCGTACCGGATTGTACGGAATCCAGCAGGGCGTTGCTTATTGCACTGCTTGCCAAATCAGGCTTCCCCTTCGCAACCTGCTCCTGCCAGTACAGCGTCCCAACCACAGGGCAGCCCATTGCACGCCGTTTCATGCGTGCCGTGTCACGTTTTGGGCGCTGGCTGGCTGAGGGCATCACCGGCAGCAGCAGCGGCAGCATGGATGCCATTGGCCCCTTGGTCACCGTCACAGTCGACAATACCTTAACGGACAAGGCTGCAGCTCAAACGACCACTGCAAAGGCCCTACAAGCAACGTTTGCGGAGGCAGGTGAGGTGCAGAATGTGGCCAGCACCAAGCTGCTTGTAGCCGTGGACAAGACCCTGAAGGTGGCTGCGGACAACTCAGCAGATCCCTGCAGCAGTGATGCAGTCCTGCAAGATGCGAGTCGGGCAGTGATCAGCCAGGTCACCGATGCCTCCGGAAACTCAGTGCTGTCTGCGGATGATCTCGTGGCCAAGCAATGCAAAAGCAAGATCCAAAGCGCTTCTGACGGCAGCTCCGCTGACGGCGGTGGCAGCGGCGGCAGCAGCGCTCCCACTTCTAGCCCTGCAGTATCAAGCGCAGGCGCAAACGGTTCATCCCTGTCAGCAGCAGCCATCGCAGGCATTGTGGTTGGCTGCTTGTTCGGCGGGGTTGTGGTGGTTGTGGTGGTGGCTTCCGCGATCAGGCATCGCAACCGCAACCATTACGCGGTGCACAGCGACTTCGCGGGTAATGAGCAATACCAGACGGCTGGACGCTGGCGGTCCTTTGGCATGCGGCGTGAGAGGCAGCAGGCCCTTGCTGGTCACAACCCGGTCGTGGCGCTTGACGGTTAGGAAGCGATGCCGCTTGTAGCCATGAGTAAATTGATGCGAATGTTGCGTGTTTATTACTGCTTTGAAGTGTAGTCTGTTTCTATTATAGGATGCCCTTGCATGTATGCATCAGTTGCTGCACATGCAACGATGGTGCCCTTGCAAAGTGCTTGTGTGTAGGGTTTTATGCGTGTTTATTCTGCTGCCTCTTGCTTGTACATGCCCCGTATTCATATGTCATATATGTACATCATTCCATCCATCTGGAGCCGCTAAAAAAGAAAACTTCATGCCCTGTGATCGTTTTAACAACTTTTGGCTACTTGATTTTGTTTTTTCGGGTCTACGGCAGGGAGCACTGTTTGGGTTTGGAGGCAGGAGACAACGTGACGAACTAAATCCGAAGGATCTTAGACGTTTGGTGGGTCCGTGTTTCCAACTACGGTTTGAACTGTGGCTAATATAGTGTGCATGGACGGGGGAACAAGAGGAATGGGGAGGAGGTGTGACGACACTACTGTACAGTAAATGATAAGCCCTCAAGCGTCTTGTCCTAAATGTGTGCCTACCCTGTGTACATGTGTCCTTTTTGCCGCTGAAAAGCGTTTTTGTGTGGGTCCCAACGGTTTGGTACGACGTGTATGTAACTATTGCTGGGCGGGAGATTGGAATGGACCAGCAGGGGAGCAATTGTACTGCACAAGCTCACGTGAGAGCCATGCTCATGTTCTTTGGATACCACGCCAACCCATTGCTGAGGTCCAAAGTCTATTGCACGCATGCGGAACGGTTCGTACAACCGTCCGTTGTATTTTGGCGAATGGCGAATATATGGACCTGCTTGCTACAGACCACGTCCCAACCTTGCTACAGACCACGCCTCTGCAAGACGCGTGACGTATGCACGCATGCATGCAAAGCAAGCAACCTCATCTGCCAAGCAACCACCGAGTACGGCTGCAGTGAAGCCGTCGTACAGGAACGTACCTCCACCCGCAGCATCACCGCCCACCACCCCCTCCACAAGCACTAGGACCGGTCACACTCTACCTCTCCTTTCACAATCTCCAAGCTCTGAACAGTCTTCATTACCCTCCTCGTCAACAGCGAGGTCTTGATGCACGCATGCTAGCATTGCGCCTGCAGCACTCCCACTCCCATCTCGTCCACACACGCTCCCACTCATCGCTCAACGTCGAGACTCCGCTTAGCTATCTCCCGCGGCGCACCGCTAGAACCCATGCCCCTCCAAGACAGACACCCCTTAGAGCCGCCCCACGCCCCTACCTTCATCCAGGATTCATCCAGGATTGGAAAGCTGCTAGATGGGCGCGCATGTGTCGAGCGAGAACGCCAGGTGCTGCTGCTTGCCGTCTAGCCCGGTGGCGATTCCCCCTCCGTTAGCGTCCCGGATGGTCAGGTGCACCACGCCTTGTTCCCAGTCCACCTGATCGACCGTACGTGAAGGTGGGGGCGGGCAATAAAGGAAGCCAGTCAGCAGAAGCCTGCAGCTCACCTGTACTTCAAACACGACTTGCACATGGCCACCACATGGCCACCACATGGCAGTGCATGGCCACCACATGGCAGTGCATGGCCACCACATGGCAGTGCATGGCCACCACATGGCAGTGCATGGCCACCACATGGCAGTGCATGGCCACCACATGGCAGTGCATGGCCACCACATGGCAGTGCATGGCCACCACATGGCAGTGCATGGCCACCACATGGCCACCACATGGCAGTGCATGTTGTAACACCATGTTGACACCTTCACAGCAATCATCACAGCAGGGAAACTCCGCCCCGGCATACAACGAAGACCCGAGACGCACGGGACCCTCATCACCCTTGCCTAGGTGTAGCAGCGCGAAAAGGCTTACTCGAGATGGCAGGAACCCCCTGGGTCTTGGATATATTCGTGGGTATTCTGGCGCTGGGGCGGGTGTGCCCTGCTACACTAGGCCTGTCAGCTATCAGGGTTGACGCCTTACGAGTAGAGCATGAGGAGGAGGTTGGGCGGGGCGTCCCCTGTTCCCAAACAGCAAGCACCCACTGTTCCCCTCACCTACGGTTCGCTCGTCGTTTCCTCCTTACTCCCACTCCCTACCTCCACCATGCCGAAGTTGGGACGGTCCATGTAGCTGCAGTTCCCCAGCGGCCTCAGCCCCGAGGAGTCCTCCCGGTAGCTGCCCACGCAGGGCGCACCGGCGGCATGGGCGGTGCTGTCTGTCATGCCGCTAGCCATGACCTGCGGGCGGCCGTGCGTGCGTGCGGGGCATGCATGGAGACAGGCATAACGGCAGGCGTCGAGGCATGATGGCAGGCAGGTGATAGTCTGGTAAAGCAAGCAAGCAAGCATGGCAGGTGGATGGCACAACAGGCGGCCTAGATATATGGTGCTTCCGTTCCGTCAATGCATCGCCGTCACAACCGTGTAGCATGGCTTTGCCGAACAGGGCGTTGCGAACAACGGCCTTGCTTCCTGGCTTCTTCTCACAACCTGAAGCGGCTCCAGAATCCTCCTGCACCACACGTCGCACCTGGTACACATGTTTCTTCAACTTGGTCGCCTGCATGAGGACGCAACACCGGGTATACCGACTTGCCAAGTCGCCAAGTAATAAGGGGCAACGAGTATTCGGGAACCTGGCCATGCATGTCTTTATTCACCTAGCCTAGCCTAGCCTAGCGAGCACCCAAGTGAATAGCGATGCAGCAACAGTCCATCCCCCAACCTCCCCGGCTTACCAGCCATGCATGGCAGCATACCCTGTCTCCGAAACCTAACTAACAAAGTAATTAACGTCACTCCATCCATCAGACCGCACCCACCACCGCACGGCTCCCCTCACCTCACCCACCACCAGCCCTCACACCTGAAGCGTATCCACATAAGCCGCCCTGCCGCTGCCGCTGCCACCACCTCCGCCTCCGCCTCCGCCTCCTCCCGCTGCTGCAACTCCCGGCGCCACATGCTTGATATCGCCGAAGTGGAAGTCGCCCGTGAGCACCACCACACAGCCGGAGGACACATTGGACAGCGTGTGCAGCAGGTTGAGCTGCGCAGGCCTCCAGCACTGCAGGGATGCAGGGGGGTGGAGGTGGAGGGACGGAGGCGGACGGATTGAATCATGGGAAGGTCGGGGCGGGCGGCAGACATGCAGGCAGGCGTGGCAGGCAAGCAAGCATGCAGCAGGCAGGCAGTCAAGCAGGCACGGCAAGGTCTCCCAGCTCCGGGGAGGTGTGCAGGCGGGAAGGAGGAGCGGCCGGCAGGTACGACAAGCCGACAGCTAGGCAGGGGATGAGGTAGGGTCGTCCAGAATGGCCCCGTACACATGTGTGTACGGACAAGACAACTCACACTCCACTCGTCGCCCGAGCAGGCGCCCTCCTCCGGGTTGGTCCAGTTCAGGTTGCCCAGCAGTACCGAGCCGCTGGCCACCAGAGTGAGGGCGGCGCGGCTGGCGGCCAGGTGGCGGGACAGCCAGGAGCGCTGAGCGGCGCCCAACACCTCGCAGACGGGGGAGTCGTGGGCCTGGGGTGATGAAGGTGTGGCGGTGGTGGTGAAAAATTATATAAGTGAAACAACGAGTCACAATCCCATATCCCGACTCATGCAGTGAGGTGAGGATGGAGGAGGATGGAACAATTAGTCAGCAGCGAAAGAGTGAAGGCTTGGTAACGGGAGGGTCATTGAAGATGCCGTTTTGCAGTCTGCATGTCACTGTCGTAGCCAGCATGTCTGAGCATTACAACACGCCCAACAAATCCAATCCCTAGCCCCTGCTCCTCTCTGCGCCCTTTTTCCTGATATTCTTCCTCCAACCAGGTGACCCACGGGTCAGTCCCCACACGCACGCGCAGTCACCCCACCCCACCTGCAGCAGCCTGGGCCATAACGCTTGCACGCTGCTGGCATCGTCCCACAGCCGCTCATCAGCGGTCAGCAGCGAGGTGTTGTCAGCGGCCAGAACCAACGGTCGGGAGGCCCAAGAGGAAGAGGTGGGGTCGCAGGCGACAGACCAGAGGGGGCTGTTGCGGCTGCCGGGCTGCCGTACGGTGACGTGCGGTGCCGTACGGTGACGTGCGGTGCCGTACGGTGACGTGCGACATGCATATGCATACGGCAGGGCAGCATGTGTGCGGAGTGTGGAGGAAAGGAGCATGGGCGGTGAGAGGGGTTGAACAGGAGAGAGCGAGAACAGGAGCGTGAGCGGCGAAGCATCCATGCGATACCAATGCATTTGGAAGCATAGTTGAGGATAGGGGGAAAGGATGGAAGCCGGCAAGTCCGCATCACCGGTAGACGGGCACGGGCTGTTGTCATGCGGTGAGCAGTTGCGAAGCCAGCACTCACCAGCGCACACCAGGCAGCGAGGTCGTCGTCCTTGGTGCAGCAGGAGCCGCGACCCGTGGTTCCGTCGTCCAGCAAGAAGTCCCGGCACCAGCCGAAAGCCGTGTGGACCGGCTGTGTGAGGACCTGTTCGCACCTACGAATGGATGGAGCAATACATTGGGGCAACAACAACAATAACAATACGATGGTTGGGATTTTGGGATAGAAAAAGTTGGTGAATGTCGCTGCTTGGCGCTAGTGGACAAGTTGCTTTCTTACATACCACACAACAACAACCGGGGCATCTCGTCTCACCAGCTCCTCCTCAAGCTGCACGGCAGAGGGTCCCGGTACCAGCGCTCGTCCAGCAGCACCAGGTCGATGTCGCGACCCGCCGCCCCGCCGTTGAGCGTGTACACCGCCTGACGGTTAGTTGGTTGGTAAGTTAGTTAGGGAGCGAGCCAGGACCGAGCGAGGGAAAAAAATAGAAGGGAGCGTCGCTGGTTTGTTCGAGGGGCCTAGGGATCCAGGCAGCACGACGGTGAAGGGGCAGCATGGTAGCATGTTAAAGGTCCGTACAGGATAAGCAAAGCATGTAAGCGTTGCTTAGATGTGGTATGTCGCTATATAAGACCCACGTGGATACCGGTACACTGCCAAAGCCCTGTCCATACGCGCTCTCTATACTTGTACGACTGACTACGATGCCACAAAAGTACGGATGGTGGTGCCGTACGAATACTGCCGTACCTGCAGGCCGGCATCCGCGCTGCGCCGCTTGCTGGCGGGTGCCTCCCCGACCGCGTCCAGGTACATGCGCTTGAACTCCGCCTTGTTGGGTAGCCGCCGGTTGCCGTTGTTCTGGGGAAGGGGAGCGACAACGACCAACATGCTAACGGTTAACAATTTCAAGATCAATCCGAAGGCTTCGCTGTTTGCTGGTATGTGCGCGGGCGGATGAGGAAGCGAGAGATCGTGCGCGCGCCCTGTGACAACGGACCTACCCAGCCATAGTCATGGTCGTCGTACACTCCAAAGATGGGTCGGGGACACACCGAAGGGTCGGTCCCGGTTGGGGGAAAGCGGCCGGGTGCTGCTCCGAAACCCCCCTCCGAACCCGTGGCGGTAGTAGCCTCCACGGCTCCCGAGCTCGAGGGCGGACACATGAAGTCCAGGAAGGTCCGGTATTCAGGGCTATGTATCTGCAGTTGCGAGGGGCGCATGTTGCGTTTGACGGGCGACGTTTGAGGTAGGCTATGTAACTGCAGTTGCGAGGGGCGCATGTTGCGTTTGACGGGCGACGTTTGAGGTAGCAAGCAAGGGACCATCCCTCACCACGTCGGCAGTCCCTGTGCTTCCAAAGCAACCCTAGCGCCCCCAGCACCCCGCCTCACCTCCCCCCTCCCAGGTGAGGTCAACTCGTACTTCTGCTCGTACTTCCCGGGCACACCGCCCTTATACTTAATATCTGCCCCAGCCAACACAATTACCCTACAGGCGTATGCGGAATATCCACACTTCTATCCGTGCTGGTCATCCCGATGACCTCAACGCTACTCGGGCGGCCGCCCAGGCCACCCGGGAGGCCTCCTGGGCGGCGAACTTCAAGGCCCTTCGGCGCCGTATTAACGGCCACCTTCGCGCGCCATCAGGGACCATGCCTTTCGAGCTTCGCCACTTGCTGGACACTCGTGACCGCCATCTGGATGCTGACATGCTTTCCGCTGTTCAGCGCACCTATGATCACCCCGGAGTCGTTTACGCCATCTTTGCCCTTCCAGACCGCTCGCGCAAGCGACGCCATCCCGACGCCCGCACACCCAACACGCTTCCCGTGTACGTGGGCCACACCTCCGGCTGCATGTGGTACCGCCTCAAGAAACATCTCGCCAATGCGGGTGCCCCCTCCTTCGCTGCGGAATCCACCGCCAACGCCACCGGACCTCCTCCACCTACCCACTCCACCTTTACCCGCTTCTACACCTACCTTCGCTCCATCCCTCCATCACGACTCGTCATCATCCCACTGGAATACCTGCCAGCCCTCCAGGACCCTCCTTCTCCCCCCAATGCCCTCCCTACCATCACCACCACCATCCCAACTCCAGCCGCCCCCGCCGCCCCCGCCACCCACCCTCCCGCCGCCGCCCCCGCCACCCACCCTCCCGCCGCCGCCCCCGCCACCCACCCTCCCGCCGCCGCCCCCGCCACCCACCCTCCCGCCGCCGCCCCCGCCACCCACCCTCCCGCCGCCGCCCCCGCCACCCACCCTCCCGCAGCCGCCGCCGCCACCCACTCTCCCGCCGCCGCCCCCGCCACCCACTCTCCCGCCGCCGCCCCCGCCACCCACTCTCCCGCCGCCGCCCCCGCCACCCACTCTCCCGCCGCCGCCCCCGCCACCCACCCTCCCGCCGCCGCCCCCGCCACCCACTCTCCCGCCGCCGCCCCCGCCACCCACCCTCCCGCCGCCGCCCCCGCCACCCACCCTCCCGCCGCCGCCCCCGCCACCCACTCTCCCGCCGCCGCCCCCGCCACCCACTCTCCCGCCGCCAACCCCAACTCTTTTCACCCCATCCCCAGCTCCCTGTCCATGGCTACCGCCGCTACCTTCAAGGCTTACGTCTGCTCAATCCCCACCGCTAATACCCCTTTCAAAAAACGGTCCGCGGTCACCGAACCACCTCCTGCCCTCGAGTCTACCAAGAACCAATGGCACGAACACGCTAAACACGTTGAGATGGTCTGGGCGCAGCGCCTCCGCTGCTTCCAACTGTACGGCGGTGTGGGTCACAACATGCGGCTGGAAGTCCGTTCCCTCGCGGACCCTCCTGCTCAACTCCTTGTCGACGGCCCATGCCCCCGAGACGCCACACTCCGCCGGCGCTGGTATGCCTCACGCGACGTCATTCGACGCCTTCGTTACCTCCAAGACCGTTTCTACAATCCTGACCCCACCAAGGAACTCCCCGCTGACCATTTCTCCTCCTTCAGCCCCCACACCCTCCATCGCCTCTACTCCTTCATCACCCACTACTCCCCCACGGACCTTGGATTACACCCTCTCTTCGCCTCATCCCTCGTCGCCCCCCTCTCCGTCGCCCTCAACGCCGCCCTCCCACCCGCCGCAGCGCCCGACGTCAACGCTCGGCTCTGGCTCCCCGCCGCCCTCCGCCAATTTCTCCCTCCCGCTGCCCTCCGAACTATCCTCCAACGACCAGACCTACGACGCCAGCTCCCCGCCAACACCGCCGTTCCCCCTATTCACTGGAAAACTGACCGCACCACTTTTGAGGTATTCTGCAACTCCCCTTCAGTGGCGCGCTCCCTTACTGGCGACGACTACGCCCGGCTCCTCGCTACCCCCTGCCAGTGCCACCGATACCCCTCCCTCTGCCACCCTGTCTTGGGCCACATCCTCACTACCCGGCCTTACGAGCTCTTCCCCGAAAGCCACCGTTTTGAACTCAAGCTTTTCTGGGATCACGGCGCCAACTACCGCCCCCATCGCCCACGACCACCTCGCGATGCCGTCCTCGACGACGTTCTCCAATGCGCCCAGACCTTTGCCCGCCACTATGAACGCCGCTACGGGAAAACCACCGGCGAGTACGAGGACTGGGCCCGCGACTTCACCCAGCTCGTCCGTGACGCCCTTCCCCAACACGCTGACTACAAGTTCCACTGGCCTATCCTCACCCGCGAGGCCCACCACGCATTCCAGGACTTGCTGGAGCACTACGTCGCCACCCGCACCGACAAGAGCTCCGCCACCCTGCAACTCACCTGCAAGCTCTTCTACGTCATGCAATGCATCCGCGACATGTACCAACCCGGTCTCCCTCCCGTGTTTCCCCCGGGGCCTCTGGCTGGAGTATCCCCTTCCCCTCCTCCACAACCCCCACCACCCCACCCACATCCCGCCCCACACGCCACCGCCCCCGCCGCCACCTCCCCTCCCCTCGCTCCCACCACCGCCACCGCCCCCACCACCGCCCCCGACCCCACCACCACCGCCCCCATCGCCGCCGCCACCGCCCCCACCATCGCCCCAACCACCGCCACCATTCCTACCACCACCGCCCCCGCCGCCACCGCCACCGCCCCCGTCGCCACCGTCCCCGCCGCCCCCGCCCCCGCCACCGCCCCCACCCTCGCTCCCACCGCCGCCACCGCCCCCGCAGCCACCGTCCCCGCCGCCCCCGCTCCCGCCACCGCCCCCACCCTCGCCCCCACCGCCGCCACCGCCCCCCATCCCGCCACCGCCTCCACCACCGCCAACGCCCCCAATCCCGCCACCGCCCCCACCACCGCTCCTGCCACCGCCGCCACCACCTCCCCCACCCCCGCCATCGCCACCACCGCTGCCACCGCCACCCCCGCCACCGGCCCCGACCCCAGCCCGCCTCCTCCTAATCCAGCCCACGAACCCCCTCCACCTCCTCCCGGCGCCTCCCCCTTCTACCGACCGTGTGATACCACCTATATGCGCGCCCTCCTCAACCACTACAACCACCTCCTCGGACGCTGGCGCATCCGCTATGACACCACTGCTGGCTCCCCTACGGCCGACCCTGCCTACTACGCTGCCACCGTCAAAATGCACAAGAATCCCCCCGCCATGCGCTTTCTCGCTTGCTCCCATCGTTGCCCCACCACTATTATCAGCGACCTGGTCCTCGCCGTGCTCCGTGCCGTGGACCCCCTGTTCCGGCAGCACTGGACCAACACCCTCCGCCACACAGCCCCCTGGCACTGCTTCTCCTCCGACGCCGCCGTCGCCATGGTCCATACTTATAACGCCCAAGAGTACCCAGCCGCCAACGTCACGCTGCCTCAAGCCTATGACTTCACCCGGCTCTACACCAACATCCCCCATAACCTCTTGCGCAGTACCATTGCAGCCCTCCTACGTACCACCCTCGGAGCCCACCTCTACCCCGGCACTGCTCCCGGCGCCATCTATATCGTGGTGTCTACTACCAGCAACCCCGCCAAGCCCGACGACAAGCCCCGACACAATGTATCCTTCCGCACACGCCCCCTGTCCCAGCCATATTGCCGGGACCATAATACAGAGAAGCGGTGCTTCAGCCTGGACGAGTTCCTCTTACTCTTCCGTACCCTCCTGGCAGCCACTTTCATCCGCTTCGGACCCGCTCTGGTCCAGCAAGTGTGCGGCATCCCCATGGGCATCTCCGCGTCTCCTTTCATCGCCAACCTCTTCCTGGCCTGGTACGAGTTCGACTTCATGTCACAGCGACGCACCTGCTCTGCGAGCGCCCGGAGTCTCCTCGACGGCTTCAAACACAGCTGCCGCTACCTCGACGATCTCATTTCCCTCAACAACCCCCATCTTACTCACCTCCTTTCCACCACCCAGCAATACGAAGGGCTCCACGGCCTCTATCCCCCGCAGCTTCAAGTCGAGGCGCAACAACACCCTCAGTTCCAGCATGGCGAGATGCCTTTCCTCGACCTGCTCCTGGTCCCGACCACTACCACTCAGGGCCGCAGCCGTATCACTACACGGCTGTACGATAAGCGCGTCCAGCCTGCCTTTGAGTCCGTCCGCCTCTCTCGGTTTGTGGGGCGCACTTCTAGCGTCAACGAGGCCAGCAAGCGCAACATCTTCACCGGCCAGTTCCACCGTCTCCGCCGCGTCATCCTGGACCCACACAACTTCTGCTTCGAGATGGCGTTCCTCATCTGTGCGCTTGTCCGGCAGGGCTACGCCGAAAGCCACCTCTGGCAGCAGTACGACCGGCTACTTCACAGTGTACCTTTCCTGTACAGCCTCCAGCGCAAGGAACTGTCCCTGGACCTCTACAAGCGGACGCAGGAGCTCTACAACCAGCACTGGAAGCAGCACGCCCACCTCTAGCGTTTTAGGGATCCACGGCCTATAGATAGGGGCTTCGGCTTTGTGCGGGGCCACGGTTCGGTCGAGTTGGGTTGCCGGGTTAGGTCACGGGTCGGTCGGGTTGGGTTGCCAGGTTGCCGGGTTAGGTCACGGGTCGGTCGGGTTGGGTTGCCGGGTTAGGTCACGGGTCGGTCGGTTTGGGTTGCCGGGTTAGGTCACGAGTCCGTTGGGTTGGGTTGCCGGGTTAGGTCACGGGTCCGTCGGGTTGGTTTGCCGGGATGCCGGGTTAGGTCACGGGTCCGTCGGGTTGGTTTGCCGGGATGCCGGGTTAGGTCACGGGTCAGTCGGGTTGGTTTGCCGGGCTGCCGGGTTAGGTCACGTCAGGGTCGGTCAGTGGGACGGGCCGGGTGGGTTACGTTTCAGCGGGGACCGGAGTACGGTGGGACATCGCGCCGTTTATCGCGTCCGGACAGGACGGCTTCTGCGCTGTACCGACGGTGTACGGGTTCGGCGGGGTCTGTGTCCGGCTTAGTTTTTGTTTTTTCAGGCATAGTAGGGTCGGGCCACGGGCCTGGTATGACATCGCGGAGCTTCGTCGGACGGCTACGGGGATTTTTTCAACAAACTTGCACAACTGTTTTCAACCCCGGTTGGGGCTCCCTATTTGCTCAGGGATTCACCCAGGGGGGACGTGCCCGTGATCCAATGTAATGCACCAGCCTTCCAACTTTGTCCACCGCTCAAGACCTCCCCAGGCATCTTCCCCGCCTTCACGCATCCCCCATCAGCCACTACCTGCCTAGTCATCCTGCTACGTGTCTCTAACCTCCCCTTCCCATTTCCCAGCTCCTGCACCCTAGGCGGTCCCCATCCCTGCTGACCCCTAGGCTTAGTAGTGATGTGGGGATCCGGGACCGGACCGCACACTGCTGCCATCCCTGTCTTCCTGTCACACCCCCTCTCACCTCTCTTGTCCCCTTCCGCCCATTCCTGTCCCCATGCGCCCCATGACTTGTCGTATTCCGCATCCCGCACAACTACTAATTTTGACCCTCCCCACTTATTCTTCCTTTCCGTTGCCGCGCCGCCGTGTCCATAGGAAACCCTACCACACCATCATCGCATGTTTCTCGTTTCCCGTCTCGCCTCCTGACTGTTCCTCACCACCTCATTAACGCGCCCTGCCTCTCTTCCTTCCCTATTTTTCCGCATATTGACCACCTCTTCCTACTGGACACTGGAACCCTGGTGCGGCTCTGTTGGTCTGCGCCTCCACTCCATCGGACCATGGAAAATGGCCTTCCCTCTCCAGGTAAGTTTCCCGTAACGCGTCTCGATAACATGTATGCTCGTATACCCCATATGCGTGTTGCTTTGCTTTTCGTGACCGGCGGCGCGGCGCATGTCTCCCTAGTGTTACCACGCAAGGCGGCTTCTTCCTCAAGTCGTCTCGGGTTCCGGTAAGCAACGATTCGGTAAGTAATTTGAGATGCGTGTTATTAGTGCCTCCGAATGCGCTCACTGCATGAGTCGGGATATGGGATTGGGACTTAGTTGTTTGCATTTCTTATATAATTTTCCCCCCTCCCAGCAGCTCCCTCCACCAGCCCCTCTCACCGCGTGCTGCCAGCGCTCCCTCGCCGCCTCCACATCGCCCGCAAGACACTGCCCCGGGTAGGCGATGTGACCGTTGGAGCAGTTGCACCAGGCGGTTAGCTGCGCGACCCCTGGAGTGCTGCAAGATATGGGCGAGGAGTCTAGATACCTGCAGTGGCGGTTAGCGGTTGTGGTGACGGTTGGTACGACGGTTGGCAGGCGGTTACTTATGTAATTGCAGCGATCGGATGGGTTGCCCGGTGCATGGTGGAGGTGGAGGGTACGAGTGCACATGCAGATGTGGAAGTTGGGTTCGTACATGATGTGTTTTGACAAGATGTCGTCGCCACGCGTGTGCACACAGAGGATGTGTTTCACTTACGCCATGTCGCCAAGCCAGATCCAAGCATCGGGTTGCGCGGGAATGACACCCTGTGGGCATCGGAAGTGCATTACGCGGGCACACGCGGGTTACCATGAGGTGGTTGCAACATGCAAGCCCTAAAAGCAAGGTGAGGCGCAGGGGAGGTGAAAGACGTGCGTGTTAGGACATCCTGGTGGGTGTGAAGGGCATTTCGTACGGGCGGTACGTAAGAGGGTTAGCGAAGAAGGCCGCCTAGGGTAAAAGACTTGCTTCTCGTGCACTTACTTCTGCCCATACAGGTTGGGGTCGAAGGTCGTACGACGTACAGCTGCCAAAGGCTATTCGTCGAGTCGGCCTGAAGCCCACTTGCTGCTGGCTGTCATCGCTTTTAGAAAGTGATGTGATGTCTTTTTGCGTTTGCTTCGAAAGGCCTATAGCGGTCAGCGCGAGTGCAAGGCTAACACAGGATGCGATTCCAACGCCGACAAGCGCGTAGAGCTTTATGCGCTTGCTGCGCTTTGCGTTTCTTCCTAATGGTACGGAGTGTAACGCGTAGACGTCGTCTGATGCGTACAGGCGATCCGTCTCAAACACAGACATTTTAGACTAAGGAACATGGAAAGGGTCCGCGTACGTTTATTTAGCCCGCAGCTGCTCTGTTGCAGCCAATAGCGCAAGCACGCGCTCGCCGGCAGTTGGTACGATTGGGAGTGCTGGAGACGGCATACACAGACAAGACTTCCTTTATATCCTTATGGTGCAATAGAGGCTTACAAGCTATAGATATGACTTAAGCGCCTAGGGCACGGTGCTGTTGTCAGTACATTGATTTTGTCTAGATAACCCCTTTGCGCAACCAACAAGTGTGGGCGGGATGCTAGAGAGGTCAATAGAGCTTGACGTGAATGCACACGGGAAAACGCGTGTCGTATGGCTGGGGCGTTGCACACGCCCCTACATCCGCAGAGCCCATGTCAGTCGTTGCAATGCACCTGCAGGGACTTGCTTAATCCAGAGTGCACCGTGAGCCTCACATCTCTGGTGTTTCCCTCGGCCCGGCAGGGGGTCCATGCTGGACCCAAACATGCCCATGCATGCTGCCAACTGCAGTTCGGCACGGCCGACGAACTAATAACTTCACAGAACGTAGACGCCGCAGGGAATAGTAAGAAATACTACGTACCATTATACCTTCGTGAAGCGTTTAGTGGACGGATCTTTTTCCATAATCCCTCCCAAATATGCCTCCGAAACCTGTTAAGGAATTGTCATTCGGGCCAGTTCGGGCCCGTAAACAGCTACGGTTCCATTCCCAAGCGCGGAACAATTATTTTACGCTAAACTGCTAGCAACAAAGCAAAGGACTTTAGCAACCATGCTGCAGTCTATGCAAGCAAATTCTTCACTATCCACCCTGCGCTCGCCGCGCCTGCAAGGTAAACCTGTTCTTATAGGTCTGCGTAGTGCGCTTACACATCAAGCGCCTTCCCATGGAGCCGCACCGTTGGCACCACGCGGGCGAGAACGGGTGGTAATGGCGAGGGCAATGACAGAAGGTGCGCCTAACGACGAAGACAGCGATGACTGTTGCGCACAGTATACTAGCATCTCAGTGCGACGATTGGGTTTGTGTTGTACCACGTCGTTCCATATTGCTCATCATAGCAATTTGGCATGGCATGGTGTCAAAGCCTAAGGAGTTAGGCAAGCCTTCTTTGGCACACGTTGCGATCACAAGCGCACGACGCTATCGTCGTACGTGCTGGTCGAATGACACCCCAACACTCCACACAGGTTTCACCCGACCATGTTGCTTCCTCTCCTTGCTATCAGCGTTCCCTTTGCCTCAAATCAAACAATGATCCAGCAACGGCTGCCTCGGTACAGGTGAGGAGGGCCCTTCAGCGTCTGTCGTGGAGACGCCTACCGCCCCTAGCAGCACCTCTAGCCCTAGCAACACAAGCGGCAGCACCCCCAGCAGCAGCAGCGGCAGCAGTGCAAGCGAGACGTACCCAGGGGAGGAGATCTTCTACGAGGGCCCTGGATCCAATGCGGAACTCCTCATCAGCTTGCTGCTCTTGCCGACGCTCTTCTACGCGCCTCTGTCAATAGCATCAATAGGCCGACGGCTGTGGATCACCTTTAAGTTCACCAACAAGCGGTTGACGGTTACCAACACGTCACCGCTGTTCAGCCGTACGATTGAGGTGCCGTACAGCAAGATCAAGGAGATCCGTGCCGGGCCCCGAGGATTCGGCCTGTGGGGCGACATGGTAAGGTTGCAAAACACACGAATCGGCATGAAACGGAGCCTGTGGAGCCATGTCTCATCGCATGCATGCTTGCAAGTCCACGATTGCTGGAATGCGTAGCAGCTGTCCTCCTTTGTTCCTCGTTTAGCTTTTGCTTCTGCCTGCCGGCCTGCCTTCGCAGCCCCTTAGTTCTGCCTTGAGACCCTTGCTACCTGTCATCCGCATGCACATGGCTGTCTGTTTACAACCAAGTAACCCTTCTGCCCCTAACCCCGCCGACCCAAACACACCAGCTTCCCTTGTCTCCCCAACCTCCGGTGCCCTGAACGCCGAAGTCTCCTTCCCTTCGTACCTTGTAAGGGTTGTAAGCCCCACTGTGGTCGCCTCACGCCACTTGCTACTTCAGGTGGTTTTCCTGCGTGATGGCTCCCGGCTCGAGCTGACTGGGCTCGAGAAGTACCGCGAAATAGCGGACCACATCAACCGCTGCATCTACACGCTGTAGGCGGCAAGTTGGACCAACGGGTCGGGCTGTGGAGCGATGAGAGGGGAGGGGGATGCTGGGGTGTAATGGTGAAGGGGGGTGGAGCAATAAGAGGGAGCGTAGCCGGTAACAGCGGCGACTGCGTTGGCGCTCGAGAGACTCTCGAGGGCATTCGGGAGTGGTGTTTTGTTAAGGTAGGGGACTGAGAGTACGGGTAGTTGCGCTGGAGACGGGGCAAGGACGTGGCTCGTGGGGGTAATCTGAGAGGCGTAGGTATTGGTTCGAGAGAACACCTCACTATCTGCGTTAAGTTTAAAGAAGTTACTTTACGTTCTTCATTCAGCCGCCCATACCTGCATGGAGAGGCATGAAGAGGGCACGGAATGGAGTGCAGAGAGTACGGAATGGCATGAGGAGAGAGCTCGAAGAGGTGTGGAGAGCGCAGGAAGAGGCATGGAGCGTGCGACTTGTGGATCATGCATGTGTTGGGTGGTGGAGTGCGGGATCAAAGGTGTGAATACGACAGCGGGTATGACGAATGAGGGCAAGACGCGATGTATTGTTGCGTACTTGCCCGCTGTGGTAAGAAGTGTCCGTACGCACTGAAAAGGGCAGCAAGCGCCACCCGTTTTCATGGGAACGACTGTAGCAGTCGTTCAATCCGCAAGCCATGCCGTGTGTCTTGGCCAGTCACGTACCCCTTGCACGGACATCCAACGCACCCCAACATGAAAAGCTAGAAACTTACAAGCCAGGAAGGCAACATCTTGTGTGTTTTAGCCATGGCCATGTTGCCAGTCCAGGAGTGCCCCTCCCCCCAAACGCCGAACCCGCATTGACGGGCTTTGTACATGTGGCATCGCTCAAGGATACATGCATATGCCCCTGCGGGGAGTGCAGCCGAAACATGAAGTAAACCGGATATGAAAAGCATGAAGATCCCACAAGTCCTTGCCTAAGGTACTCAACCGGTACTCAACAATCGCAACAGCACAGTTCACAGAAGTCCAAGAACACCCCTAACATCGTTCCTACAGAGCTATGCCTAATAGCGCCTTGCGCGCCAAAACACACACACGTCAAGCAGTGCGCATACATGAATGCTCTACATTGCTGTCTAGTGGCTTAGGGGTGCCGGCCGTATTAGTACCAACCCCTAGAGTTGATCAGCAGTTGCAAGAACTTAGCAACGAGCAGCACAGACCGGTTGCCTCCCCGTAACACATACTGGGGTGCGTACCCCATCGTCCATGACGGCATCCGGGGATTGAGTAGCAGCCTCCTTTTGGACAGACATATCCCAAGGCTGAAGGAGGAAAAGGAACCGCTCGGACGTTTTTCGGCCCTCAGGTCAATACGCGATGCCCTGTAACCCTTGTCGGTGACAGCAGGCACAACAAGAATGTGGTGGTTAACCCCGCACGTGTAGCGGCTACACAGCCACGCACGCAGGCAAATCAAGCGCTCTGAAGAAGAAGCTTCCATTGTTACCGACACACACGCTCTCACAATATGTCCAGGCTCGCAACCGATGCTTACAACAACAAGCCCATGAACAGTGGTGGAGCTGCTGTCACACCCTATACCGGCGATATCGCCCATCAACGCCAGGAATACGACAACAGCCATCCTCTCATGGGAGCAAATCCCAAATACGCCGCCGTAGGATATCTTCGAAACAACCCTTTGGAATTGCCACCAGGCCCACCATCACCATCACCACCATCACCACCACCACCACCACAACCCAGGATTCGTCCTGCACAAAGCACCCAACGCACCACCGGTCCACCACCCACTCTGCACACTCCAGGCAACACCCAGCAGCATCACATGCGGATGGTCGCCGCCGTGGGCCTGCTAAACAACGTGGCCGGCATGAAGGACAACCCGTCGATCACACGGGGGTTCGCCGGCGGTACCGTCCACGTGTTGAGGATGGGGTTGTACACACCCTGCTGCACGGGAGTCTGCGTCCGCCCCGCGCTCTTGCCGCTGACGCCCAGTCGCCGCTCCACGAGGGCCTCCTGCTTCTCGAACTTGGGGTCCGAGGGCGGCACCTGCCACTCGTGCGTGCTGCGGAGGGTATAGTTCGGGGAGAGGGCAATCCGGACAGGTGTTCTGTTGAGCAACGCCAAAGCAGAGCGGCAGCGCTGAAGAGCGAGCAGAGCAGGCAGGCACAATGCACGCAACAGCTGAACTTTCAGCCTGCAGCACCTCCTACGGGCCCATGTAGGCCCCACTGTGAAACACCACCCGCCCTCGCCCAGCCGTTCACTTACATGGGGTTGTAGGTGCCCCAGCTTGCTCCCGCCATGGGTTTCCGGGAGGCTGCGTTCCTCCCAGGGGCGCTGCTGGGCCGCTGCTGCTGTGCTGCGGCAGCTGCCTCCGCAGCGCCGGGGGCAACAGAGGCAGCACCCCCGGCAGACGCGAAACGCGAGTGTTTGGAGTCCTCCCTGCGCAGCGAAGAGAACACGTGGAAAGGCACGTGCGGGGATGATTATTGTGCGATTGATGCGGGGATGCGATTGAAGAGAGACTGCGCTCATGGCTGAATAAGGCACGGACGGCTGGGTGAAGTAGCCCGGTGCCAAGCAAGGGAGATCGGGGAGCGGAGGATCTTACTAATATTCCCCGAAACCGCATGCTCCCTGGGAAAGTGACCCCATGTGTTCCTGTCCATGAAACCCGGCCCGACCCGACCCACCACGTAATTGGGTCGTTCTCCTTGAACGGCCGCACCCGCCTCATGCCCTGTCCCAGCCCGTGCTGCCGCTCAAACTCCTTCTCCTTGCGGCTGGCGTACTCCGGCTCCGGCGAGGCGGTGTACTCGTGCGTGAGCGGGTTGTACTTCCCCATGTAGACCTGATGGGAAGCGTAGAGGGTAGAGGGTTGGGGTGAAGGGTTAGGCCAGGGACGGCCATCCGTAGGACTGCTTTTCGGCTACGAGAGTACGATGCTAGCGTTTTTCCGTAGGACTGCTTTTCGGCTACGAGAGTACGATGCTAGCGTTTTTCCGCAAGTGCACAACTATCTCCATTATCGCATGCCTAATGTGGTAGGGGAAGCAGCATGCGGCCATGCAACAAGAACGTGCCAAAAAAAACCTTGCTAGGCGTTACCACGCACCATGCTTGCGGTCACGGTGCCAGAGGCACACCGTGCCCCAATGACAGGAGTGCCATGGTGTTGCCATGCTGCCTGCCTACCCTACCCTCACCTGCAAGAGTTTGTGCTCAGCCGCTGTTCCGTTTCGCCGGTGTTGCGGGGGCTCCTGTTGCCCTGAGCCCTCCGCTCTCCTGTGTGGGGCGCTGCAAGAGGAGGCGTCATGAGCAGCGGGTTATGTATGTAAGCATGGCATGTAAGCCAAAAGAGCTAACTTGCAAGTGGGCAACGGCCAGCACGTGCCTACACCCATACGGCTGAGACCTGCTATCCAGTGGCATCAGGGAACCGCTGCGCCCATGTACCGGTAACCCGGACGTTAGCAACGAGCAGCAGCCCACGAGCTTTCCGGGCCATGCCGTCTTCCCCCATCCAGCCATATGAGGCCCCCACCCCTCACGGAGCAGCGGCATCCTTGCCCTGCTGCCCTACCTGCATGGCCGCTCTGAGGCGGCTGCATCGGTGGACGCGGGAGCCACGCGGTAGCTGTGACAGACGGGGTCGTACACGCCACGTGCCTCCTGTACGGCACTCTTGCCCCGGCCCCTATCCACGATGTGTCCCCGCTCGAAGGTTGTTAGGATACTTCCAGGCGGCTGCGAACGGAAGGCGCGAGAGCAGGCTGGCTAGGTAGTGGTCTACGTGCTTAGCCGGAAGACAGTGTGGCCCCGTAGTATGAAACGTTACTAGTTACACCCCAGGAACGGCAAGAAGTCAGCGTACCGCATGGTGGTGGTAGCCGTTCTTAGCGAGCCTTCGGTAACCGCTGGCTCGTCGCTCAAAGGCCGCCTTATCACGCTCGTGTTGGGTATCAATGTTTTCCGCGTTCTTTGCGCTAGGTTGTTTTACTGGTCTGTGAAGGACACTGATGGGCTTGGCAGGCTGCGCTTGCACAAGTGACAGAATTAGATAGGGAGATAGGGAACGGCACTAACCACCTCATGAGATACGCCAATCCTCACCAGTGGATCCCCTACGACGTAATTCCTTGGTTCCCGAAGGCGCTGTGCAGAGCCGGCTGGTCCATAGGCATAGGCTTCTGTTGATGCACGGGAGCCAGCTTCACCTGGGGCACTTGCTTTCCCCGCTAAATGCGCTTCCATATACGAAGCGAACACTGGTCCATCTGCCATGCCTGTTGGCAAGGCACCACGCAGCGCTGCAGAAGAAAGTCTCCACAATGCACGAGGGCACCAAGGCTGCTACCTATTAAAACTAAAGTAAACAGGATGCGAATTAGAGAAGTATCGCACAACTAGAATTAGAGAATGTGTGCGAGAAACGTTTGTAACAGTGGTCAAATATAACGTCAAAACGGCCCAGTAAGGAGATGTCAGTGAGCAGTATTAATTGTTGCGAAAGCTGGCCTTTGTTGATGCCACAGGTTTCGGCGTTGCGTTGGCTTTGCTGATGGGATGGGCAACGGGAGCGATGAACTCCAATGTCGTGCAATCGCGTTGCAGCAGCAATTAGGCTCCTGAAAGCTTTTTGCACTCTTTAGCACAGCTATATGTCCATTTCTCATCGTCATACGCACCATAGCTGCATCTGCTCAGCGGCAGTCTCGCAGACTTGCATGCCAGGAGAGACGGTCTGTGTTTTACAAGTTGCGTGACCGTGAAACTCCTCTTTTTTCCTTAGAGTAACCTACAAGAGGAAATTTTCCGTGCGACGACAAATACTTTCGTGATGGTTGGCGGTCGCATGGTTCCGGCTGTCTGCCGCCGTGCAGCGGCCCTCGACTGCCCAGGCGCCCTAAGCCTTCACGTGCGTGCGCTAGCTACCGCATCGATGATGTCGTCGTCGACATCCAGCACGGCTAGCGGAACTGGGGCGGCTGAGGGGCAGCAAGGCTCCAGACTGCGCCGCTGGCTTCCTGGGGCTGCTTTGGCTGGCGCTGCTGCTGCTACGGGCGTCGCTGTAGCCATGGCAGATGCCCAGGCGCCGGCTGCTACGCCATCAGACGCCAGCGGCGAGCAAGCCTCCGCGCTACAGCAGCTGCACGAGTGGCTCCAAAGCCAGGGTGCTGACGTGTCAAAGGTGCAGGCCAAGCCTAGCCAGGTGCGTTGTCTCCGCCCTTGGGCATGGTTAAACTATATAAGGTCAGTCCAGTCCAACGCTGTCAAGATAACGGAGCTCCTCACCATGCTAACACGCAGCTGCACCGCAGCTGGCCGCTCCCAGCCGCACACCAACACCCTTTCCTCCAACCCCACATCCCCATTCCTTCAACCCAACCTCCCTTCCTGCACCACCCCCACCCCACCATGCTAACACGCAGGCGGGTCCAGGTGCGGGTCTCGGCCTGTTCGCCACCGCCCCCGCCTCCGCGCCCCGCCCGGGCACCCCCTGGTGGTCCTGGCTGTGGCCGCGTCGCGGCGCCCCCGCGCTGCCCGAGCCCGTGACCCTGGCTTCCTTTCCGCTGGCGGCCGCCATCACGTTGCGCACCGCCTGCAGCGACCCGCAGCTGGGGGAGCAGTTCAGGTGTGTGCGGGCGGTGTGGGGGGGGGGCTGGGCTGGGGGAGGCTTCTGGTAGTGTCTTGGCAGGACTACGACTGGGAGGGGTGCACCCTTTTTGGTCCTGTTATTCCGCTCCTTCTTACCGGCGCTTCTTACCGGTTTCCCTCTCCTCGCCCTTTCCCTCTCCTCGCCCTTTCCCTCTCCATGCAGCTGGATGGTTGACAAGCAGCTGCTGGACGAGCGTACGGCGGTGATGGTGTACCTGCTGATTGAGAAGCTGCGGGGGGACAAGTCGCGGTTCGCGCCTTGGATCCGCACCCTGCCGCGCAGGCAAGTGCTGTGGCCTGTCAGGGGTCAGGGAGAGAAACAAAGAGGCTACCCGCTGGGCACACACCAACCATGCTTTTCTCCCCCTTCTTCTCTCCTGTCTCACCCCCATCCTTCCAATGCTCCGCTCAACTCTACCCGTCCTCCTCACAATGGCTTACCTCCTTACAGCTTCGACGTGCCCATCACCTTCGCCCCAACCGACTTGGCGGAGCTCCGCGGTACGGCGCTGCAGGGTGCCGCCGCCGCCGTCACCCGGCGCCTGCGCGACACCTGGAGCCGGCTGGAGGCGCCGCTCCGGAACCTGACACGCGAGCTGGGGCTGCCGGCCCCCACCTGGGAGGACTGGTTGTGGGCGTACTGCGTGTTCTGGAGCCGAGGACAGAGCCTGCCTGTGCCGGAGTCGGGCTCGGGTGAGGCTGGGAACGGGGAAACGGGGAGGAGGTGGAGGAGGCGGAAGAAGCGTCTGTGGTCTGGTGTGGGGAAGGCGGTAGAAAGGGACCAGCGGGTGAGGGGAAAGGACTCGTGTGAAGCAGTTCTTCAAAGTTCACATTGCCCTGACTCTTCTCGCCTTACCCCTCACCGTCATCCTCGGCCGTCAGGGGCTTTTTTTACCACGGATTGCCATGACCCTCCACAACGTTTGCTTTCTTCTCCCCGTACCTCTCACCGTTGCCGTCGTTTACCCCCCATTGCAGCCTCCAGCGCTCTCATCGGTCACTCCTCAGGCAACGGCAGCGACAAGATCCCGATTCAGATCCTCGAGGGTTTGGTTCCGGGGCTGGACTTTTGCAACCACCGGCACAGCCCTCAGCCGCAGTGCTGGTGGGAGGTCGTGGTTCCGGAGCGGCCCAAGACCGCCGCACCGACATGCCCCGTCAAGGACGGACCCATGGTTCGGCTGCAGCTGCATGCGGGCGGTACGGCGCGTGCCGGGGATGAGTTGTACATCAGCTACGGTGACAAGTCGAATGAGGAGCTGCTCATGCTGTACGGATTTGCGCTGGAGAAGAACCCGCACGACCACCTGATGCTGTTCTGCCCGCTGCCGCCTCAGGTACGACACCCACACCGTGTGTTAAAATAACTGGCCGCGAGGCGAAACCCTCCTAGTGCTGGTTCGGCTGGTTCCCCTGCCTGCTCAGTGCTCACCTGCCCCGCCTCCATGGTTTGCCATGTGGTTGGCCCCCCAACCCCTGCACCGTCCCCCTCTGTTTTCCGCCCCCTTCTTCTTCCCCCATGCATGCAGGCGGAGTGGGATGATGTGATGTATGCGCGGATTGAGCTGCTGCAGGTGAGTGGGTGCTGGGTGGTGCGCTGGTGGACGGATTGGTGCAGCAAGCAAGCAGTGATAGGCTGATAGCGGCCTTTTGGGATCCACCCTGGGTTTGCATCTGCTGCCTTTCTTGTGGCCCTCTGCCATTGTAGAGCAGCCAGAGTAGATACCGGTTAAGGCCGCTTGCTTGTGCCCACGTCGCCACGTGTGTTAAGAAAACTGGTGTGTGTCTCGCCCGGGGTCTGCAGGCGTACGGACTGCGCCCGCAGTTCTTCCTGCCGCACCCGGACCAGGTCGCTGCGCCCGCCGCCGGCAAGCCCGTGAAGGGCGCCGCCGCCGCCGGCAAGAAGAAGGGTGAGAAGGCCTGCGTTGCCCGCGGACCATGCTGCAGCTAGGGGGCTGTGGAAGGGAGGGTAAGCAGACTAGTCGTGACGGGTCCGTCGATGCATGCAAGCAGTGGGCATACACAACGACAATCACAGTACGTTCCGACTCGCGGCCCGTTTCCTTAACACAACGACACAAGCCGGTGCACTCCTTTCGTTGTTTTTCGCTGCTGAGGCTGCAACCCTAGCTACATGCACGCTCCATCAAGACTCGTTCTTAACACGTAGCCATCATGCCTAACACCTCCGCCCACAACACCACCGTCGCAGGCTCGTCTGCCGCTGCCCCCAGCCCCGCCGCTGCTGTCGGTGAGGGCGGCGCGGCTGCTGCTGATGACACGACGCCTCCGCTGGTGCTGCCCGGCGAGGTGCTGGACACCCTGGAGGTGTTCGTACTCAACTTCCAGGAGCTCTCCGTGCGCAGCAAGACGCTGCAGGTGGGGGCCTGGGGGGGTCACAGACACCTTACCCCTAACCTTGGGAAACCAGAGGTTAGGGCAAAGCAATGGGGATAGGAGGCGGCAGGGTGCGGCTTGGGGTGAGGCAGATGGGTGCTGCAGGCGGGTTGCTGCAGGAGGGAGGTTTGTTAACCGTGGGGCAGATGGGGAGCTGGACTTGTGGGCTAGATGGGCGCTGCAGGTGGGCTGGGGCTAGGGCTCGGGCAGCTAAAAATCTGCCAGCAGCTCATGTCCACCGCTACATGCAAAACATTTGCATGTACCTTGCTCTCTCGCGCCTGACCTCCTCGCCTGTGCCCTGCCGTTCCGTGCCGTGAGTGTAGGCAAAGATGGAGGAGCGGCGCGCCGCCCGCGCTGCAGGTACGTGCGCACTCCCCCCAGGAGCACCCTTCTGTGGCTGCCGCATGTAACCACCTTCCACCTTCCATCTTTTCCATACACCCTGTTCTTCTACCCTGTTCCTGTTGCATCGTTGCGCGCCAATCCAACAAGCCCTTTCCACTCCGGTTCTTCTGCCATGACATTCCTGCTCCTTCCACCTGCCACCGCATCCCCGGAACATGCCTAACTCCTCACACAACCCGCTCCCTCGCAAAACAACCCCCACAGGCACGCCGCTCGAGGCGGTGACGCAGCACAGCCCGGTGCTGGACCTGGCCTCGCTGCGCAGCCGCTACCCGGGCATGGGGCTCGCGGAGTTGCGGCACAGCCTGCAGTCCATGGGGCTGCGCATGGCCACCATCACAACCTTCATCAGGTGCGGTACATGGGCGTGTGATAGAACACAGAAGCATTTTTCCGCACTCCTCGCCACATGCAGGCCACCTCCTGACCTCCTCCTCCCTCCTCCCCGCCCCCTGCAGGCTTCTGGAGCTCAAGGTGGTCGACCTGGAGGGCTCCGAGGGCACCGGCTCCCTGGAGGCGGACGAGGAGCTGCTCAGGAGCCTGGACCAGGCCACCTCAGCACCCCTGCTGGCCGCACCATCCGGTGCCCCGGCGGCGGCAGCAACTCAGCAGCGGGAGGAGCAGCAGCAGCGGCAGCGGCGGCTGCGGGCCGCGCTGGTGTACCGCATGGGTCAGAAGCAGCTGGCGCGTGCGTGGCTGGTTCGAGCCAAGGCAGAGCTGCGGGGTCTGATGGCGGTGATGCGGGAGATGCAGGCGCGGCAGGAGGCGCTGGAGCGTGCTGGGCAGCAGTAGTGGGTACCGGTGCTGGTGAGTGCTAGGAGTTGGGATGGGAGGATTGTGGTGGGGCATGTGGCGGATGCGGCGATGGCGGATGGTATGGATGCAAGCTTTGCACGGTTAGGAGTGGAGGGTGAAGGACTGGGTTCATGGCTGCGTGTGATGAGGAGGGTGGCTTCGTTTGGGTGGGGGAGGTGTGTGGACTGCACACAGCTACAGTTTGCTGGTGTTGGCGGCGCTCTGCTGCTGCTGGTGGTGATGGCGTGGCAGTGAGAGTGGTGTTGCCCCCTTCGCCTGATGCTCGGGAGGCCGCGGCAGCTCACCCGTCCGGTGAGCTGTTGACAAGGGTTGGTGGTGACAAGAGAGGCGGCTTCACTTGTTGTGGTACAGGCATGCGGGTGTAAGATTGCAACACACGGTGACATCATATGACCCGTGGAGGGAGCACGGGGCGTCTAGCGGTAAGGCATTACAGCGGTTGGGTCTCCCTAAGGGTCCTCAGGGCGTCAGGAGTATCGGTGAAGTCCCCATGCCAGTGCAAGTGGGTGCGGATGCCTCGATGGGGAAGTGCTTAGGGTATGCGGGCTATAGTGTGCGGATTACCGTACACGGTAAAGGTGGCTGCCGTTTGGGCTGGAGTTCATAACCTAAGCACGCTTCTGGAATGCTTTTCGGAGGCCGACAACCATGTGCTGTGCTGCGCGGAGAGTGTTACTGTACGATGGGGGCGGCGGGCGTGACACCAAGAAGCCGAAAGACATGGGAGACGTAAGGACTCCGCAGCAGTTTTCAGTTAGCTGCGGGTTGGCAAAACCCGTTCCTTCATTCCTGCCATGGTGCAGTCCGATATTTACTACTACGCGCAAATTGGCAGGATGTGCGCTCATTAGGATAGATTAAGCAAGACACGATACTAGCTATACGGTAGTATAGAGCATGAGGCTAGAAAAGGATAGAAAACCAGCTGGTACAGGACGGCAGCTCATAAAGGCCTCTGCCAGCTCTGGTTTGTTAGGTTATTTGCCGCCACGGCGTCAGCAGGGACGTTCGAAAGTTCTCGTCGCTGTAACCCCATGCATAGAATGTCTTTTCCTTAACAAAGACCCTTCGCGGCAGCAAGCCTTTTTCATAAACATGGAACACTACGACGCTTCGTCCTATGCGGCCTCCAAGGCTAGTTGGCAAGTTGCAACTCCGTCCGTTTTCCGTCATTCTATTACGCTGCGACCTTTCGACATAATTCTGCGGCTCCTAACTTCCAGGTATACAATAGTCTTGGTGAAGACAGTTGACGGGTTATTATCGGCGAACGTCAACTGTCTGATGTATGCTGTTACCCTGCGAACCCCCACCACGCCACCAGCAGTACACTGTGACTACGACTTCAGCCCCAGCGACAGAACCCAAAACGGCGCGTTTGTAATTTGAAAACATACAGCAATCGACCTGTTATCACACAGTGGTTGCATATGCATTTCAGCGAGCCACTTCGTGCAACGCGCGAGTAGTCGGGAACGAGTCGTTACCTGCATACTAAGCGGCAATGATTGGGGTAAGCACGACTGGTAGCTATCATACATTGAGTCGTATTTCCAGGAGCAAACGTCGCGCATACCCCTAGCCTTGCATGCGGTGTATACGTGTTGTCAGACAGAGACGTGTTACGCAATGGCGCGCTAATATCTTAATATTTACACGATTATAGCTGTTCGCAACTACAACTATCTTTGCCGAGGTTTTGCGTCTGAGCTCGGACATAGAGCATGCATCCTAGCTGCGTCCGCTTGTTGAAAAGTTTTTTCTTGACCCCCCATTACTATTTCCCAGTGGGTGAACAGCTCTGTGGAAAGCTTCATTCGTGATAAGTTCGGTGACGACGTATGGAACGACGTGGTGAAAGCTGCTGGAGTCGGGGAAAGGGGCTGGGTCTCCTCTTGCCCATATCCCGACAGTGAGACCTACAAACTTGTCACCACGGCTTCGTCGCTTCTTGGGGTGACACCCGCTCAAGCCTTGGAGGCATTTGGCAACTACTTTGTAGAGTATGTGTGTAAGCAGGTGCGTATATGACAGCGCACCGCAGGGTAACCCCGCAGGGGCCTTGCTGCGTGCCCCTTCCAGCTGAGCCATCTGTCCCGCAATGGTTTTTAGCCGTTTGCGGCTGGATTCCAGCAGCAGAAACATCATCCGCCCACTAGCAAAGTGCAACTGCCCGCATACGGGGATAGCCACATCCTCAAACGAAGCATGCCACCGTCCCGGTGGCTACAGTTACGGTCACATGCGCCGCCACATCCACATTCTCTCCTAAGTGGCTTCCGTATTCTGTCGTACACCCCTTTTGCCGTACCGCAGGGTTACGACAAGCTCCTGCAAAGCTTGGGCAGCAACATTGCGGAGTTCCTGCAGGTCTGTTTGTTGTTGGGGAGCGTGCTGCACGGGTGGTCACGTCGGCCTGTTCGAATGGTTTCATTCGGGACATGTGCTTTTGCAACATTGCAAGAGCAGCATTGCTAGGCAACGCGCTTCATGCACGAAGGAGAGTGCTAGCGCTCATTGCACGGTTGCCGTCTGCCTTGACTGGCTTGGATGGGTCAAAGCCCTTCGTCCTCGATTCCTACCCCAACCCGCAATGCTCATTGTCCGTATACCGGTACATGCATCCTTCCCCCCGCTTCTCTCTTTGCGCGCGCACGCCCCTCTCCGTACCTTGCCCACCTTCTATCTTACTTTGGCGCCATCCACTTCTCAGCCTACCCTCACTTTGCCGCATGCGGCATGCCTCTACTCCTGATCCAACCCATACCCTCCCAACCCCAACCCCTCTCCCAACCCCTCCGCAGTCCCTGAACAATTTGCACCTCCACCTCACCATGAGCTTCCCCTCCATGTCCGCACCGGCCTTCAAGTGTACGGCAGTCGGCCCGGAGTCCCTGGAGCTGCACTACTACAGCAACCGCCCCGCGCTAGGCCCCATCGTTGTGGGGGTGCTACAGGGCCTGGCGGAGCGCTATTGGGACGTGGGCGGAGGGCGGCTGGGAGTGCAGCTGCTACGAGGGCGGGACGATGGCAGCGAGGACCATGAGGTGTTTCTAGTGACGTGAGCGCGCTGAGGCTGGCTGGGGGCTGGCTGTCAGTCAGGGGCGGGTGGCTGGCCGGTTACCGGTATGTCGTAGCGCACCATGTCTGACCTCATTATACCGGCACACTGCCCGCCCGTGCAGCCCTGCTTTCTGATGACCTTTGCTGCTTTACGGTTCTCGCTTCAGTTGCTGCTGTTGCCGCTGTTGATGATGTGTACAATCTTTTAAGTCCTTCTGATGTCCTGCCTCCGCCGCTGCTGCTGCTGCTGCTGCCACCACCACTCCTACCAGGTACCCCTATCAGGAGGTACTTCGCAGCTGGGACGAGGCCACCGCGCCCAAGCACAGCTTCACCCTAAACCCGGATACCTTCTACAACATCTTTCCCTTCCACATCCTGCTTGACAAGCAGTGCTGCGTGTTGCAGACGGGGGCGGCGCTTGCGCGGCTGTTCCCCGAAATGCAGCAAGGAACCTACCTAGGAGACCATTTCCAGGTATGTGATGTTAGGCATGTTACTACATGGTGGGGGCCCTATGAGGGCTGTCGCTGGCCGTGTAAGGTCCAAACAAGTCGGAGACCCATAGACGTGCTACCATTGTCGCTCGAAGACAAACAAGGGACACAAAAACGAAGAGTTGAAAGGGTATGGTGGGTGAACAGTGATGATGGCCGCCCCAGGCACGTTTAAGGTGTACGTTAATATGTAGCGGTCATTCATCCATGTAGGGGATTTTGGTAAAGCCTGCGGTTTACTTATCTAGCGCAGCACAAAGAGGGGGGTGGCGGGCATCGCTCAACCACATCGATACCGGTGCTTAGTCATAAATTTTATTACTTCATTGACTTGTGGTATAAAACATTTATTCCCGTAATGGCAGTTACGGCATCCGTACACATCCCTGGAGTACGACAACATCCTCTCGGAGATCAGAAACGTCTACTTGCTCAAATCCACAACCACCGGCCTGGAGATCAAGGGCCAGATGATCCCCGTTGCCGTACCCCGCCACCCCGGCGGCGGTACGGCAACGGGCGGTACGACAGCCTGCCCCCACATGGCGTCATTGACTGCTGCCGAGGGGCTTCTTTTCATGGGCAGTGTACGGCTGTCGGGACTGGACGACATGCAACATCACCAGCTATTCCTGTCAGACATCCCGCTACACGACCTGAACCGCGACTTTGTGCTGTTAGCGGAGCAACGCCAGGCGGAGGCTCAGCTGAAGGAGCGGTTTGAGGCGCTGTCCCTGGAGCTCAAGGTTGGTTGGCTTGTTGGGTTGGTTGTGGGCTCCATAGGGTAAGCATGCGTAGGGGTTTGAAGGGCGGTGTGGGTAAGGCTGGCTTGTTAGGAGAATTAGGGGCAAGAGAGGGTCGACTAGCTATCCTTTGGTGCGACCCGTGGGTCAGTGGAGGATGCTTGCGGCGTTGACGGAAAGATTGTTGACAAGGAGTGAACCCCATGGATCTCATCTCTTTTCCCCACCTGAGCGTTGTTTTCTCCGTTCTTCCTCCTCCTCCTCCTCCCTGCAGCAAGCGAACCAGAACCTGAGCGACATGACGCAGTGGCTGGAGGAGGAGCGACATCGCAGCGATAAACTGCTGTACCAGATGCTTCCGCCGCAGGTCGCCACATGCCTTAAACACGGCGCAAGATCACCAGCTAGCGAGCATGCAGAGGTGAGGGAGTGAGTGGGGAAAGCATCTGGCCGGGTGGATAAGGTGTAGAGGGGGAGCTTGTAAGCAAGACACGGGCATACGGCAGGGTGTCAGAAACATACGCGCCGCCACAAACAAGACATGACTGTTCTGACTGTCAAATGGGAGACGTCGTGCGTTCTTCTTCCCGACAGTCGTCTCACTGTCGTCGCTGATGCATGCCCTGCCTCCCTCTTTCCCTCCCCTTTGATTGCTCTGCCCGTAGGCCACCATCCTCTTCAGCGACATTGTCGGTGAGAGCATATCTGGAGTTGCGCCTAGGTGCACGCAGAGGAGTGTACAACATCAACTGGCCACACCATATGTGTCTTGGCGTGTGTGTTTAGCTGCGATAGCACCCAACCGACCCTCCCCGCTTCATCGCCCGCATTGCTGCTCCCCCCCCCCCGCTGCCTCGTTAGTTGCCTCGTCAGTTTTCCTTATTTTTATCCCCCACCCTCGCTGCCCGCTTCCATCCCGCAGGTTTCACGGAGATCTCCTCCCGCTCCTCCCCGCTCGAGGTGTGCGCGCTGCTAGATGAGCTGTATCACCAGTTCGATACCGCCATTGAGGACTACCCGCAGCTGTACAAGGTGGAGACCATTGGGGTAAGTTCCTTGCGTTGATACCGCCCTCCTGCATGTCGTGCCGTGCCGTGTCGTGCCATGCTGTGGGGTGTCGTGCCGTGCCATGCTGTGGGGTGAAGTGAAGCACACAGGTGTCTAGGGCTGTAGGAGGTGATGGGTGTCATGGGGATGACCAGCGCGTGCCATGCCGTGTCCCCGTCTTTACCCCATCCCATCCCCTCTTCCTGATCCCATCCCCTCTTCCGAATCCCATCCCCTCTTTCTAATCCCATCCCCTCTTCCTACTCCCATCCCCTCTTCCTGATCCAAACCCACCTGAACCCACTCATGCACGCAGGACGCCTACATGGTCGTGGCAAACGTGACCACCCGCTGCGACAACCATGCGGATTTGCTGCTGGAGTTTGCGGTGCGCATGCACGAGGTGGCTCGCAACGTGCGCAGCAGCCTGGGCGAGCCCGTGAGCATCCGAGTGGGCATGCACACGGGACCGGTGGTGGCTGGAGTGGTTGGCAAGAAGATGCCGCGCTTCTGCCTGTTTGGGGACACGGTGAACACGGTAGGAGAGGGGCTGTGGGCTGGGCTGGGCGGGGCGGGTGGGCATGGTGGTGGGTTGACGGGTTGAGAGGCGTTCGGATGGCGTGCTTACACGGAGGAGAACAGTATGAATGTACTCCGCAGCTTTGAAGGTAGCATGACCGCGTTGAGTCGGGTTATATGCTGTGTGTGGGGCGTGCCGCATGCGTCAAACTTACATTGCCTGGACATTGCTTGCTCTGGTGTAAACAAAACTGGACAATGCGGGTGTGTTCAGTAAACTGACCGAAAAACGGGTGTGTGCATGCAGGCATCCCGAATGGAGAGCCACGGGCTAGCCGGGCAGATCCACATCAGCGAGGCTTGCTACGACTGCATTCGCGACAAGTCTTCGTTCGTTATCCGCGAGCGGGGAAACATCAGCGTCAAGGGCAAGGGGATGATGCGGGTAAGCCTGCTGCATGAGGCCATGAACATGCTGGACAGCTAGCGCGTCGTGTCGTCCAAACTCTTCTGCGTTACGGTACCCCTAGAACCCGTGATCTTCTGAGCGGTTTTAGGCCTTCTGCCTTCTGCGCGATTTTAGGGAGTACTGGAACGTGCCAAGGGCCTCTGAAGCCCTACTGCATCAGTCACGTTGACACGGCATGTTCCATTGCCTTCATGCTAGTAGCGTGACACCCCCCGAGCAGCAACTTGTTGTCGCGTCTGGCGAATCGCATGTTGCGCCCTTTGCAAACCGCAGACGTACCTGATTACACCCGCGGAGCAGGACGCAAACCTCACGAACAGCCGGACCTTGTCCCGGCCGGCGCACCTGCTCTCGGAGCCTGAGCTCAGGTTTCGTTACACCAACAATGCGGCTAACCGTTCGCTCTCTTTCTCGTCGCTATCGGGCGGCATGGAGTTGGGCCCCACGTCCTGGGAAGAACAGAGCAACTCGGAAAGCGGCAAAGAGACGCCGATACGCTACTCCCCGGCGGCCAGGAATTCGCACCCAAGGATGCCACCGGCTGGCTCAGGTGCCTCCACAGGCAATCTGATGTCGCGTTTGAGCATCAGCGGGAACGAGCGATTGTCTTAGGCAGCTGAAGCCGAGGATGCGTTGGCAATGAATGGTTCCAATTTCCGCATTTCCGTACAACGCCTGTGGAACAGAAATGTTTCGTGGAACAGAACGTGGACTGTTTTTGACTGGAATTGGATCTTACCTGCAAGATCCCTCCTGGACATTGCAAAGGTCCGGCTGGGTCAGGGGCAGAAAATAAGGGCCGGAAAGGGATATCCGCTGGGTTGGCGTTAAGTGGGTACAGGCATACCGCATACGTTTAGCTGTGGGAATAATGCGCATGTTAACCAATGCCTTCATGCGTGCACACGTGTTTACTCTGTTTAGAATGGCTTATTTGGAGGCAATCCGGAGCGTTGGAAATCCTGCCGGGTAGGTGAGCAATGGTGCGCGGGACGTGCCGAGGGAAGTTGGGAGTGTTGTGGCTATTACGGTTGCGGCGGTTGCAAGTACCGTACGCGGAAAATTCTGTTCCTAATCATTCATGTTTAGCACCGCACCACTTTTGCCTGAGCGGAGACCCATGTGTCATTGGGTGTTTAGTACATTGCTGAAAGGATGGTATTGCCTAAACCTTTTACCAAGGAATGTCTTTTCCTATTGGTGTCGTATCGTGCTCAAGGAGCATCCACGGATGTACGAAAGGAGCAGCGTTGATGTCCGGCTATTAAGTTTTCGTTAAGTTACTTGTCCAAGGTCACATGGTTTTTGAAGTGTGCTACACCGCATATATAACATGACGGTTTAAGCACTCCAAAAAATAGTTTCACCCCTGTGACGATGTTATAATATAAATGTACGGCGGATTGCGTACACGGATACCCTTGAGGCCTCATTGCCGTCCTTTGAGTGCATTATATCGCACTGAGAGCGTGCGCTGGACGCAGCTTGTCCTATTCAAAACATATTATCACAGCTTGCCGTATGGCTCGTACATAATAATTTCGCCCGTAATCGCGTGGTTGCCCGTTGCAAGCCTGTAGCAACGTTGGTCGAGATTGCCTGTGGGACATAAATCTAATCCCTAACAAAAGTGTGCCCTGTGAGGTGGGCCCTTACTTGAGGTTTGTGCGGTTGACTCATGCTTCCATTCGGCACGCATGGATGACGCGCCCGCCGGCCTCATCCTCGTCTACCAGATCTTCATGTAATAATAACACAACCGGACAACCCCCATGAAAGTGTCATGGAATGATGGGAGTAATTGCGCATGGCCAGACGGCTCTTCACGCATTTGACCCCGCCCCTTGTCATGTGGCAGCTACAGGTACGCCACGTCATAATGAAATTGTGCAGTTAGCCTAGGTTAGTCACTACACGGGTCATCCATGCGAGTCTTCTGCATGGGAGCCCTTCTCTGTGTGTACAAACATGATACGGCACCATTGTACGGCATTACACGGCGTTACAGAGGCGTGAAGTCGCCAGGGCTGGCAGCAGGAAGGTAAGCTGGTAAGCCAACATGCCATTCATTGCGTGACCTGCAAACATCCAGGCATGCATCGCCAGAGCGGACCCGCTGCAGGTGGGTCGACCCGTCCACAGCACGTGTACGGTACACGTCACTTCTTGGTGAAGAAGGATGTGAGCTTTTTGGTCCCCACCGCCTGTTTGGCAAGGGAAGCCTGCTTGGCAGCGACCCGTGGGTCGATCTTCTGCTTTTTCTCCGGTGGCCCTGCCAGCGGCGTCGGAGCAGGCCGCGACGCTGGTAGAGCGTTGCCGTCTGCCGGCTGGAGCGGCGTGCCTGATCAGGAGGTGGCAATTAAAAAGCGTTGGCCAGGATTGCAGAATCCACATTGAAAGGAACTACGCACGTAACTCGCTACCGCCACAGCCCACACATTCCAAAAACATCAACCACCATTCCGCATTTACCGCAGCTCTGTAGTAAAAACCCTTACCGTTGACGTTGTTACCTGCCTGCCCCTCCAGCTCACCTGAGGCCTCTTTTTCGTTTGCGCCCAGGGACTTTGCGAGTCGACTGACCCATGGGTCACCCACGTACTCCCCCAGGAACCCTAGCACGTACAGCTTGGCATGCGCCGCGTCCATGCCGGCGAGCTGAGCGGCAAGGGCTGCCTGCAGCTGCCGGAACTTGCATCGCAGCCAGGCTAGGACCTGGAGGGACACAAGGGAGGGGGTCATGTGGATGTGCACGAGGTCGGGGCATGAGGAGGGCCATTGAAGGGAACGCATGCGGATGAGCGATAAGCATGTGTTTTCTCACTCCACAAGGAGAGGACTTCCTCGGGGAAGGGCCGAGGAAGCGAAAGTTGCGCCCTTCTATGCGCGATTGACCTGAATCCTCCAAGACCATGATCATGACTCTCAACCCGATCCTGTCCCTCCGCTTCACTCCTCTCCTCGTCGCCCATCCGCACCCAAACCCTCACCCGGTCATCATTAAGCCGGTAGTAGCAGGTATCCTCAACCTTCCGTACATCGCAAATGCAGGCCAACTGCTGCTCCAGGGAAACACACGCGGTCTGCACCGCCACCGCCGCTGCGGGATCCTGCTGCCGCTGCTGCAGGCATGCAGCCTGCTGCTGTTCCGAGGCAGCCGCGGCTGGCCCGCTGGCGGCAGCCTGCTCCCCTCCCGGGGGTCCTTCCGCGGCCTTGGCCGCTGCCCCTTGCTCTGCTGTGGCTGAGGAAGGAGGCTCTTGCTCCTGCTGCTGCTGCTGGCCCTGCTGGCCTTCTGACGCCGCTGTCTCCTCTCCTGCCGGCTGGCGGTCGTTGGAAGTCGTTAAAGGTGCCGCTGCCGGTTCCGCTTCAGCCGCTGCTGGCGCTGTTGCTTGTTTAGGCATTGCGGCGGCAGCCTGTTGACCGGCAGCTGCTGCCGCTACTGGCGTGCATGCGGAACGAGCGTACGGCAGCAGCTCCCCCAATCCCGGCATGGAGCTGTCGTACAGAAGCTCCTCGAGCTCTTTGAATTTCCCCGCTGGACAACTGTCATCCTGTTGTACGGCAAGAAACACATTTATAAACATATGCTCAGGACTAGTCGTACTCGCTCCAGGACTAGAAAGTAAGTCGTGCTTGTGCACGCAGAGGACCAGGACCCTGTTCGTGCGTACTGGCGAATGCAGGCACGCAAGCTCGCCCTGTGTACGGCCTGTACGACACGCACCTTGTCTCGAGCTCGATCCAGCAGCGGAAGCAACATGAAGAGCGGGTCGAACGGGGTCGCTAGGAACATGCCGCCATCTGGGTGGAATGGGGACAAGGAAGAAATGGATTGGGTCACATCTACCGGAATTTCCAGGCCATCTTGCATCAATCACCACGGGAAGAGCCCCCGTACCTCTCCCCCACCTGCTATCAGCCTCTCGGGGGTGAGCCACGCGCTGTGTGCCTGCTTGAAGCGGTTCACCTCGAGCAGCCGGCCGCCTGACAGCAGGAAGCCCTGCGACCGGCCTGCGTTGTGCGCGTGAGATGTGGGGAGAGTGCTTGATATGAGTTGTGCGCGGGGGATGCGGGGAGAGTTTTAAGAGCGTTGCAAGGGAATTGCTGGGAGATCAAGCTGGCTAGGTGAAGGAGGAGTGGTGGATGGAGGGATGGCGTGGTGGATGGCCGTGTTAGGTGTGAAGGGCCCAAGGGTTTGCGCAACCGCTACTGGATACACATGTCCCCCTTCGACCTTTGGAGATGGTACTCAGCGCGCGCGAGGTCACAAACGGGGTGACAGGCGGGAGAGGATGTGGGCCTCGACATGTGCGCCGATTGCTTGGCACCGCGTTAACGCCTCAATATGTTCGGCAATCGCCTGTGCGCTTTTCCTTTCAGCGAAATAGAGGAAACATACCTGTTCGGGGGTCTGGCAGCATGAAGCTCCGAATAGTGCTCAGCTCCCCTGCCTTCAAGCCTGGTGAATATAACGTGAGGAGGCATATGTGCTTTAATGCATGATAGTTAGGCGCCTAAAGCATAAATGTTATTGGAATGCATCCAAACCTGGCACAACAAGGACTCGCCAGGACTCATCCTCGCTAGCAGCCATGGTGTCGGCTTAAAAGGCTTGTAATGCTCTAGCGACAAGTAGGTAATAATGTGAAGACATTGAAGCATGCATTCGCAACTTTGCATTTGGCTTATGCATTTCCCGCGCTGTCGTACCTTGGGCAATCCCGAATTCTTGTGACCAGGACTACTTATGCGTGGGTCACGCCAATATACAGAAGCCTTCTCCAACTTTGAAAGCCGCAGCTGGTGCTTGGTTCCTTGTCTCTGTACCTGCTTCCGCAAACGCGTCGCTTCGGTTCCGCGGCGATGGTGCCGAGCGCGGCCAGCCCACATCGCGATGGAATCGAGGGCTCATCGCCTGCAACTATGGCAACGCAATTTGGTCAGTAGCTGTTGTTGTTGTGAAGGACGCGTTAACCTGGTTTCCTAACGGACAACTGCCCCTTTTCCTTCGGCTCGCAGCCAACAAGGAAGGACCCTCGGCCTGCAACGGCACCAGCCCACAAGAGCTGACCGCGGATCAGCGTTTTCTCAAGGGGGCGGCGTTGTCCGTTTGGCAGAATGCCCCGGACGAAGCATCCCAATGGACCGCTTTTGCGCGGCGGCCGCACAACCTCCTTGAGCGAATTCGCGGAAAATGCAAGCAGCTAAACATTGCAACTTCTCCAGACTTTTGGAACAGGTGCGAGTATAGGTGCTCGTTCAAGCTGCCTAGCTCCTTCGCATCTTCGCCATGGTAACTCGCCGCAAACACGCGGGTAGACATATTGCTGTGCTATGTTTCGAAGGCAATCCGATCACTTATGCTTCAATCCAATTGATTTTGCGGCAACCTTTCTTCCTTACCCGCTGACCATGTTCGCGGTCAAGCGTTCGAGCTGCTGTATGCACCTCTCCACGTGACCACAAGCCACAAGCGCGAATAGCCATGTCAAAATCAGTCCACACAACAACCCTACTGCTCATCACCCACGCACACCGCAGGTACTTTGATGACATCGACTGCGCCCGGCAGTTGGGCAGCAACAGTCTGCGGCTCTCCCTGGAGTGGTCTCGCATCATGCCGTACGGTCCCGGCCGCGTGGACGAGACTGCCGTACAACGCTACCACGACATTTTCGAGCGGTGCCGGGCCGCGGGTTTGGAGCCCATGATCACGTTGCACCATTTCGTACATCCGCAGTGGTTTGAGGAGCTCGGGGGATTCGAGCGGGAGGAGAATATTAGGTAAGTAGCGGCAGTGGCGGGCTGCTGGCTGTAATGAACTGCTTCCTTAACCTCACCACCACAAATGGGTCGTTTACTAGGTGTTGCTAGCATGCTTGCATGGCAGCATGCTCATAGCGCGTGTGTTTCGTGCAACGAAGACCGTTCCTCGCAACAGACCGAGGTCCACCGAGGCCCCGGCACAAACGCAACTTTTCCCCGTCTCCCGTCCAACTGCACGACAATCCCAACCACACGCACCCTTTCCGCTCTCCGCTCCCTCACACTCCCTTCTTCCTCACCACGCTCCCCGTCCCTGCCCCCTTCCTCCCCGCCCCCCCCCCCCACAAAACACACACACGCAGGCATTTCGTGGACTGGGCCCTCACCGCCTTCCGCCTCTTCCGCCGCCACCGCCTCACCCTCATCGCCACCTTCAACGAGCCCACCTGCGCCGCATTCACCGGCCACATTGTGGGCATCCATGCACCCGGCCGCCGAGGCGCCATCGCCACCGCGGGCCGAGTGCTGCTGCACATGCTCCGGGCGCATGGGGCGGCCTATCGCGCCATTCGGGGGGAGCCGGGCAGCGAGGACGTGCGGGTGGGGCTGGTGCACCAGCAGATTCGGTTTGAGGCGGAGGGTGAGAGGGGGTAAAAATAGATAATGAGACACTGACGAAGCAACTGACGAGCTGAGAAGGGGGGGGAGGCGAGGGAAGAGGGGAGGGAAGGGGAAGGGAAGTGGGAAGGGTCTTGCGCCCATCCGCCAGGGGCTTTCGCATTTATCGTTATCGTAATTCGGTCGCACTTCTTTTCCCTTCTGCCAGGCTCCGGTCGGCTGCACGGTGCGGCTCGCTGGACTGCCGACTGGCTCACACACTGCTTCGGATGGCAGGTGTGTGGGGGGGTCAAAGACCATACCAAACCATAGGAGACCACAGGTGGGGGGAAAAATTAAATAAGTGGGGGTAGCGGCATGGGCGTCTGCTGCTAGCTGGCAGGCTACGGTACGTCTCTTTGCTACACAAATGTCACCTTGACTCTGCTAATGCGTTGTGCCTTGTTGGTCATGGTGATTCGGAGACCCAATTGTTGCCCTCCTGTTGCATCCCACCTCCCACTCCTGTTTGCATTTCTTATATAATTTTCCCCACTCCACCCACCCCACCCAGGTGGTCCACGACTACCTGCTCAGCGGCCGCTTCCACTGGCGGCTGCCGGGCGGGTGGGGCGCCAGCGGCGGCAGCGGCAGCAGCCACTACCTTGAGGTGACGGAGCAGGGCGGCCGGCCGCCCTGCGACTGGTGAGGAACATGGAACCCGATGGTTTGCTGAGTACCGTAACTGTGGTTTGCTGGCTCAGCAATGTTGAGACATGGATTGCTGAGGGGATGGTGCTCATATCCGCCGCCGCCGCCGCCGCCACCTCTCCTCTTCCCCATCTTCCTCTTCCACAGTGCTTCTGCGTTTTTACGCTCCTAACCCTAATCTTAATCCTCTTCGTCCTACTCCGAAACCACCGCAACCATTCATTCCGCCGCCAGGCTCGGTATCAACTACTACACGCGTGTGGTGCTCGACTGGCGCCTGGGCTTCACCTGCCGCCCGGGGGAGGTGCTCACAGACATGGGGTGGCCCGTGGTTCCGGAGGGACTGTACGACGCGATCGCGCACTGCTCGGAGCTGGGGGTTCCGTTGTACGTCACGGAGACGGGTATTGCGGACGGACGGGATGACCGGCGAGGGGCGCTGATTGCGGGGTACTGGCAGCAGGTGTGTGTGTTAAGAAACCTGGCGTGTGCCGGTGTGTTAAGAAGACTGGCGTGTGCCGGTGTGTGTTAAAAAGCCTGGTGTACGAGGGGTGCGGGTGTAGGGTGCTGGTAGGGTGCTCAGGTATGCCCGAGGGTGGTGGCGCAAGGCGTTGCAAAGCTCTAGAGCATGTATAGCGTCGCTGGTCTCCCTCAACCCTCCAACAACCTGCCTGTGCCTGTAAATATAACTGTGCTGGACAACTTCATTAATAAAATTCAGCGACCCAACTTGCTGGTGGCCTGCCAGGTTGCTCGCGCCGTGTCCGACGGTTTCGACGTGCGCGGTTTCTACTACTGGACCCTCTGCGACAACTTCGAGTGGCACCTTGGCTACAACATGAAGTGAGTGGGCGCGGGCGCGCGGGCGCGTTGGATGGGGTGGGTGGGTAAAAAATATAATGAGGGGTGGGGTGGGTGGGGGTGTACGCATACTGGCATAGCGGAATGGCCGAGGCCGGCCCCTGCCTCCTCATTTGCTTGCGGGTTACATCCATCTTGCTTGCAAGAGGAGTTGCCCCTCCTGAGGTTCTGCTGTTGAGAGGTTTTGAATATTGGATTCGGCTGCTGTTCTGGATTTCGGGATGCTAGGCTGGGATCATGCGTGCTAGCGAACTACAGTGGGGCATGTAGCTTGCGCCGTGCTTAGCCACCACGTCAGGCCACAGCCGCCTCTTCGATTTCTTGTCGTCATCAGGTTCTTGACTGACACCCCTGCTGCCGCACCACAACCACCACACAACCATCCGCCAGGTTCGGCCTCTTCGAGTGGACGGAGGCGCCGCCCCACCCGCACGCCAACCCCGCAGCGGAGGCCGCCGCCGCCGCCGCCGCCGCTGCCGCCGTCGAGGGCCCCCGCCACCACCCCAAGACCGCCCTCCCTCGCCTCAAGGTCGCCGCCGGTCCCAACGCCGCCGCCACCGCCACCGCCACCATCATCGGAGTCTCGCCGCCAGGTACGCCGTGGCGTTGGCCCAAGCTGCCGTCGGAGGTGACGTCAGAGCTCCCAGAGCTGACGTCGGCGGACTCCGTCGTCGTCGCTGACGGCGGCGGCGGGGCGCTTGCGGTGCCCGCCGGTGCTGCCGCTGTCGCGGCAGCGGCGGCGCATGCCGCCGCCGCGGCGGCGGAGGCCAACGGCAGCCGCTGGTCAGGTCGACGGCTCCGTCGGGGTTCCCTGGAGCTGGTACGACGCTACGCCGCCACGCCGGACGAGCTGGCGGCGGCGTGGCAGGCGCTAGCGGAGACCGTCTGGCCACATGTGCCGATGCCGACGGCGCTGGTACGGCAGGCGGCGCCGACGGGGGACGGCTGCGGCGGCGGTGGAGCTAAGGGGATGGCGGGGGTGCTGGCGGCGGCGGTGCGGGGGATGCTGCGGGTGGTGGCGGCGGTGGTGTATGTGCCGCTGGCGGCGGCGGGTGCGGTGTGGAATCTGGTGCGGAGGCCGTTGCGGGGGTCAGTGGCATGGGCGGGGCGGAAGCTGGGGCGTGGGGATGAGCAGAAGGAGGGACTCTTGTTTGAAGCGTGAGCAACAGAGTATGCGCAGAAATGTATGCTACAAGAGCAGCTGTGAGCAAACGGCTGGAGTGTGCGTGTGTGTGTGTGAATAAACATGATTAAGTAGGCATGCATGCATGGGCACGTTTTGGAGATGGTTCAGATGGGGAGGAGGAGTTCAGTACGAAAGGCCGCGGGGTGGGATTGCGCTGCACCGTCTGATGTGCTGCAACCTGCAGCCAGCCCCGTGTGAGTTTGTAGGTCCGTATCTCGGCTTGGGGAAGAGCCGTTTCGTGAGAAGAAAATAATTTCTTACTTGTGTACTTGAGATGCAGTCAGGCGCAATGGACTAAGTGTCGTATACGATTTAAAGGCATGGCGGATGGAGGCTGGCTGAAGCATATTACATTTAGGCATGCTCCTATGCCGCTATGTGTGCCCCGAGAGTATGGTTGCAATTAGAACATAATAAGAAGAAATAGATGGACATCGATTGTCATCGGTAGCAACAGTATACCGGTCTGTGTACCGACATGTGTATTTGGGGAGGCACAGTGAGCACATGCGCATCTACCAAATTACCGTATGCGGCTGTACCGTATAAAGAAGGAACAGCGTTTGTGCCATCTCTCTTGCGTGGTATGTTTGTTTGGGGCATGTACGGATGACAAAAGCAGTATAATAGCGCTAGCCCAGACCAATGGACGGAGGGGTACATTCCCAACAAGTGCGGATAAACAACCATGATTATTGCCAAGTAAGACGTTTCATCGACATAGCATAATCATCCTTGTAACTCTTCATACCCATATCCCCGTATTAAGTCCATGGCATGACTCGAGCTATAAATAAATGCAAGCTACTGCATATCCTGGCATCCTGCCAACCGCGAACTGCTAGCCGCTATAACCGCCCTTCCCAGGCGGGATCGAAGGGACCCAGCGCACCATTCAGCTGGATTTGAAGTACCGGTAATGGGACATGACTTAGAAAACCATGGGTCACCTTCCCCAGCATGCACATGCGCACGGGTTATCAAACGATCTTGCACAACCCTCCTCAACACTCATCACCCATCATGCGCTTGTCAACGGGAAATCCCCCGCCTCACTCGCCTGCAGCGGCCACACCACAGGCAGCAACCGGTGCCGCGCCACCGCCCCATCAACCCGTTGTCCCCCCTTGCTGCCGCCGCCTCCGCCCCCTGCCCCCGCTGTCAGCGCAGGCAACCAGGCCGCGTAGCTCTCCGCGTCCTCATCGTGAAGCAGTTCAGGACGCAGGGAGGGGTCGGAGCGGCGGGACAGTAGCCGGGCTCCGTCGGCGAAGAAGGCGACACTGCGCGGGTGCGCAAGAGGGCGAGGGAGGAGGGAGTGGCGGATGGAGCGATGAGGGAGGATGGAGCGGCATTGCGTGCAGATCTAGATACGGCAGTGCTCCGGGAGGAGTCCATGACTGTGAGCCCTAAGCTATGGCCCTATGAGAAGCCTGCGACTTTGGCAGACAGGCAGGCCCCGAACTCCCCGAACACCACAACCACCCCATGTACGTACGTGAGGGCCAGTCGCGGCGGTGTGCCGGGCGGCTGCGGTGCCGCGCAGTGGAGTGTCCAGCCGTGGTGCCAGCTCACATCGCCCACCTGCATGGGGCCTGCAGCGGGGGACACAAAGAGGGGGCGTGGGCGTTTGATCGAGCCATAAAAAAAACACACATGCCATACATAGAATAAAGGTGAATCCAGATGTGCTGCTGCTGCCCAGGAAGCCAACAACAGCAGGGACCCACAGGGAACCACAACCCCAAGGGACAGCTCCACACTCCTCAGCGTCTCGGCTCCTCACCCGTGTCCTTGATGGGGTATCCCCGGTCCGACAAGTCTCGTCCCTCCATGTCATGCCAAAACGGCAGCGCGAAATCGCGGTGAGACCCAGTCGCAAAGATGAGGCCCGAATCTCCTGCCGCCTGCTGCGCCTTCTTCCTCTTCCGTCCACCACCATCACCGCTACTGCTTCCAGCACCGCCCGCTGCCCCTCCGATAGGGCGCAACGGGATCCAGGCGGTTACCAGTTGGTTGGTGTCCAGGGGAGCCATGCGCAGGTCACTGTGCCAGTTGGTTTCCGCAAAGCCCGGCTCCTTAAGGAAGAGGCAGTCCTGGCACACGAGCCGCATGATAGGGTACATGAGCGGTCATGGAACGGGACTTGGAACGGGACATGGAACGGGACTTGGAACGGCAGCGCGCACATGTCCTAAACAAACTGGCGCCCCATGCATCCCATTTCCCGTATGAGATGCGACGACGCCATGCATGCCTCCAATCGCTTCACCCAATCGCTTCAACCCACCCGCCTCACCCCTCCCCATAGCGCCACCCAGTACTTCTCACGGCTCAGGGCCTCTGGCATGTTCCATCTGATACACCCACATCACTTGTCATTTGATGCCACATGCGGGCCATGCCCCCAACCAGCAGTCCCTTACCCCCACCCCGCCCCGCGCCCCACCTGGTACACTCTCACGCGGCGAGCCCCCAGCAACTGCGCAGCCACAGCCGCCAACTCCGGACCCAACGCCACCTGCATGTGTTGAGGAGAGGAAGTACCAAGTACGGTACGACAGCCGCGTTAAGAGGGTGCTTCAACCTCTGTTCCTCCGTATACAAAAAACCGCACCCACCCATGCGCTCATGCGCTCACCCGTGCGACATCCTCGTTACTTCGGTGCAGGTTGAAGAACTGCAGGAAGCCCAGGTCGTCCGTGGCTTGGGCCGCCAGCGCCGCCCGGGCCGCTGCCTCGGTCGCCAAGGTCGCAGGATTGATACCCGGACACAACACACGGACGCGGTGACGCAGAGAATCCAGCCGCCGAGCTGCGACCTCCGCCTCACAGCTGCCTTTCAGAGCCTCGACCTAGGGTAGCACGCGCACGCAGCCAGCAAGGCGGTGTTACCGGTACCGACCGTTTGGTTAATGGAAGGTGTGATTTGTGCATGTGTATGTGTCGTATAGGTTGGGTTGTGTTGCTTTTGGGGGGTTCTTACGCTCGTACCCACCTGTTGGGTTTGCAGCAGTTGGCGTGTTACTAAGAAGCCTTCACGCTCGTAGCGCAGGAGTGCCGAGTCGGATAAGGTGGTGTGGCTGCTGGGGCTAGATTTGTTAGCATGGAAAGGTCGGGCTTTAGATGAGGGGTCGCGGTGGGCTGATGCAGGTTGAGGAGCTGTGGAGAGGGCTGGAGTGGCCGGACTGGCGGAGCATGCCGCGCTCGGGCGGGCATTCGCCGCGCTGGTGCACAGTGTTGGTAAGCAGCTTGAATTGTGAGCGAAGTTCCATGTAGCCTTATACGCGCGGTCAGGCAGATGGCTCCGTGGGCTGCATTTAGGGTTGACGCTTGTGGACGGGCGACGCATTGTACTTGCAGCGGCGTAATCGAAGCCGCCTCCTTTCTCAAACGGATGCGTTGCCGGGAATTGGTTACAATACACTCTTAATCCGTCCATTCTCGAACATGGCTGGCCGCGAACATGCTTGTCAAAGTTCCGAGGAAACACGTTCATTTACAGAAGCGCGCATGCAATACATGCAATTGCTTGAGGGCATCGAGTTCACACTACTTCTAGTGCGCAGGTCTCCACCATACTTCAACGGCGACAGCTAAACTTCTGCTGTACAGGCTCTGAAACCAAAAGAGGCTTTCCTGTCTGTGCTGAACGCTCTCGATACAGGTTTGTTGGCATGGCGATATGACAAGTACAACTTATCGTGGCTGACCGTAGCTGCAATACTTAGACGCTTAGAGACTAGGTGGCGCGCACGCCATGGACTTCCCTAAGACTGTAGAGGAGATATTTGAGGATTACCAGCGGCGGAGAAGCGGTCTCCTTCGGGCCCTTACGGACGGCGAGTGATGCTGCGTTATTATCTTTCGGTGCTTGAGCAGCGTCCGCTCTGAAGTTGCGTTGGCGCTTGTCCGCAGACCTCGAGGACTTCTACCAGCAAGCAGACCCAGAGCGCGACAACCTGTGCTTGTACGGTGAGAAGTCTGCCAAGCCTAGCACTGACTTTACGCGTTCCTTCTTGCCGGTCATGCCCGCGTTGAACGCGTTGGCTTGCTCTCCCCGTGATGCGCAAGCCCATAGGCAAGTGACCATCTGTCTTTGCTTTACATCACTTACCATTACATCGGTGTGTTGCGGTCCACAGGCACACGGGATGGAAATTGGGTGGTGGAGCTCCCGGCCGAGGAAGTTCCGCCAGAGCTGCCGGAGCCATGCCTAGGTATCAATTTTGCAAGGGATGGTATGCAGAAGGTATGTTCGGCCTTATTATTCTGTCATACTGCTCGCCCCGAAGTCCCTGTCGCTTACCGGGGCTCATCGAAAAGCTAAGCTGCTTGCTGACGAACGCCTGCAGAGAGACTGGGTTGCGCTAGTAGCGGTACACTCGGATTCGTGGCTCCTAGCGGTTGCCTTCTTCTATGGTGTAAAACTGGATGCAGCCGGCAGGTGAGCGTGACAAGCCGTTTCTCGGCTTGCTGATTTGTCCTACATCCTACAGAAAGCCCGTATTAAACAATTCATGCGTCGGGCCCTGTGGTAACGCGGCCGTGGCGCGGGCTTGCAGGAATCGGCTGTTTAAGCTCATTAACTCGTTGCCCACCTTGTTCGAGAGCGTCACCCAGCGGAACAAATATAAGACAGCAGCACCACCACAGCCGCCACAGCCTGGGCCCGTGGTGAAGAAAAAGAAGTTTGAGGACCGTCCCACGGAGAGCAAGTATCCGTCTGGACGCCTCCTTAAGCAGGACGATGTTTCGCCTGCCCTTAAGGGGCGACAAGCGGAGGTGAGTTGGGTTGAGCATTGTCCCTGGGTGAAGGAGGGGGCGTACAATACCGGGATGTTATCGCTTGGGCGGCAAGGCTGGTATCCTAAGGTGTGTGCTCAAGGGCTGTGCATGGCGAGAACCAAATCGCTTGGCCCTCCATTCGACGCGGCCCATGCTAGCTGGCCTTCATATCCACTCTTTCTTCCACTTGCCCCAACACGCCCTCTCGTTCCAACGCGCCCTCTCGCAGCTCTTCTGGCCCGACAACCAGCTGTGGTACCTGGTGGAGATCATCAGCGTCAACGCGAAGACAAAGCAGGCCAAGTAAGTCCTTGGGGTAGGGAAGGGACCCGCTTGGCCAGGAGTTTCGGGAGGGCACGCTGGGAAAGGCAGGAACCGATCCGCTGACCTTGCTCACACGCGCGCCTTTGCGGCAAGGGCTTCCCGTGTGGCTTAGCGTCTATGCATTTTCCCTGTGTTCACACCTTGTTACCGTGCTCTTTCTTTCCAGGATCGTGTACGCGAGCGGCGAGGAGGAGGACCTCGACCTCGCGGAAATTGTGCGGGAAGGCCACATGGCCTTGTTATGATGCATGTCGGAGGCGGATGCTGGGAAAGGGTGCGGAGACAATTTGAGGGTAGTAGAGCAATAAACGGGGCTTTGGACCTCATGCTATACGAGCGTTGCGTGTTGTCTGTTTCATTCTTACCGAGCACAAAGAGTGGGAGGGTTGGGACCGCCGTGTAACCTGCGTAACCGCAGCGTTGCTGCGTGCATGTGACAGCGAACAGACGTTTCTGAAGTTCAGGATCTGGAGGTTAGGTGTGTTCGCTTGGTGGGATAATTAGAGATGGATAGCCGGGCAGCCCTGTGCAACAACGCGCCCGGTTGGTGTTTTGGGATTGAATCGTGAAGGCGGTTAGCACATTAGGTAGGAGGTTGGGGAGCTGCATAATGCAGTGTGCGCGGTCTCCCTCGACGGCGGCCATGCGTGTGTTGCGTTTGTGCGGTTGGGGCACTGCCACACGCCAAAGCTAGAGTCGTGTGCACGTACAAAGCGGGTGTGTACAGTACAGGGCGATACCCGTACCCGGCACGTGAAGAGCGGATGATGACGATCCCCCCTGTTTAGGAGGAGTCATGCTGCACATGAAAATACCGGCCTTTGGCCGCGCAGTGCATGGCTTCCTGCTGATTTTCTTGTTGTAGGATAGGTCGTGCTGACTTGAGGAGTCTGCCTTCGTTTACCGGCGCCTTTGCTGGTTGCCGGTTGCTTTTTGGTTCGGAAAAAACGTACACGGGGTTACATCGGGCTCCCCTTGACTTGTTGCTGAACGATGACTTTCTGTTGTTCACGTTTGTTGCGCCAAGCGCTTTCATGTGTGCGTGTTTGGAGTTTGGCTCCCGGGTTCATGCATCTTACTGCACCCTTAGTAAGCGGCCGTGGCCGGGGCGTGCGGCACTGTGGCATGGAGGATGCCTTTGGTTGCTTATTTGGGATCAAAACCAAGGACAGCGGATTGTGTCAATCGTGCATCCATATGACATATGTGTCCTCTGACCTTCCGTACACATATCTTGACATTGTTTCTTGTGTTGACCCTGGAAATGCGGCATTGTTGTTTCGAGCTTGCCGGTTGGCGAGCGAACTTTTTTCCCTGCGGCGCTACGTAAGCGTGGCAGTGGCATAGTACTTGGGCCGGTTTGCGTCGTTTACTGGCTGTATTTTGAATCTTGAGGGGAATTGGTTTGGAGGGTTGAAACTATACTGCTTGCATACCTCCAGAACTATGGGAGAGAGCTGGGGTGGGGGTCTTTAAGACGCCTGCCGTTCGACAACTTGGCAGCATTATGCAAAGGCATACGCAGATGTCGTCGGGTGTCTTGCCGTGCCTCCCAGCTTCATATTACTCTTTTGTGCGTCGCATGCGCTCGTCACTCTCCTTAGCGGCCTTCAGCGTGAAGCTTTCCTCAGTCAGGTTGGTTTCGGAGCCATTGACTAAAACAACCTAAAGACGGGCTAGGCAACCGAGAAGGCACCCATGGTGGCGATGCCGTGTAAAGATTCAGCGTTCCGCCACTGGCGGCGGGCTCAGCGACAGCTAAACCTAAGTCGGACCGGCGTTCAGCAGTCCTGAAATCAGACCGTCGGGTTACACTCGCAGCATGGCAGCATGACATGTCAGAACGCGAACGCGCCATAGGCTTGATAAGTGATGATTCGCATCCTTGGGCTCTTTGGGGTGATGGACGAGGCTCCGAACCCGGCTTCGGGGCCTCCCTTGCGGACATTCCGTAAACCACAACGCCAAATTTTTGACACAAAAATCACAATCGCTGTCACACATCTTCCCAGCAACTTAATAAGGCTATGTAACAAGTCCCATTTGCTTGCATCAAATGTGTGGAATAGCCCTCGCTTGCGTAGCAAGGACAACCGCTGCCTCTTACACAAGTTCTAGTTGCGAATGTGAATCAGACACCGCAAATGCACGCACGGAGGCTAGTGCTTCGGCGCCGTTGTCTGAGTTTCTTGCAGGGCTGCGAGCAAGGGGCCCTGACCACATCGGCACCCACAGTGTAAGAGCGAACCAGTCCTCTATCCGCTTTATCAAACCAAATATGGTGGCTTGGGTCAATAAATAAGGTTGCATATTACCACATGGTATTTCGACTCGGCCTTGCAAGGCAAACCCCACGTCTGCTGCCCTCGCTTGGTGGTCCCCTGACATACCTCAACCCCTCAGGTTTGGACCGCTGACGTGGAATGCCACCTGACCTTTGCCGCCTCGTTGCTGCAACTAAGGGGATTCCAGCCCCGTACAAGTCCCTGTTCCAGTAGCGACGGTCACGTCCTCTGTTTCAACGGTAATACATGCGCTACGCTGTGCAAGCAGCCGCCTCTTGTCACACTCTCCCATGATGTGGCCAAATCACCCAACTGTGCGTGTTTTTGGCTCCTGTACGGCATACAGGGGAAGTATTTGGTGGCTTGGGTGTACGGCCCGGACAGAACGACGGCGCATGCTTGATGGCTGCTCTTCATCGCGCCACTGCCTGCAGCGACGGGTCAGCAGGAGCAGCAGCAGGTGCGGCGAGCGTATGGGCGCACGCGCACCCGTGTTCCCCGCACCCAGCACCTTCCAACCACCTGCCCCACATGTTCCCCCCTTGTTGCAAACTCAACAATCACAACTCCCCCCAACCCTCTTGCAGTCCCCGACGTGCTCAGCCGCATTCGAGGGCCCTGGGCGCTGCTCTTCTGGGAACCCCACCGGCAGCGGCTGTGGCTGGGCCGCGACGTGCTGGGTGAGCTGCATCGTGTTGCCGTATCGTGTTGCCGTACCGTGTTGCCGTATCGTGTTGCCGTACCGTGTTGCCGTATCGTGTTGCCGTATCGTGTTGCGGGCTCTGGTTGCGGCTGTGGCTGTAGCTGCGATTGTAGCTGTGGTTGTGGTTGTGGCTGCGCTTATGTGGCTCACTGCATTCATGTAGAATTAGGATAGAGGCCTTGGTTCGTCGTGCCCCGTGATTCCTGTGACTGTACGAACGACACGCTGCCCGCAGGTCGCCGCAGCCTGCTTGTCCACTTTCCCGACGACAACGACCCCCGACTGCTGGTCACATCCGTGTCGCAGCTGCCCGCTGCAGCAACAGCAGCAGCAGCAACGCAGCAGGGACCTCCAAATGGCGATGACGATGACGCAACTATTGCCGCTGCTTCTGCTGCTGCTGCGACCGCCGGCGCTGGCGCGGTGACGACAGCGACGGCGGCAACAGTCGCAGCGGAGGGAAAGGTGGCAGCGGCAGTGGGGTCCGTGGAGTGTGGGATTTCTCGAGGAGCCAGCGGTGTGGGAGCTGATGGCCTGGCTACGAGTGCTGGGAGCGGCGGCGTGGGTGGTGCTGGTGCTGGTGGTGGTGGCGGTGAGGAGGAGGAGGGCGGGGAGCCCTCAGGCACGGATGGATACTGGGTGGAGCTGCCGCCTGGGCTGTACAGCGTTACCTTTGGAGGCAGCAGCGCAGGGCGAGAACAGGGGGCAGCGGCATCCGAATTGGCAGCGGCGGCAACAGCAGAAGCAACTGCAGCAGCAGTAGCAAAGGCATGCTGCAGCGATGAGCAGCACCACAATGGAGCAGATGCTGCTGCTGACGGGGCTGCTGAGGTTGGGGCTGCAGAGGGTACTGCTACTACTACTGCTGCTACGGCCGCAATCTTCCGGCGGTTTGCGGTTGGTGATGCCGTACAATTGGTCATGGTACGACATGCCTGGCGGGATCCGCTGTTACTGGAACTTGAATCGTACCGCCGGGCAGAGACGCTGGAGACCGAAGGAAAAGGAGCAGCAGCAGCAGGAGACCCGCAGCAGCAACAACATCAACAACAGCCTGGCCCGCCGTTGGCACGGCAGTTAGAGGAGCAGTTGGTTACCGGTTGCAACGGACGTAACGAGGCCCACTTGTCAGTAGTGGGGGCGGCTGGGGAGGTGGCTGCTGCTGCTGGTGCCTTGTGGGGTCCTGCGGTGGAGGGCGGTGCTGGGGAGCAACCGGAGGAGGACGGCCTCAGCTGTTGGATCGAGCGGCCGCTGCCGGCAACACCGCAAGACGCCGCGAACGCCCTTCTCAACGTCTTGCTGGTGTGTGTGCTTTGCCAAAGTAATATGCGGGTTTCCTGCTTGGGGCTTTTCGGCGTTGTGTGACATCTCACAATTGTTTTATGCCTCCCGTACCATTTTCCATTTCGTTTTGCAATGCCTGACGAAACCGTATCTGCTTGTATACCGGCATGATATTCCCCACAGGCCGCCGTCCGCATTCGCTGCGCCGCCATCAACACTCGCTCACCGCACCCTGCAGCCGCTTTCGCACAGGCGGCAACAGCAGCCGCAGCAGCAGCAGCAGCCCAGGGTGGTCCACCGCAGCCTTCCTGGCGCCAAGCGGCCGATCCCCTGTGCGGCTTCACACTCGGTGCGCATGCCGGCTGCGCTGATGCTGATGGCGGGGCAACAAACGGCGTATGTGGCAGCAGCGAGGCAACTGGCAACTCGGACGCCTGCTTGGTGGATTCGTTCGCAGGTTCAGGCTGGTGCGGCGGTGATCCCCGCAGTACGAATGGAAGCAGCAGCAGCAGCCGTAGTGGCGACAGCGGCGCCAGCAAGCAGGACAGTCTTCATTCCGCAGCGGCTCCCGCAGCTCCCGCAGCAGCTCCCGCAGCGGCTCCTGTGATGATCCTGTTCAGCGGCGGAGCGGACTCGGTGCTGCTGGCCGCGCTGGCTCACCGGGCACTGCCGCCCGACGTGCCGATAGGTGGGAGAGGCTGAGAGGGGCTGATGGGTGCATGAACCCCTCGCGAGTGTTCCGGCCACAGCTCCCCCCCTGCAGGTTTTGCACATCTAGCCAGAGGCACTTGCGGAGTCAACGGTTTAAACCTGATGTTTTTCCCGGCATTTTGTATGCTGAATTACGCTCGTCTGTGCTCCACGCTGATCGGTTTCGTGACCTGTTCACCCCTCACGGCCCCTCTTTCCTCTCTTCCCTCTCACTCCTCCCTCCCCGCCCTCCGCACCAACCCAAGACCTATCCAACGTCTGTTTCGCGGGTGGCACCTCGCCCGACCGCCTGGCGGCTCGGGCAGCCCTATCGGAGCTGTCAGCTGCCTGCCCGGGTCGGCGCTGGAGGCTGGTGGAGGTGGATGCGGAGCTGGGGGACGTGGATAGACACCGGTGGGTGGGAAGACAGGGTGCTCTGTAGCAGGGTATGTGTTCCTACCTTCCGAGCAAACATTCGGTATACGGTAGCATTTGTTTCTAGCAAGTTTGGTATTGTACCTGTTCATAGCGCGCATTAGGTAAACTGCCGCACAAGCGCGTACAGAGCGGCAGGTGAGGTCGATAATGGCGATGCGCTGTGGAATACAGCTTTGCCAGGGGCAGAACTGACAATGCAATTCCTGCATGGGCATCACAACCCCTGCACGGATGTTCCTCGCCTCACTCGTGGTGGTTTAAAAGAGCGCCACCTGTCAGAATTTCCTCCCAAAAACCCTAAGCTCCTGAAACCCTAAAACCCAAACCCTAAGCTCCGAGCCACCGATTGTGCGTCGCGGTCCCTCTCTTCTCCTCTCCCTCCTCCTCCTCCGCAGGTCCCGTCTGCTCGCTCTCCTGCGACCCGCGCTCACCGTAATGGACTTCAACATCGGAGCGGCGCTATGGCTGGCGGTGGCAGGGCAGGGCACACTCCGCTTGCCGCCACAGAGCGCCGACACACCGAAACGACTGGATCAGCTGCAGCAGAACCAACCGGAGCAGCAGCCGCAGCAACAGGACCAGGACCAGCCGGTGGTAACACCCCACATGCATGCAGCAGATTCCATCGCCGCTGCCGTGCCAATCACTGCGACCACCACCATCACAACCACCTCCACAACCACCATGACGCTTGAAGAAGGGCAGTTCTACGGTTCCGCGGCGCGTGTCGTGCTGCTGGGTCACGGTGCAGACGAGCAATGCGGCGGGTACGGCAGACACCGTACACGGTTTCGGAGCGATGGTTGGCGGGGCCTTGCAGGGGAGCTCGAGGTGGATGTACGGCGGTTGTGGCTCCGAAACCTGGGACGAGATGACCGTTTGGTTGCGGATTGGGGCCGGGAGGCCCGGCACCCGTTCTTGGACGAGCATGTGATGGCGCTGCTGTTGCGGATGCGCTTGGATTGCATCCTTGGTGAGTGGGCCTGAGGCATGACTGTTCTTGGATCCCCCTTGTGTCGTCACGGCAGTGGTACGTGGGGCAATGCGTTCGGCTGCCTACCGGTATTAAAAAGCCCTTTTTGGTAGCCCGTTATACCTTACAATTTCCATCCTGTAGATGCCGTCTGCCGCTGCAACTTCTTTCCTTCGGTGTGTCAATCTTGCATGCTCCTCTTGTTTTAGCCTCAGCCCGTCACTGTCCCCCTAGTTCCGACCCATGGGTCACTTTCTTCTTTCTTGTTGCTTACGTTGTCGTCTCGTCCTAAATGTGCGTGTGTGCCTTCTTCCCTATCGTCATCACATTCATTACCACCATCAATATCACCACCATCATACAGACATGCGGCTGCCGGCGGGCCAGGGCGACAAGGCGGTGCTGCGCCGAGCGCTACAGCTACTCGGTCTGCCGCAAGCCGCCGGCCGTGTCAAACGCGCTATCCAGTTCGGCAGCCGCATTGGGAAGATGTCCAACCGACGCGACTTTGGCAGCAACCGAGCGGCAAACAAGAAGAACGCGGGTGGTGTGGCACTCCAGGTGGGGTGTACCGGTACGGTTTGTTGGGTAATTGTGTTTGTTCGTTACTGTATCCTACCTGCGAAGGGGTTCGAGTTGGAGCTTACACGGGGACGGGTCAGGACGCTTTGCTAGCTAACGTATCCTCTGCTGCTCTCCACTCAGGACATTGAACTGCCACTCCTTTACCCCTTTACTAAGCCTAGTACTACAGCCCATCTGTATTGTCGACTGGACTATATTATAGAGCCATTTGCAGTTCCGTAGTTCATCTACGGCTACCTTGCTGCCGACGAGTTCGAGTTCGTGGGTTCGAATTCGTGGGTTTGAATTCCACGCCGATCTCACTGCCAACAATCCTGCCCTTCGTGTCGGCATGCAGGACGTTTCTCGAGCAGCAGCAGAGGCGGCCGCGGGCGCATGGGTCAAGGTGAAGGTGAAGGCGCCACGCCGCCGCGACAACTGACAAGCCTCTTCACCCTGTCGTGCAACACCTTACCGAGCCAAACCCCAAGGTGGAGGAGCCCTGGAAAGCCCGGTCCGCTGTTCGAAGCTTTCACACTTAGCTTTGGTTACAAAGCCATGCACGAGCTGCAATCCAATGCGCTCCTTGCTTGTAATATTTTCTGCCCAAGAAACAAGAGATCTGCGCACATTCCTGTGCGCCCGTACGGCAGGAACTATATAGCACCCTGACAGGCCTGCCTGCATACGGCCAATCGTACCGGTACTTCAGCTCATAAACGCTCGCCAACGAAAAATTCCAGTAATACTTTGCACGAAGTCTTTTTCACCGCGGCAGCCCCGGCTGCATGAAGTGTGTGCTGGGGATCTCACACGGCCCTGAAACCATGGGGCCTGCCGTACTCTGGTCGCTATTCCTTCTTGTTACCTTCACGCGAAAAGGAAGGAAGGAACTTTTTCTCTGTGACTCAAACCGCACCTCCTCCGTCGTTCAGGAGGACAGACGAACTAGCTAGCTAAGAAGCAGCAGTCCAAGCCTGGACTAGGTTGGTATCCAGCAGCATATGTGGTACGCAACTTAGCCTATCACGATAATAGAGCCTCCCAGCAGCACATTAGAACCAACAACTAACTGTACTGCAGCCGCCGCCACAACAGAAATGTACTGCAAACAATGATGCAACGCAATCCACAGCCTTACGCGCTCATCGCACACCCTTACTCACGAGGACGCCTGGAATGAGTTCACAAGGCCTCAACACGGATACATATGCTGAAGGTTTTTGCGCGAAGGCCTCCCCTCCCCCGCCTATACCGTAAATGCCCACCCAGCCAACCCAGCCATTCTTAGCTAAACAGCTGTCGCCTTAGGGCCGCCGTCTTCAATAGCTATGCAGGGCTAATGATTGCAAGTATAGCACGAGACACAGACGACGTAGGTGGCACAGTTTAACGCACTGGCGCGGCCCAACCGACTTGCATGAGCTTGAGCTTGCTTGAATAGGCAACCCAGTGTGAGCAGCAGCACCGCTTTACTAATGTGCCGAACCAACGCACAATAATTTCGTACTTGTGCAGGGCTGGCAGCATGAGTTCAGACACGCAAGCTTGTCATGACAGGCTCACCATCAGGCCAAGATGCAGTGGAGAATTAAGGCGCGAGCGCAACAGCACCAGCATGACAACAAAGATTACGTAAAGGAATTAGTCATCATCACACGCACGCACGGAGGGCATCAGGAAACCAACCCTTACTCGTATCTTCTCCACTCCTTTGACACTCGGACCAAGCTTCAACTCTTCTTCCTAGCGGAAGACAGACGCAATACCCCAGTACCTCCATACTCGCGGCCAGTTTTCAAAACACAAAACTGTACTATGCCATCATGCGACTCGCACCGACCATCAATTGATGACAGTTGCCAACGCTTCATCAGAGTTTACCTCAGCTTTCCTGGACAAGCAAGTAACCACTCCCAACCATGCAGCCATGTTGCAGCACTGCTGACACCTACCGCCGAACAGCCGTGTGCCCGTGTAACGGTCGTGAATCTTCTATCTCTGCACTTGCAAGGATGCTGTGCACATTCCCAGACGCCCTAAACCGCTCGCCAAGAGCTGCAGCCTATGCAGCAGCCATGCTTGCATGCATGCGTATCGTCGGTAGCCAATTTGGGACCCGTTGCAACGCTCTGTACAACAAATGTATATCGACTTCTGCCTATAATAATCCTGCCAAAAAATTCAAACAACGATTACGCCCGCCCGCAGGAACTCCGCCAGGCTCATCGTCAAGAGGACACAGATGTCAGCAGGTCCGAAGGCGCCGTCTTAGGTGTCCCCGCCTCCTCCTGACGCTCTGCTGCTTCGACTGTAGCAGCAGCAGTCACAGCAGTCAAAGCATTGTTTCCGCCCGGCAGCAAGTAGCACAGCAAGTCGCCCTTGCCCTTGACAGGAATCTTGCCCCGGGGCTGAAACAGCGACTGCTCCTGCGGCTGCAGCATCTCGAACGTGATGGCGCTGATCTGCACGTGTCCTGGAATGCCCGTGCTCTCCATGCGCGAAGCACTGCACAGGGGGAGGAACACACAGGGTAACTTTGATTCGCAGCCATGCACGAGGGGAAACCGTTTCGAGGCTAACATTGTTGGTGCTTGCTTTGGACACCCCGTGTAACCTGAAAGCTCAGGAGGGAACCCATCTAGGTTGCCAGGATAGGCAACGGGCATGTCGATTGCCGCTGCCACCTGCCACCTACGATACCACAGCGATCACCACCAACCGCCGTTCGTACTCACGTGTTTACGGTGTCTCCTGCACAGCAGCAGGCAAGGCGCGAAACGATCAGCATTGCTTGTCATTGCCCAGGAAAGCAGCAAAAATGTCCTCAATCCCACATTGCTTTGGTCTCACGGTAACCCGCCGGAAAAGAGCCCCTAGCAACCTTGGGCTTACCGAAGAGGCAGTAGCGAGCTCGGATGCTTCCCACGATGCCAGACATGACTCGGCCGCTGTGGATGCCTACCCGGATCTGCGACAGGATGGGCAAAAAATCAACAATGAACACCAACAGTCAGATTAGGTCCAAATTCGAGGCCAATTCAAATCCCAACTCGAGGCAAGGCAGGTAGGATGCACCGGCATGCAAGATAAGCGCATCCTGCTGCCATGCATTGCTTGGGGGCCTTGTACCACATGACCTTGTACATACGACAGCCCCTGCCGAACAAGATCCAACAGCAATCAAGCAGCTAGGTACGTCCGCCTGCTGCCTATTTACGTACCTGCACCCCCTTGCCGGTGCTGGGATCGCGCACTGTCGCAGCCGCTCTGAACATGTCCCGCCCGAACGCCAGCAGCGCGGACGCATGACGGGGATCCTCAACCAACAGCCCCGTAGCTCCCATCCAGCAGTCGCCGATGGTCTCAACTGCGCGCGTGCAAGTCAGTCCGATAAGGCAGCGGAGAAAGGAGACAACAAGGTAAGGGACACCCCAGCGGTAGGATTGAGGAGTGGAGATGTGTCCATGCATGGGGCGGATGGAGGCAACAGCAACGGTAAAGGGCAGATGTACGGCAGACTGGTACGGCAAACTTACCTTTGTAGACGCCGTGGATCGAGCACAACGCATCATACTTGGAGTAGAGCTGGTGCAACATCATCATGACCTGCAGCAGCGGGGCGATGTTGAAGTGGCACGGTCGATTGCAATTGGTAGCTTCGCCGCTTTGTCGTACACTTGCAGGACATGAAGCGGTGTGACAGAAGCTGGAACAATCATTTACATCTTGATACATTGTAGGTTACACCAAAGGTATGTAAAGGCATGTGCGCCTACGTACCTCCTCCGGATCAACTTGCTGGCTCATGTTGGTATACCCCACAATATCTGCGGTAACAGGGTAGGGGCGATACAATCCTAAGAAATCCGGTATTCAGGACGGACATGAATGCTTCCCCACAATCCCCAAGTGGGACAGCACCTGCACCTTAACCAAGATAGTACAGCAGAAAGGAACGAAGCAAGGATCGGCAAGAAGGGCTATGCCAGGCCCACCTACCTGCGAAGAGGATGGAGACCATGGGGTGCCACTCCTTGTACACCACAGCCGCAGCTGCCGCCGAATCCGCTGCCTGCTGCTGCTGGCAGCTGCCTCCGCCTCCTCCGTCGCCAGCGCTGCCGTCCGCTGCTGCAGGTCCTTCATCGCTGGGCGGCAGGACGCTGCGGCTGGAGGACTGCAGGGCCTTGCGCTTCAGGGATTCCATGACGGCCTCGGGCATGATGTCTGTCAGGACCGCCTCATCTGCATGGGTTGAGGTGGTAATGCAGTGCATGGTTAACGGTTTGCCCAAGAAGTGTGATAGGCGTATCGTATCGGCCAACAAGCTTCTTGCAGGGCGCAGCAGGGCAAGGTACGAAATTGTGTGTGCATGCGGTTCTGTCATGAAACGCGCTTCCCTTCACATGTCGTCAAGCTGTCGCCACATTCGGTACATGCACACGCACCTGCAGCCAGGGCTTGTTGGACTGCCCGAGTGTACAGCGCCTGACTGATCTGGAGCCCAAAGTCCATCAGCAACTTCCGCGCCAGCTCATCCCAGGCTCCGGAACCCGGGCAGCTGACCAGCAACGCCCCCAGATCGCAGCCGCCATACAGCAGAGGGACCGTGATCATGGATGCAGCGCCGCAGGCCTGATGGCGACGAGCGACACGGGAATAAACTGGTGAGCTAAACATTCGTCAGGCGACAGGAGCGAAAGAGCTATGAAAGTAAGAAGCACAGGAGCAGGGAGATTTACTTAACGACCAGAGAAGACCTTAGCTAGCTTAAAGACATTGTGCAATCAGGTATGGACCAAGGCAGGAATAGTCGTATATGTTCCACTACGTACACAAGAAGTGATGCATGTAATACCGGCGGTACGACACGCTACAGCTCCCTTGACCCTGTGCTGCACGTACGGGACTTTAGGGCACTGTATGGCACGTCTCTGGATGGAAAAGCCACTCTACAGCACATTACAAAGGGCCTCGCTCACCTGGTGAAGCAGTCGCCAGTCCTCGTAGTGGGCGTCCGGGGGCGAGGACGCGAAGTCGTTGGTGAAGAGCACCACCTGGTTCATGAGTGCGTGATGAACACTGGGAAGCATAACCAGCGGCCGGCGTACCTGCTGGCAAGGATGGGGGCACAGACAACATGCATGTGGCGAATGAACACCTACTAAGCACGCTGGCTAGAGAACGGCATGATAACATACGTGGTGTACATGCATGGGGGCCAACAGTCACACAGCGGCCAAACGGCCAGCAGCCCTGGTCAACTCTCTCCCCGCAAAGACTCTATGCAGCCCATTCGCAACAGTCATACACGAGGCATCCGTGAAGACAGGGGCGCAGTCCGTACTACGGTAACTTACCCCTTTGCTGTTGTCGCCCATGCCGTTGGCCCTGAGGACCTCCCCGCCATGAACCACGTGTACCGCTGCTGGCGTCGACTCGTCCATCCTGGCACCTCCCTCAAGCACTACTAGCTCAAGCGTAAAGCCGGCCATCTTCCCGTTCCGGCTACCAACAGTAGCAGCAGCACCGCCGCTGCTGCTACCCATGCTGTTACTGCCCCCGCTGCTGCTGCTGCTGCTCCCGCTGCTGCTGCTGATGTTGCCGGCAGAGCCAGCCGTTGCGTCGAAGGCACCCGCCGTCGCCTCCCTCAGGGCTTCTATGATGGAGGCATCGCTTTGGTCCCCCGCGAGTAGTTGGTCCATGAAGGCTATCAATCGCTGATGTCGCTCGTTATACCAACGGCGCCGAGGGTCGGAGAAGGGTCCCGCACGCAACAGAAGCCTTTGTACGACAGCTAAAGCCACGAATAGCGGCACGGCTACGGCCACCAGGAGCACAGCTTTAGTGCCTTGGGCACTGCCACTGCCGCTGCCATCGCTGCTTGTGGTGCTGCTGCCGGTACTGCTGAGAAGGTTGGGTCCGGTCTCAAGTTGAGCTATGTTCATCAGCTTGATGCTTCGCATGGAGGTGGCTGCTTCCAAGGCGATAGGAGTCAACCAAGCCGAGAGGCTTGCCGCTAGGAATACTGCCGTGGCCACCGCCAGGGTGGTTGCGAGGGTGGAGTCATGCCTGGCAGCAGGAATCAGTAGGGCAAGGTTACGGCGGAGCCATGTTCTTACTGCGAAGCGAAGGCCGTATCCTAAAGCGCTCGCTCTCCTGGATGACTAGCATTAACAAGCCGTGCCAGCAACTTATTACAGCACTGTGACTGCAGTACTGTACCCATGCATACGGCATGCAATGCAAAACAACCAACCCAGAACAACCAGGCAACAACTTACTGGGGCTTCACGACGCTCTTCAGATGCCGGTAAGACGTCTTGAGTGAAACACGTGACAACAGGGCTTCCATGACAGCGTGACCAGCAGTATGCCGGAAGCCTTGCAAGAGCTCCCAAACGCGTGTCCGGAGTCGCATAACCCAGGTAGTGGGGCAGCCATGTGAGGGGCAAGACGCCCGATGCGACTCAGGGGCTTGCAGTGGCGCTGGCTGCTGCGTGGCAGTTACGTCGCTTGCGGCGATTTCCGCCGTGCCAGCAAACGCGAAAGGTGAGTCGCTTGGTGCTTCCGCACAGCCGCCCCATGCCGGGTACTGCTGCTTGTGCTGCTGCTCTTGAGGCGACCCCCCTTGCAGGAGCGTTCGTTCCCCAGGTCTGTTGCCGCTGCTGCTGATGCTGCCAAGTCGCTGCGGCGGCGGCTGGTGCTGTTGTTGCAACTGCTGGGGCTCATGCAGGGCCTGTCCGGCAGTGAGGTGTTCTCCCGGCAGAGGTGACCCACCGTCTAGGGCGATGGGCGACGAAGAGCCAGCACTCGCGGCACTCATGACTGACATCCGAGGCGAGAAGGCGCCGCCCATACTCGGGCTCCGCCGGAAAGAAGGACACGAACCCATCATGCCAGCAGATGTGCTGCCGCTCGTGAAGCCATCCCTAGCCAGCTGTCGTACAGCCACCCTGGAGGCCCCAGCTGCAGGATGTAGCATCCGTACGCTGCCGCAGACGCTACCCGAACCCGACACTGCTGCCGGCGCCATCCTAGCCGCCACCGCCTCCTTGGCAGCTGCCGCACGCTCTAGAGCACGGGATCCAAGCACTGCTGAGACGATGCGTGAGGCGGTGTTCGCGCTGCTGGTTCCGGCACGTGGCCACAAGCAACCGCGGCTGTGAGAACGTCCGGGCGGCTTACGCTTCTTGCCTTGAGGCGTTTCAGCGGCGACATCAGCAGGATCGGTAGCTTCCGTGCTTTGTGTTTTCTGGATGTCGTCGATAGGTTCTAGGAGCGTTAAGTTCGGGGTGCTAGCTCGCTCGTGGTTTAGGGAATCCAGGCTTGACGTACTGCTGTGGCTCAGGCTGCTGCAGGCCGGCGTGCGAGGGGCGCCCTCGCTACCGTCCTGGCTGCAGGCCAGCCAGGTTGCTGAGGAAAGCCTGCTTGGCACGCTAAAGTTTTGAAGCATGGGTGCTGTCTTTCGAATGCTCAGGGAGGGCGAGGGAGGCGGGAACTGCATGCCTGGGCTGCTGCCAGAAGCTGCCAGGGTGCCGCCGGCTCCGTCGCTGCTGCTGCAGCAACCGAAACGGCCGCGCTGTTGCCTGCTGTGCAACGTTGTTGCTGCTGCTGTGGTGCTGCACGTGCTAGACTTGCTCATGACAGTGAGCAATAGCTCCTCATCCGAATCACCGGCAGCAGCAGCAGGCGTAACCGAAATCCTGCCGCCGTTGTCATCTGACATGGCGGCCCCAGCTGCTACCATGCTTCTAACGGAAAGGCAGGCCGTGAAGGCAGCTGCTGGTGAGTTATTACCAGCGTATGATAATGAACCGTCGTCGTGGCGGCTGCCGCTGCTGTTCCTGGCTGCTGCGTTACCTACAGCGCGTCCACAACCAACGAGGCCAAGTGTTGCTGAAGGGGCTGCTGTCGCCGTTACACCCCCCTCCATGAATCCTGCTGCTTCGCCATCTTCCAGACTCTTGCAACTGTCTCCGCAAAAGTATGCTCCCGGCCCGGTAGCAGCAGCATGGCCTTCGTACGAGTGCCGCCCCTTGCCTGCTGCAATAATACCTGCTGCGCTGGGTTCTGTGTGGGCCCTGTCAAGCTGCTGCTGCTGCATTGGCGGACATGGCGCCTCGCAGGCTGACAAGGGTGGGAGCTGGTGCTGCTGCTGAGTCGCTTGCAAGAGCCGTGATGAGGCACCCGACCACCTCCCGAAAGATGGAATTCCTGCTACCATAGCCCCCTCATCCTCATGAATGGACTTGGCGGACATTAAGAACGGCATGTCAGAGGTCTTGGGACGGGGTGCAATCATCTGGCTACTGTCTACCGCAGCAGGGTAGGCGGGGAACCAGCCGCATGTGCCTGATGCAACGGCGGTGGAAGCAGCCATGGGACCGGTTCGTGTGGTTGCTGGGGATGCCCTGTTGCTTATGCTCTGGAAGGCCGCATCCGTAGCATCTACCTCAGCTTCGTCGTCGAGATCTGACCAAACGCCTAAGCACAAGCAGCGGTAGAGGCTGCAGGCCAGAAACGCGACGGCTAGGAACTCCGGATGACGATACGACAGGCTTAAATATGATGCGTCTGATAGCGATGATGATGATGATGCTGATAATGACAATGTACGGCAGCTGCTGGTGATGTACATTTGCAAGACGCTGAAGAGGATGCAGATGGCGCCGACTTGGCTGCAAAGGAGCCCGAGCGAGTCTTCATGCGTGAGCAGGGAGAAGACGGATGCAAGGTAGGCGTGGAAGGCTGCTGCTTGACTGCTGCCCGGACCCGTGCGCGCCTCCGCTAGCACCAGCGCTAGGCGGGAAACGAGGCTGACGTACAGGCCGGCCGCGTTGACCACGCTGTGGTGCCGCTGGTATAGTGTACGGCGTGAGAAGACGCCAATGCAGATGCAACCTATCAGTACGGCACCGCCAGCGCCGGATAGGCTGGCAACCATGAGCTGTTGACGTGGCATGGCGGGAGGGCGGGTAAAGAGGAGGGTAAGCAAGACGAGGGATGTTGAAGAGGAGGCTTTCCACTTGCTGTTAAAGAACCACGAGGATAATGGACCCGGGTTTTCCGGAGTCATCTTGAAATAGCTAGCCATGCAAGCGACACAAGTGCTCAAGACCTATGTACCTGGCGTTGTTGCACAGGCATGGATCAGAGACTGCAGCCCATCTCACGACATTGATCTACTGCGAGGCAACTGACCCATGGGTCACCCAGCACACCTAGTTACCTAGACACCCAGCATCTACGCCAACACATGTCATCAGCTCACCTTCTGCCAGCTTCGCTGCGCCATGCCGCTTCGGAGGTACAGCTCACCGCTGTACAGCAGCATCAGCGCATCCACAAGCTTAACCCCACACAGCTTCCATAGGTAGCTGTCGCTGATGTGGCGATTTCGATTCAGCGCTTGCGGCAAGGTTCGGAGGTGGTGGGCAAGGTGCCGCAGGAAGACGGGCTGCTCTCGGCGACCCATTAGGAGCTCATAAGCCCTGTATCAAGGCATGCATGCATGGGGCCGATCAGTCAGCCGTGATAGTAACTGGAGCTTTGTTTGGAGCATTGTTTGGTGCAAATAGGTACTCAGGGAGGACCCTGGACGGATTAATATATTAGTGCTAGCTGGCTAGCCAGCTAGCTAGTTAGTAGCGCAGCAACTCGGGCCGCCAAGGAGCCTAATCAGGCCAGGTAACGCACCTGCTGACCACTAATGCCAGGAACAGAACTCCCAAGTAGAACTCCGCATGCTGTGGATTTCGCGAAATAGATTGGAAACGGCAGCAGTTTGAGGTTGAAGAATTAAAGCAGAGTTCTGTTGAGCATGGAGGGGTCAACTGCTATGCTGCTGCGGTGATTTGTATTACGGTACTTGTCTACCATTACAAGAAGCAAACGGATGCAGTCAAACGCTTGTGTGAAGCCCACCTGAGCGTAGGTACCCAGAGCGTGTTCCGTGCCCGACAGGCTGTTCGGGGGGGGAACCGATGCTAAGCAATACACCACGCCCATAATCACCGCTTTGGGCGCGTACTCCGGAAATGGATCCTGAAATCATACGTTAGTATTTTTAGTCAGTATTTTTAGTCAGCGTGCATCCAAAGCTACGGAAATTGCTTCTCATCAGGTCTCATGTACTCAACGACCGTACAAAAGGCCGCCGTACATGCAAACACATCAACAACGACCTACCTGAAGCAGAATATGCAAAAGCACGTCCACTATGAAGTGCTGCTTGGCTGGTGTTTTCAGCCAGGAGCGGCCGCTACGGTGCAAAGAAATCCTTGGCGCAACCCATAGCATAAGCAGCGCCTTGTGGATGCATTTGTGCCGTTGCTCGTACACCCGCATGCTGAGAAACGGCCACACGAGGCCCACAAGGGAGGCCAGGATTGGCGCCATGAGCGCCAGTAGCAGCATTCGGTCCGTTGACGTCCATTCAACAGGCGCAAGTTCAGCTGTACGACAGGCAGCGGAATGTAATGGTTAAAAGGGAGTCTGATCGGGAAACGAGCCGCAACCAGGACAGGCATGGTATGGTATGCCGTACGCGGGTGCCACTTAGTTGCGCGAGGTCGTGTGTGGTTGGTAGTGCAAAAATAGGGCAATAGACGCAACTTTTTCAGGTAAGCAAAACATGTCCTACTTCACCCACTGGCCTCTAGCGCCTGCAGCAGTTGTAACAGTAGCGCCTAAAGCACGCAACAAGGTACTAGGACGCGGGAATTGTGCACACGATGCGTGAACATGTAACGCCGCTTCCTCACCGATATGTTTTACTCCTTGTTCAAGCTCGTATAATGACAGCAAGAGCATCACCACCCTGTATGATACAAGACAAGCCGCTTTGGTTCGGTCAAAGTAGGCATAGCATCTTCGCAACCAGGTAGCGCAGCGCAAAGAACTGCAGAAATAATACTGGTTTCGCCTGTTTATATTACCAAACGTACCTAAACAGTAGAACTCGCACAACATACTGAGCTGTAAGGATTGACGAGTTGTGCATGGCATGCCATGAATCCCTCGCCCATAAGCGAAGCGCCAGCGCCGTGCGATACATACACACGGGCATGACATGTTTTGGAGACAACATGTTGACGGCCTCGAACGGCTTGTGCACGGTGTCTGCTGCTGAAAGCCGTTCGCTCGCTGCAGGCCAGGCCAGGCGCGGCGTTGCCGATCGACCGGCAAGCACTGGGACTGATAACTTCAACCTAGCTAGAAACACAGCTGGTAGGTAAGTTTAAATGCCGCTGCTCGCGGCCTGACGGACTGCACTCCTTGCTATGGGCTGCTTTGGCGAGCCAACACTACCGTAGTGCGCACTGGTTAAAATAGCCTCATGAGGTCTGTAATGTGCAGAAACATGGATACCCAACTTCGTCTTCTCAGTCTGTAACCGTCATACATACGCCCGCTCGAGAGGCGGATCGATCACTTGTGAGAAGATGTATTTTGTGCAGGAAAACTATTATTGCCGATAGTATAAGCAAAACGCAGTTTGTGGTGCACAGCTGGAAAAGTCCCAGTGTCTCCCAGGAACGGTACGTCAGTGGGATAAGCGAATCTTAGCGGACTTATATTCCTCTGAAACTAAATCAAATAACAGCAGACATACCTACCTGCGTTCACTTGAAGTGGTCCCAAGGCCTGCCGGCCTGCAACATACGTACTGCCTCACGGCGAGCAAACGGACGTGAAACCGGCGGCGTGATTTAAATTAACTAACTAGAACATATATCTAACATACAGAAAACTCCTGGTCTGCTGGGGCAGGCGCCTCGGGTCGGCAGTTGCTTCCATGTCTACTGCGAAAGTACTTGCGTACTCCTCGTTCATGGCACCGACGTGTTCGCTGTCTTCTTAAAGTATGTACTATCTATGTTACATTTTGTATCACTTAGCATATATCAGACAGGGTACAAGTCTAACAATCTACTTCTCTTGCATGCTCCGAACGGGAAGACTCTCTGCCAAGACGTCCTCTTCCTTAGCAAGCCGCATAGATAACTCATACCCAGAAATAGAATACATATCCAGGTAAGATAGTGCAATTCGCACATGGTTAGCCTACAGGGCCATTGCGCGATGCACTATGCTGACCTCAGGCACAATGCCGCCTACAGGCGCCTGCGCTCCTCCACGGAAAACGCTGCTCCTTCAATCTATCGCGGTCACTCTTTGTTTCCGGTACAACCCAAAGGTGCCCTTCTGGAGCTCAGCGCTGAAGGCCTTGACATGGATGGGACAACAGCTCTTAGCAGGTGTACGGCACACCCCCAAGCAAGCCCCTTGCAGCGCAGCACTTCCATTGTGTGCAGCACGCACCATGCGTTCAAATGACGCTTTACCGGGCACCAGGAGGGACCGAACGGCCGTTCCAGCCGCCGAGGACGGGGGACGTGCCTCAGCGCCGCTCAAGTCCTAGATTAGCTTACACGGCAAACAGTTGCGCTCCTAACGCTTCAAACTTAGCTAGCGCATTTTCGTACGCCTGCTTGTGCTCCATGTTAGGCTCCACAACCTACGGATTGATACCCCGCGATTGGCAGAGTTTACGTCAAAGCAGGTCCACTCATATCAGGGCCCTCTCCAAACCAACACCTCCCAATCGCAAGCAGGTCTAAACTCCGCCTAAATAGACGAAGATGCACATGATACGAGTACTGCTGTGTGGGATTTTAAAGCAGAGTACAAGCGAAAAGACGAGCAGGGAGGACAAACGTTTTAAGTGACGGAGGAGTCAAAGCAGGCAACCATATACGGGAAGTGCATGGTTGCGGGACTCGGGTGAGACCCCAGGTACGGTCTGTTGTACGACGGATAGCTGATCCGCAGCCGTAATGTTTTGCCTTTCCAACCACTCCACAACCTCACAGCACGCCTTCCCTCAAAGCCCTTACCTCTTCCACGAGTGGCGGCGGGTACTGCGTAACATACTCTGCCACCGAAACCCCTGTCACCACAGCCGCTGCCTGCAACAACAGTCAGTCAGTCAGCCAGTCAGGGCACTACGGTACAGTGCAAAGTCAGCTAGCACCGCCCCTCAATACCCCCGGACACCCACCCACCCAACACCAACCCCGACTGCAACCACCACACCTGCAGTGGCTCCTTCCACTGCTGCAGTTGCTTCCTTCCTCAAATACCCTTCCCCACCCACCTGCAGCGCTGCTCCTAGCGCCGCCGAATCGGGCTCCGCCGGCAGTACGACTCGCATCTGGAAGGCGTCCGCCACCACTTGGCGCCACAGCGGGTTCCTCGCGCCGCCGCCCACCAGCCGCAACTGGGGGGAGGGCCGCAGCCCCGCTGCTGTCATGCGTCGGAAGCCGCTGAGCAGCGACAGCGTGGCGCCTTCTATGGCAGCACGGTAGAGAAGTCCCGGCCGCAGACAGCCTGTGCTGGGGATATACCGTACATGCGGTGGAGAGAGGGGAGTGGCACAGCGGGCACAGTCAGCGAGGCGCGCAGGTGGGAGGAGAGAAGAAATCAAGGGGAAGAAGAAGACCTTCGGCTAACGGCGCGGTGGGTCTCCAGCTCACCTTCAGCAGCCTCCACACATGCCCAATACTATGGTAAGGTGGCTCCATGATTGGTAAGTTCGGTAAGTTTAGCTCGCATTGCTTTAACCACCTTTTCGGCTCGACTCACGGTTGATTCCACCAGGGATTGTCAGCAACTTGTATCATTATCACACCACACTTTGGAATTTCTTTTTTTTTCATCCTCCCACCCATCCGGCTCGTCTGTTTCCTCCTGTCTACCCACCCGGACGTAGCCCCAGTAGCGCCCCGCTGGCATGCGGCCAGCAGGGGGTGCGCTCGCCCATGAGGTAGGGCAGCCACGTGACGCCGCAGCAGCCGGGGGGCTCGCGCGCCGCCAGCTGCGTGAGCTGCTCGTGATCCAGCTGGAAGGCCTCACGGACCTGGAGGAGGGGGACCGGGTATGGGAGTTAGTAAGACGGGGATGATGAAACAAAGCTGTAGCCACCAGGGAGTTATCGCCGTGTTTTGTTCTGTGATGTGCCAAAGCTTATGCCAGTCATAGCGACTACAATCACCCTCTTCTGCAGCACTCTGTAGCACTCAGCCACAGGCATGCTTACAGCAGCCCTGCCCTGTCGTACATCAACCGCCTCCCACCCCCTTCCATCTGCCTCCCCAGCAGTGCCCGCCTGACCTCCTCCAGCACTCGGGTGCAGTTGAGGGTGCACAGCAGCGGCAGGTATGCGCCGGTGGCGTCACAGAAGGGGCAGATGACGCCCGAGGGGTCCAGGATGGGGCTGGGTGATTTGGCAAAGATGGTTCCGGAGGTGCCTAACGACATTACCGTTGCGCCATCACTGCATACACGTCAGGCACACATGCGCAACGTAAGGAGAGGGATGTAACGTAATGTACGGTACATTAGCAGGCGGCTAGGAGCAATCCCTCTATAAAACTCTCCTCCTCACCACGTATAGGGAAAACGCACGCTACCCCAGGCCTCCGCAACACGAGCCCTCCGCCCAACCCGCCCGCCCGCCCGTCCTACCAGTCTCCTGCCTCCTCCTCCGCACTTACCCCGCAGCTCCCGCACCCAGCGCGCTCATGGCGTTGTCTCCGCTACCGGGAGCTACCGGGATACCCGCAGGCAGCCCCAACTGCGTCGCCACCTCCGGCAACAGGGTGCCGATAGCCTGCGTGCATGCGTACATACATGCATGCATGGCGGCGCATGCGGGCGCGTACTTGTAGTCACCCAGAGGACTCTCAAAAACTTCAAATATCTTAAGAAGATCCTACTTCCCGTGATCCAGTCGGATTACTTTACAGTGCACCCTTCGCGGCTTAGCACACCCATGGCAGCGCAAGCCTTGCTCTTTCCTATGGCCTTGCTCTTTCCTTGACCCCAAAGGGCACATTCACACTTAGTGCACACCACTCGTAACGACCATCCATCGGCATGCATCCATGCAGCGCCCAGTGCAGACGCCCTGCAGCTAGCCTCTTACCATGTTCGGGCTGCTGACCAGCGGTGGGAAGAGGCGGTACAGGCGGTCGTCTACTGCAGCCATGGCCGCCTCATCCCACTGCCGGGAGGCCACATCCAGCACGCCCGTGCCACTGGCATCGCCGCACTGTGTTGGCACAAACCGGAGGGACGCAGCGGAGGAGGACGCAGCAACGAGGGGCGGGGGAGAAAGAGGAGGAGGGGGCAACAGCGAGGGGCGGAGCAGAAACTTGAGACGGGAGCAGCAGCGAGGGCCGGAGCAGAAACTTGAGGCGTGAGCAGAAGCAAGAGGACGGGGCAGCGGCAAGAGGACGGGAAGGCTAAGATTAAAGGCTTCATCACGCATGCGCAGCTCAACAGGCAACCGCGCATCAGCTGTGCAACACGTGCTGCTGTGCAAGCTTATACCACAGGTGTTCACACCGAAGCGTTAGAAAAAGGCAGCTTCAAGCAACGCATTACCTCCATGACACGTTGGCCTGTGAGCCACATGTTGACGTAGTCGTGCGGCAGCAGCACGCAGCGCACGCGATCAAACACGTCGGGTTCATGGCGCTTGAGCCACAGCAGCTTGGTTATGGTGAAACTGGGGACCTGGGCTTAATGATGCCGTTGTGGTTGTTACCGTTGTTGTTGTTGTTTCCATTGCGGCAGGCAGTAACCGTGCGGCCGCACACGAGAAGGAGAGGAAAGGGAGGCGGGGAGGCATATGGGAGAAGGGGTTGGCGTAGCGGGATGGGAAGGAGGAGCAAGGAAACCTAATGTCTGATGAAGCAGCCCCCCCCCCTCACCAGCGTCCAGCCGAGCTTTTGTGAGAGTTCCTTGGCCTCCTCCGCACTCTCTGTGTCGCACCACAGCTTGGCTGGCCGCAGCACCTGACGGAGGTAAAGCGATAACATTGAAGGTGGCCTGTTAGCGCCTTGGATTGTCCAAGTGTGCAAGTCTGTTGTAGGCTGTCGTAGGGTGCCAATTTTTTTGTTTGCAATGAATATATTTCTCCAGTCTCAGTATGCTTCGCACCTGACCGTCATCATCAAGCACCACAAGTCCATGCTGCTGTCCTGACACGCCGATGCCTACGACGCGCGACGTATCAAGACCAGCCAGGGCTTGCAACGTTGCCTCCTTGACAGCCTGGAGTGAATGTGCCATACAGTTACTTCAATGTAATCTACCGCGGAGGCAGGACTCCCAACGCAAGTGGATGTCGAGCGACCTGCCTGCAACCAAGTTGCCGGATCCTGCTCCGCGCGGCCTGGTATTGTTGTTGAAATGATTTCATATGTGCTGCTACCTTTCGCGACTATTTGGTGCGTCTGCAAGTCATATAGGACGGCCTTCAGGCCTTGTGTCCCGACATCTAGGCCAAGCACGACGTCTGTCATGGTCGTATAAGAAGAAAGCACGCAACCTGACGGATTGAGGGAACTAGAAGGGCAATGGGCGGATCTTGAATCCAGTTTAACTACAGCAGCTCGGATCCGCGAATGGCAGTACGCGTTGGTGCGCAGTGACGAAGTAGGAAATACTTCATAAACGTTTACGAAGCGTGATCTTTGCTGACAGAAATGGGTGGACCAGGCTGTGGCTCTATCCGGTCGATCGTTTTCGTCAATGGCCATCCATCGCGCAGGCATTCCACGGGGTCAGTATCATTTAAACACTAACCTGCTAGCGGTACTAATTCGAAAGCATGCCCCCGTGAGTCGCCCTCGCACGTTGGTTGCCTATCTTGCATGCGGCCATGCGGAGGTCGCAGGAGTGGTCCTCTACATATGAAAACCCATATCCCTTGAATACTGTTAGGATTTGCTCTAAATTGCAATTATTTCAGTCTCCGAATCCAGAACGCTTATCCGAGCGAGCCCACATTACCGCCGAACCGTACACCCTGGCGCAGCCCTGCCGTTGCGCCTTCCATAATCTCTGCCTTCATGACCTCTGGCCCTCCCGAGGCTCTGGCTAGCTACCTGAGCCGCGTATGGGAGACCCGCACGTCTATCAGAAACCACCTGCGCAGAGCCCCTAAATGGAGGCCTGTAGGGGACCCTGACTCAGACTGAGTTTGTTTCTTATAGTGTCCTTGGCCCCCCTGGCTCGTATGGACACACTGTACACGCGTACAGACTGTAACTGTAAATGTGATCTCCACAGGTGCCCCTTTCCGTCAACCTGCTAACCTCCCACAACCCAGCTCCCGATGTATCTCACGTCCAGGGCAGGAAGTTGATGAACAGCAAGCAGCCCAGACCCAGGTACAGCAGACACCACCTCCACAGCGCCACATCGCACCAAGACAACCAGCCATGACGCAGCCCGCCGCCACTCAGGCAGCCCCCACAGCGCGCTAGTACCATGCCGCTGCCTCCTCCCGCTGCTGCACCGCCTGAGCTAGCGACTCCTCCTCCTGCCGCAGCCCCCCGGCTGCCGCGCCGTCGCTCCTCCTCACACCGCAGCCAGAGGTGCGCCATGTACCAATACAGCTGCGGGCAGGATGACAACAAAAACCGAGTGGCCACCTGCACGTGCATGGTGCTGATCGCTACAGCCGTACAAAAGGCCCAGGGGTACATAAACACCGCCAGGTCAGGGCTCAAGTAGCCACCCCGTCCGCTGCTGCTGCTGCTGCTACCGTTACTGTTCTTGCCGTCCAAAGAGCCGCCGCTGCCTGCGACGGATGTAGCAGCTGTAGCAGGCAGCACTAGTCCTTCTCGCATGGTTCCGCCCCGTGGTGGCTCGCAAGCTTCACCTGCTTGCGCTGCAGCCTGCTGGGAGCTGCTTTGAGCCGTCATCGGACGCTTTCGCAACTGTCTTCCCCCCCGGCTGTCTTCTCCGGCAGTACCCGTCGCCATGCAGCCGCCACCAACCCTGTAGCCCCCAGGCAACAGTTCATCCAGGGTTTCCAAGGGCTTCTCCTCCTTGTTCCTTCCTCCGGACGCTTTTCCCGATGCGCTCCCTGAGCTCCCGTTACGTGCCTGCCCCTGTGACGCATCGGCGGCCAGGCCTTCTTCTTCTTGGGGCTTGCGAGGTATGGGCGTTGTGGCTGTTGTTGTCGCTGGTTGCAGCAGCCCCAGGTTCGCCACAAGTACGGCGTTTGCACGGCAGTACTCCGCCAGACCCGCGATGGAGAGCAGCAGCACCGGGGCTGCTAGCAGGAAGTTGGGGAGCTGCGGAGGGGCAAGGCAAGCATGCAAGGGGCAAGCCGTTAGAATGGAAAAGGAGCCCTCAGCAATGGGAAATCCGTTCATTTGGAATCGTGAAAAGAGTGTGTCGTTACAGAGATCCTCCTCGAGCATAGAACAGGAAGACACGCGCGAGTTTAGGGAAGATGCCCGTTCATGCATGCGAGGTGGTTCGAGGTGGTGCGAGGGATAGAGAGGTGGCATCCAAAGCGTTATAATGCTGTAGCCCTCACCTGCTGCAGCGTCCAGTAACGTAGAAACCCGACGTTCCAGTACTGCGCCTGTACGAATCCGTAAATGTACGGCAGTCGTGACGAGCACCAAGATCGCGGCCAAGCGTAGCTGCTGGCATCACCCAACGGGGAAGCAGGTGACGCGCTGTCTAATGAGGATTTCCCATGCTCATTGCTGAGATCCGTCGTCGTCATCATCATTTCTGCCGTACGGTGACTTTCCGTACGACAAAAAACCGTATACCCGTCGTACTGGAACTTCACAAGGGGCAGCACTGCAATGACGGCCGCAGCCACGCCTTGCAGTGCCAGAAGGACGGCGCGGAGCTGTTAGGGCAGCAAGTTGGTTGGGAACAAAGGAAGGTTGGCGGCGGCGAGCTTGGACCCTAAACCTTTGGGAGTATCCGGTTGTGTTCTGTTGGGTGGCGAGCTTGGACCCTAAACCTTTGGGAGTATCCGGTTGTGTTCTGTTGGGTGCCCCGTTAGGACATTCGCTTGTAATGATTACTGTCTGTAACCAAGGCCAGTATAATAGAGGGGCTTCTTCTGCGCTAGCCCTGCCTTACCTTGCTTGTAGGCCACGCCCGCACCGCACGACAGAGGCAGCCGTGTCCCAGGTAGCCCGCATTGATGACCCCTGCAAACGGTGGCAGCAGTGGCAGCGGCGGCAGTAGCAGGCTAGTAGAGGTGTAATGGAGCAGTGAAGCGGCACGGAAAGGGGCAGCGATTGGCGTGCAAGGCAAGGACAGCGATTTCAGCACGGCCCAAGCTACCGTACCCCAGGGTCCAAGATACGTAGAAGACCGTTCGCCAAGTGTAAGAGGTACACGTCGTACATGCATTCGCCGCAAGCATGCCGTCGTGACTTTCCGTACGCAATTTGGCAATCCTGACTTGCTCATGAGTCATGACTGCTACAAGAACAGCCGCCTCACATCCCTCACCGTTGGACCGCAGTCCGCATGACGCAGCTACGGCAGCTATTGCCGGCAGCAAGCGGTCACGGCAGTACAGCCAGTAAAGCGCTGTTAGGGTCGCGGCGGCGAACGCGGCTTCGGTGTACGGAGCCGCTTGGAAGATGGTAGCCGGGTTAAATATGAAGAACAGACAGGCCAGGGCTGCAAGCCGCGAGTCGCGAGTCAACCTCGAGCCAAGCCTGTATGGAACAGGTACACCAAGAACATGTTAGTAATAGATTGGCCGTGTCGTACGGGTCGAGGATCGTGAAGAGTCGAGCTGGAAGTTGAGGTCGGAATACTCCTGCTAGTTTGCAAGGCAAAACTTACGCTACTTGCGCTTACCTGTATAAAAGCACCGTGGTCGTGATGGATGCCACTGCGTTCAACGCCAGCAGCAGAGGGGCGAATAGGCCTCGAGGAGCCCAGGAAACTAATCCTACAGTTGTCGTACAACGTGCATGCAAGGGGTGTTTAACAAGCACATGCAAGTACACTGCACGGCTGTGCCCGCATGGCATACGGCACTGCCCATCCCCTAGCCATGGCTGGTATGGCGTGCAAGGCCCTTCATCGACCTCATCCATCGCAATGTCACGCTGGTCCCACATGCAACTGCGGCAGTCCTGCAAGCTGTAACGCCGCGGCAGGCACAGCCTACTCCACGCATTCCCACTTTTGTATGTCCGAGCTGTGGAAATGTGGTGGCGTGGATTCCTGGCTCTCTGACCTTACGATAGCCCCGTACCGTGTCCCCACCTGGCAGGAGCGGGAAGAAGGCATAGTACTGTTCGTACACATAGCCCCGAGAAGCGATGTCGGCAAAGAAGACGCTATCCCAGACGATCCAGCCCTGGAGGATCCCCTGCTGAGGTCCTGATGCTGTCCGCGGACCTGCTGGCGAAGCTTCTAAGTCGCCGTACACTGCCGATGTCGTATTACGGAGCGATGATAGTGTGACAGGTGTAATGTGTTTTGAAGTATCATAGTCGACAAACAGCAAATCGGCTGCTGTGGTTGCAAGCAAGACGATGCTGCGGACGAGGGCTGCAAGGAGCACCAAGCGGCGCTCGTCAGGCCCTAGGACCCCAGCGACGGTTGGCATTCCTAACTTTTTGCCCATTGTTAGCTAATATAACGGTTATTATAAAGCACTTGAACATGTTCTGAGTTATATCCGACAGTCATGGTCTACCTTATTGCTTAAACATACCGTAAGTAACATGGAATCTTAGGAAAACTGCTCAACTCAGGAACCAGCTATAAGCAAAAAATAAGCCGCAGTGTTGGAAAGCTGGGTTGGATGTTGCCTATTTGCTCCGAAGCCCGAACCAGTGACATCCATATAACTCCCTTCCTTTTCCTCCATCACTGAGCGATACACCAACCGACTTGTGTGCAGTAGCAACCTATGCAAACAATGACACAGTCGCTTCTGTCAGTGAAATGTCTTTCTTGCCGCTCGGCAGCTCGGCGTTTCGTCGCCAGACATAATTGTGTCGTTCAGGCATCGCTTCAGAGAGACCCTCCACAGCCGGCCGACCATAACACCATCTCGCAGGCCTCCTCTGACACTATTTCCCTGAGCCGGAGACAAGCGCTGCTGGGAATTGGCGCAGCAGCAGTTGCGAGCAGTGCGTTTGCAACCGTCGTCGCGCCACTGCGAGTCCTCGCGAAGGCACCAGAAGACAAGCAGGCAAATGGTATGACACTTCGCGGTTTGCGTTAGGCAATAGCTGCGCCCAAGTTCGATGGCTTGGTCAAGAAGCAGGTTGCCGTTACCCTCCCTTCTGATGGTTCCAACATTGGTCTCGCGCGAAGCACAGGCCACACGTTTACGGTTTACTGCATAAGCTGCCGTCCTGCTCGTTTGTTCCCTCCAACTGCTGTAACAACCTCCGCAGTTATCAACGAGCCTGCCGCCCTGAAGGCTCAGCTGGAGTCAACATACCAGCAATGGGGTGCAGGCCAGTACGACAAGTGGTTGGGATCTCAATCGGAATCCATTAAATGGCAATCATCGTACAACGGTACGGTACTGAAGCTCAAGGGCACGTCCGGTGTCAAGCAGTACTTTATGGCGTTGAATGCCGATCTGGATCTCAAATCGTATAAGGTAAGTGGCGTGAGTTTTGGTACTCACCATAAGCAGGCCTTACCGCTTAATCTAGAGATGCAAGAACCGGCAGGTGAATGGCACAAAATTACAGCCCTCCGTGTTATAAGTCGTTGGGAAATAGTCTCCGGGGATTAAGCAGTCTGAGGGATTGCTATGCATTGCTATGCACACTTAGGCGTGCCGCACGCAAGGCATGCAGCTAACCCCTCCACGTTTCCCAACTTAGCCCTTGGCCAGCTACCCTGAGGTCGAAGCCACAGGGGAAACGGGACAGTAACATATGTGAAGCAAGTATGGTGCGATGATTCCCGCCTGTTGAACAGCGTCATAGAAATAAAAGTAAGACCGAATTAATGATCAGCGCGCAGCCAAAAGACGGGGACAGGGCAGGAGTAATGACGACAAGTGTCAATGTGTATCAGCGCGGGTTAGGGGAGCGGTAACGAGTAAACAACCAGCAAGGTGTAACCGCCTGTACGCACAGTAACTGCGTATATATCCAAGAGTGCGTGCGGGAGGGGGTGTTAAGGGTTTCCCTCCCCCTCCAGGACAGTCCGAATTCTAAGGCACCTCTTAATCGTTGCAACAATTTCCTTAAGACATCTCCCAATTGTGGAAATGTGTAGGTAGCGCGTTCCGAGCCAATAAGTATAGAAAGTAGGTGCCCTTCCTCGGAAAGTGTGAAAGCGACCCATGGGTCTTGGCTTTTCGCGGGGGGGGGGGGGGTTGAAGCCATTGTGAAAGTAAGGCTGCTGAAAAATAAATGGGTCTCCCGACGTTTGCTTCTAACGGTCCAGTCGGGGCGCGTTCATGTGATACTTCTTGACCCAACGTGCAGTAAAGCTTCCTATATACAGCAAGACGTGCGGGAGGGGGTTTAAGGGGGGAGGGAGCCCCTCCCCCCTCCCAATTATCTATCGGACGTACCTCATAGTCAAGTTGGTGATTAGCCAAGCTGTATAGCCAAACTGTAAAATACGGGCACACAGGGTAGCTGGCTAACCACCTTTCATTAGGCCAATCCATTGTACTATGCTGCAGCACTGTGCAGCTCCAATTAAACTGCTTTGGTTCCTGTAATGTGGCCGCGTATATGCATTTGGTGTCTTAGCTAGCCAGTGCTAAACTGGAGGACAACAGCATCGACCATTTCTTAGCACCGCCCAACCACCTTTCAGAAACATACCAACGGTCGCCCTTTGATAGGTATGCTATACGCCAAGCCATCTGCGCAAAAAATCACCCTCGCAGATACGCCGCATTTTCCACTTTGACACCGCGGTCGCCCAAGGGTCGTTTGTCGCTTGCTCGCGCCAAATGCATATACGCGCTGCCGTACAACGAAGCCACGCAAGGTAGCTGGCTAACGACCCCTACACAGCCGCTTGCAATCTTCGTGGATGACGACGGTGACGAGGCAACCGTGGTGGTTGAGGCCCAAGGCACCAGCCGCCGCACCGGGCAGGCCTTCTCAACCATCTTTCTGCACAAGTAGCAATCGGACCCATGGGTCAGGTCTTGAAGTTCAAAGAGACAACCGACACGGCGCTGTTGGCGCAGCTAATTCCACCACCACAGCCACCGTCGCCACCGTCGCCGTCGCCGCCATCATCAGCAGCAGGATTGACGTCCACAGCGGCGGATGCGTCGCCTTCGGAGGTAGCCGCGGTATCGGGTGCAGCTGCCTAACGGGCACATAACATTAAAATACGATTATAGGGTCGCATAATAGTATAAGTAGTAGTAATAGTTACGCCGGGCGTAGCCCTGGCGTGTGTTAAGGGGCTGAGGCACTAAAGGGTGTTACCCAGCCCGTGTATTCTCCAGCACCACCGCTTACCAAGGCTGGTGATAGCGTGTGGCGCCCTTGCTTGTCCCGTTGTGTCTCCTGTCGGGCACCCTGGCATGCAGGGAGGCCGAGCTGTGACAGGTGTTGTGCGGCAGGCGAATTGCCAAGGGGTAGGATTATGGATATATGCGGAAGGTTACCAGGTCTGTCTATCTTTGCCCGTGTTTTGGAGTGCCAAGGTTTTCTGGGGTGGCGGTATTCTAGTAACCAGGTGTGCAAAGAGCGCGTCAAGTCAGTGACGGCGTGCCGGACGACTGAGGTTTTGTGTTTGGCGTGTCCATTACCGAATTCGGGAGAATGGAACATACACGGAGACGCTGAGGACGAAGGGTCAGGACTTGGGGATGGAGGGAGGAACGCCCTACCTTTCCAAACCTGTAAAGCAAGTACACAGCACCTGATAAGGTCGTTACCCAGCACCCAATCTGCTAGTGACAGCGTGGAGCTGCTCGCGTGCTCGCGTGCGCGCGTGCGGGGCTGGACATGTCTGCCAACAGCCATGGAGGCACCAAGACATTCGGGACGGAGGAGTAAATACAGTTCGGAGAAGTGATGTTCGGAATGCTGTTGTCGACATTAAGGGCGCCTAGCTATGTTGTTGTGAACTACCTTACTTATCGTATGAAGATATCGTACATAGCCTAGCAGAACGATTAACGGCAAAAAGTGACGCAAACATACATTACTAGATATCCTACGCGAATAGATCTGTGCGCGCCTTCCTTATTTGCCATGTGTTACGCGCCTATAGGGCGGCAGTATATCCACGCTGGCCTGGGGGTCCTTCGTAATACCTAGCTGACGAGGATAGGTGAAGGAACCAGTTGAAATATGCACTACTAAGTGTCAGTAGCTGCCTATTATGCCCTTTAGCAAGACCGACTGCTTCCCTTCGATGAATGCCATCCTAAGGTTGACGGCCTACCAACATGGCGCCATTAACTCTTGACATGACATGAAATGGAAGAGCAGCAACTCTCGTTTATGAGTAGTCTCCGGCTAATTTGCCTAACACTCCTAGCTGTTTTTTCTGTTTGCAATGCGGCAACGCTAGTTGCCACGCCAAAGCGTGGACTGCTGCAATCAACTCAGAATAACAGTCTTATATGCGCGGAGTGCATCCTCAATGAGCTGACTTCCTCCAACACGTAAGAGGTTACCTTGACATGTTCAGGCGTTGCTTGCGGCCACCTAAGTTCAACGGGTCGTCGCCCGCCGTTGTAGGACTCTGGCACCCCTGGTCCTTACGAATTCTTCTCAGTACGAACTATGGGTGGAACGCCTTGGTGCGTTGCTGAGGAGCGATCAGCAATGTGTCGCAGCTCGCAGCAACGGATCGGAATCTCTGGTAAGTAAGATTTTATTCTGTGTATGTCTTGATGTCCGGGGAAGATATACGGGATAGCGCTTCAGGACGTTAGTTGGTCAGTGCTCAACGGGTTTTAACAAACTGCGGGCACCTTGAAGTCAGGGTCCTTCGCGTTGCCCTGTACTTTGGCTCCTTATTCCGGTCAGGCCCAAACCAGGGACATGTGCCTCTTCTGGCATACCGGTAATCCCTGACGGTCTTCACTTGCTTGCTCCCCAACACACTTAGTATGCCTAACGGTCTGCTTAACACCAACCGCTCCTACGATCCCTACGATCCCTACTTTGCCCATTTACATCGGTCGCCAACGCCTTCGCGACGCCCCTGCCAATCGATACGGCACTGCCGCTTGGGCCCATGGGTCGCTTTAGGTGCTTTCGTGGGCACAGTACCCTTCATGGTAAGGACCTGCTGGGCCAGGGAACGCTGGGCCACGCCACGAGCTTGAAGCAGTGTAGCCGCTCCTAACAGTAACAGTTCTGACATGCGTTGCAGACTTGCATTGCACACTGCCCAATGCCCCAATCCATATGTGCCTAATCCAAGTAGGCCTTATGTCCTCGCCGTCCCAACCAACTAAGCCGCCCTTGCCCTGCCCGCCCCTATGATGCGACACAAACACAATAACAGGGTCAACGGAGCTTTCACGGAGTGGGTTTGGCACCTCAAAAACAGCACCGACACCGCCGAGTACTACACACGTGTGCTATTCGAGGGGCCCGAGGCGATGCCGGAACTGACGGAGTTGAACTCATCAGCTGCCATGCGCTCTTATGCGGTGGACCATAATGCCGAGGCGGTGGTGTACAGCGCTGACTTGTCCGGACTCTCCACCAGCTACGTGGTGAGGGTAGAGCTGTTTAGCTGGTTGCTCAATCGGTGGGCATAAGACACGGCTTTTGTGCTTGTCCACTTTAATTGCGTTGTATTGAACCGTTTTGACGCGTTCGCTGTTCCGTAATGCATACACAGGTGGCGCAGAGGAACATCGCGGACTACACGGAAAACGTCTGCCTGGATAAGCGCAATCCTCGCGGTCCGCTGCACCCTCGCACCTACATGCTACTCTTCTACAGGCCAGACGCCCTGGCAGCCCTCCGGACCGCCCTGGGATCCTCAACTTCAGTCGCTGCTGCACCCCCTGACGACTGGGAAGGGCTACTAGCGCTGCTGCAGGCTCATGCAGCAGCCGTACAGTCCTCCTCCACCTCAGGGCTTCCAAAGTACGGCATGTGCGTCACAACGGAACCGTCGTGCGGGCGGTTGGGCGACGTCGCTACAGCCATAGCAGCTAGTGTCGTACAGTCTTCCGGAACGCACCAGGGCTACGTGTTTGACTTGACGAGCAGCTCGGAAAACAGCGCGACACCGTTGGTCAACGGTACCGGTTGGCGTTACGCGTACGACATGCTACGTCAGCTGTTGAAGTACAATGCTCCGGATTACGTGCCAGGCAGCAGCGATACCACCAGCAGCAACAATTATAGCGGCAAGAACAACACCATCACGCCGGGTTCGAACTGTCATTCAGTTAGCCCAGAGTTCACTTCTGGAGAATGTCTGCTGACACTCGAATGGGATGTAGCGCTTCTCTCCATGACGTCTGCCGTATTGCAAAAACCGGGGGCGCTAGGAGTAGCACCGTTACCAGGCAGCAGGGTCGTGGTATCGGCATCAACCACCACCACCACCTCCGGAACCAGTAGTAGCACCGCCACCACCACCACCAGCAGCTCGCTCGTCCCATGCAATCGTACGACGTGCTCCGTTAGCGCGAATCATGACCTGCTTTTCCTGACAGCAGCAGGACAGCAGGGTGCGGCACTTGCGGCAGCTCGCGACGCTGCGGCGGCATGCGGTACGAGTGAGAGGGTGCGTTTGGAGGCAGCGGCGGTGGCGGCGGTGGCTGGGGCTGCCAGCGTGACAGGGGCAACCGTTGTCAACCGTGCCCCTTACTCGGCGCTGTTTGATTATTACGTGTACATAAACTATGACGGTGAGTGACTCTCTGTTGGGAGGGTGCCTTAGGTGCTGATCATATGTTCTCTCTGCCATGCTTAGATCCCAGTAAGTACCTCCGCGTTCGGCTCTTCCTTGCCTTCTTACCTAAACGCCAATCTTACCACATCATTCGCTTGCTGCTTCTGCTTCTGCTGCTGCTGCTGCAGTCATAGCCATGTACGGGCTAAGTGAGCCCATGTCGCGGATGCAACTCAACGTGGCTTCGCGAATCACAAAGGAGCGCCAGGCGCGGCAAGACGCGATGGATGCCATACGTCGCGCAGTGCTAGCCGCTTCTAGCAGCAGTAGCAGCAGTAGCAGCGCCTCAATCGATGCAGTTACCTTTACATCAACACCCTGGTGGAGTGCGCTGGGCGATTACGCAGGCGTGAAGTCGCTTGGCAGCAGCAGCTACAGCGATAAGACGCTGTCTACGGCAGTTGCTGGGGCGTTAGCGCCGTACATTGCATTCGGTTTTGATGCAACAACAACAGCGTCGTACTTCCGCGCACTATGGCATGCTGTACACTCGCCCAACGGGGCACCGGACATTGCTTCCCCGGCCATGATTAACTGGTGGGTTCGTTTGGAGCCGTTGGGACCTTTGAACCATACGGGTAACATGCACCTCAGTTGTCTTGGATAGGAAGAGGGTGCGAGGAAGGCTGCATGCATGCGTGTTGATGCGCTGTTGTTTGGCCGCGATGGAAAAAACGCGCCGTACACGCGTAAATGGTACCATACACGCGCCTGCCGGTTCGGACGAAACCCTGGCACCAAACCCTTTCTCGCTCCTTTCAATGCTGCCAGGTTCAAATGGGGCATCAACCGAGCGGCTCTGCTGCTGCTGCCGCCCAACGCGGCTTCCAGCGAGGAGGTCGCAGCGCAGCTGGCGCGAGTGTTTGAGTTGGTGAATGAGGCTCACACGCCGGCTACGGTCCGCGCAACCTATGAGGAGTCGATTGACGTGGCACAGACGTCGTTAGTGCTGTCGCCGCCACCATCACTTAGCAGCAGTAAGAGCGAAGTTCATTTGGATTTCCTCTGGGCTGCGGGGCTCCCTTAGAGGCTGCGAGGCATGTCACATGTGGCGTTCTAGGTCTCCCGGAAGCGAGTACGGTACCCTAGGTTTGCTGCTGCAGGAACGTAAGAGTGATAATGCAAATTCCTCACATGTGCCCTGCGTGTCTTCTGTACTACCTCCTCCTACCCTCACACAGGCAAGAAGTCAGCGCTGAGTTCCGGAGCCATGGCAGGAGTCATCATTGCTGCGTTGGTGGGTATCGTACTGGCGACCATGTTGGCTGTTGTGCTCGTACGGCAACGTAACCGCCACCGCGACCTGCTGGGTCGTGTACGGGCGCCGCGCGCGGGACCGGATACCACTCTGCTTATCACAGGTGGGCCGAAGAGCGACGCTCAGATGTCCGTTCCCTTCAATTCTCAACTTCCTGTCTACAATTGCAGGGAGCAGTGTTGGTGCTGTACAGCTCAAGGATTGTGTGATCGAATACTGGCCTATCTACGCTGTTTTAGCTACCATATTGCCATTGATGCTGTCCTAGCTACCCGTAATGTCGTTGACCAAGTGCTGCCCATCCATCTGCGTCCCCCATCCCGCGTCACCGCGTCGCTGTCGTACGCCCACACAGACATCCAGAGCAGCACCACGCTGTGGGAGGCGCTGCCCGTATCCGTCATGGACGCTGCTCTCAAACTGCACCACACCACCATACGCCGCATGTTGGCCGAGTACGATGGCTACGAGACCGGCACAGGTGGGCTGGGCGAAGAGAGGGCAGGGCAGGGCTGGGGACGACGGGAGGGGTGTGATGCATGCACGCAGCATGTAGGTGTAGGAGCTGGAGGAAAGGGCTGGAAGCTGCGGGCGGTGTGGTGCATGCAGGGAGGCAGAGGAGAAGGAGGAGGCCGCGGAACTTGGCGGATTGGCGATGCTTTTGCATGCTCTGTGGCGCTGATGTAGATTCGGATGTAGCGCTCATCCCCTGCATCCTTGCTAGCAGTGGTGGCTGCAGGTCGGCCCTGCCTCTTCCCGCTGCTTTCCTCTCTCGTCTGACTTCGACCCCTTGGCGTTGGCCTACCCCTGGATCTCTTTCCCGCCCGCTCTGCCCCGTCATGCCATATAGCCCTCTTTCCCACCTTTTGAACCCTCCCCTTACTGGGCCCCCTGCCTGCCTGCCTCCCCTCCCTCCCTCCTCGCCCCGCCTCTTCCTGCGCAGAGGGCGATTCCTTCATCGTGGCATTCGCAGATCCATCCAGCGCAGTGGCTTTCGCAGTGGCGACGCAGGTGGCTGCTCATACCTAATACCTCAACATGTTTCCCCTTTATACAAAACGTCCCTCCTACGTCGTACACGCCTGCCTTTCTGCTACCTGCTTTCCCGCTACAAGCCATACTCTTGCTACCGCCTCGGCTGCCGAACCCGCAGACCAACCAACCCCACGGTTGTACTCCCTACCACCTACCCTCTCAGCTCCCACCGCCACCTGACATCCGCTCATCCGCCCACAGCCCCCTCCTCCGCTCAAGAACTCCTCCTCTTACCGGCCACCTCTCACTTACCTCCCTTTGCCTCCCTTTACCTCCGCCCCTCACAGGAAGCTCTGGTGCTTCTGGAGTGGCCCCAGCAACTGCTAACTCACCCAGAGGCCATGCCGGTCCTGGTGGACCCCTTGGAGGGTGAAGTGGAACACGAGGCAGGCGTGCCGGGCGCTGGCGGCAGCGGTTTTCGGGGTGCCGTGGGAAGCGGCAGCATCCGAAGGACCAACCCCGCGGGGGAGGACTCCCTAGCATCGCGAATAGCGAGCTTCATCTCCTCTCGGGTGCGCGTCGCCGCTGCCTCATCGACGCCGCGTCGGGGCTCGGCAACACCCGTAACGCCTCCGCCATCTACGCCGTACACTCCTCGCAGCGGTGTAAGCAGCGTTGCCATATTCAGCGCGTACGAAGACGCATCGGTTTGTAACGGCGTGGAGGGATCCGTGGTAGTTAACTTTGGTAACAGCCAAGGCAGCGTCACCAGAGCCCGAGGGCCGCCGCCGCCGCCACGTGCCGAGCGTGTCAGATGGGGCCCGCCAAGCACCGTGGAAATGGCTGCTAACCCCGCTTCCGAATCTGCTTCTGGAGAAAACGCTCTTTTCCTCGTCGCATCTTCGGAAACGAAAGGTCCGGTACAAGAGTCCACGATACAGCTGCCACCTGCTTCCGAGCCAGTAGTAGTTCCCGCTGCAGTCGTCAATGACGGCCGTATCTCGCCTCTCGTCACGGCGGCAGCGCGTTTACACACATTGCTGGGTGGTGGTGGCGGTGGCGGAGGCAATGCCGGCAGCGGCGGAGGCGCCTCCTCTGCCGCCGCCAGCGGAGGTGGCGGCATCACGCAACGCGGAGGCGGAGGCGGCGGCGGAGGCGGAGGCGCCCTTAAGAAGGCCCTTATTGCCGGACACGAACGGTCGCCTCGTGCGTCAACGGATTGCAATTCCCCAATCATTCCCCCGGGCTCTGCGAGCTCTAACGGGGATGGGTTGCTGGGGTCAGCTGACCGCTGGGGCTTGGCGCTTCAGGCGGTGTTCCCAACCCTGCCAGCGAACGATATGCCGTCGGTGGTGTTGAAGGGCGCCGCATTGAAGGTGAGGACAAGGTCCCAGTCAATGCTGCTTGCCTCTTTGTAGCCTTCCGATGGCCGCCGTCGCCCTTCTCATTTGTCACTCGGCTCATCGCATACCGGTATTGCTTGTCCTTGGTTCCTGTCATTCCCCTCGTATGCAATTCCTCTCATGACGCGTCAAGTTCGGGTTCCCTTTCCCTCCGCAGAGTCCCCGCGTGCTGATTCCCTCCTCCGCCCGACTTGGCGTGGTGGCGTACCGGGGCCTGCGCGTGCGCATGGGCATCCACACGGGTCTGGACGACTCTGCATGCATCGGCTTCAACAAGGTCGCCAGCGCGTTCAAATACCATGGTGAGTGATGATTCGAATTATGTTTATGGTGTAGTAATCCTCTGAGGCCTGCACGCGTCATAAACAGCATAGAGAAACCACCATACCATGGTGGATTTTGGGATCTGGTTAGCTTCCATCCTAAATGGAAGATGTGTCCATGCTCCATGCCGATAACCATATGCCGCTCAGCAGTTCGACACATAACATCTCACAATGTTCCGTTGCCTGCAGGCGCCTTCGCGGAGGCTGCCAAAGCCACGGAATCCACCGCACCCGGAGGCCTGGTAGTCCTCTCCAGCGCCGCCTTCGTCCGACTTCGCAACACGATGGGCGGTTCCGGAGAGGACAAACTCGCCTGGCAACGGAGGAGCAGCCGCCGCCGCCGCGGACCCGAGCCGTTGGTCGTGTACGGCGGACACCACCTGCTACCGGAAGCCAAAAAGCCGCCGCCCTCCGCCAGACGCGCCTCTGCAACGGGGCTACCTCCTCTCCCGCCTGGTGGACTCGCTCCGGGTGGTGACGTGGCCAAGTCGCCGCCGTCGTCGCTGCTGCCGCCGCCGCCGCCTGCGGCGGCGGCAACTGCTGTGCAGCCAGAGGGTCCTACCGCCGCCGCGACTGAGGATGCGGCTGCAGATGGATTGGCGCTGTACGCAGCGGTGCCGGCGTCGTTGGTGTGTCGTCTGGCGCTGTCGCCGCCGCTGGTCAGCGAGCGGGTGGTGCAGCTGGGCAGTCTGGCGGCGCCGGTTGGGACCGTCACGGTGGCGTTCATGGTGGGTGGTGAAAATAAGGAGACTGACGAGGCACTGGTGGGTGGTGGGCGAGCAGAATAGGAAAGAGAGAGGAAGGGGGCGCTTTTCCACTTTCCCAGGACAGCAAGAGGGTCACACTCCGCTGCCTAGTTGGCCCTCATGGCACCTCCGCATTAGCCGCCTCTTCCCCCTGCTGCTTCTCCAGCCCCGACCCCAACCCAACGCGTCTGCTTTCTCCTCCTCCCTCCTCCTCCCTCCTTTTCTCTCCCGCACTTTCAGTACGTGGTGGGGGCCTCCACGCTGCTCACCGACATACCCGGCCCCGCCGCACGCGCCCTGGAGCAGTTCCAGCGGCTGGCGTGCGGGCTTCTGGGGGCTGCGGGCGGCTATCTGGTGGAGGGGGAGGAGGGGCTGCTGCTGGCGGCGTTCGGAGCGCCACGGGCGGGAGTGGAGTGGGCGCTGGATTGCGTAGCGGGACTGAAGAAACTGGTAAGGTGGAAAAGGAGGTTAAGAGGAGGAGAAGGTTTGTGTGCTAGGTATCGGTAAACACCGGCCTACTTCGTTCGAGCATGCAATGCGTCAACTTTGCCTGAGCGGAAGAGCGACCCGTGAATGCCACGGGTTTCGCCCTGACCATGCCGCTATCCTTGCAACCCTAATCACCCCTCCCCTGCCGCCTGCCACCTGCCACCTGCCACGGGTTTTGCCGCCATCCTGCCACCCTATTCACCCCTAACCCCGGTCCCCCGGCCCCTGCCACCTGCCACCGCAGCACTGGGAGGACGAGCTGCTGAGTCACTGGCTGTGTGAGGAGGTGCTGTCTGTGGGGGTGGCCGGCACCGCCGTGGAGGGGCTGGAGCCGGGGAACGACGACTCACTGCCGCCCATCTCCAGCCGCACGCTGGGCCGGAGCCTCAGCCGCATGCCCAGTATGGCCCGGCTGGGAGCAAGGGCGGCGACGCAGAAGGTGCAGGAGCGGGGGCTGCGGATCAAGGTGGGTGCGGCGGTGTGGGGCTTGGGACTGTACAGCTTAGGAACCCAATCGAGCCTTAGGACTGACACTTCCGGTAATCATGGATGCAGCAGTCGTAGCACGTAGCCATGCTGCCTGCTGCCAATTTGGCAATGCCAGCTGTGCTGCGCTTGCTTTGTTGGCCTGAAGGACGCCCACGCCGTGACCGCTTGCCCCCTGCTTCGCCGTACCTCCTCCCCGCCACCATTTCTTTTTCCCCCTCAGGTGGGTTTGGATTGCGGTCGTGCCTCGCACACCCTGACGGAGTCCTCAGGCCGGCTCAGCTACCGAGGCAAGGTAATGAACCGCGCGTCTCGAGTTGCGGGGAAGGCAGCCGCGGGCCAGGTGCTGTGTACGGATGCGGTGTGGAAGGGGTGCATGCGACCGCTTCTGAAACCCAGCGGCAGCATCAGCTCGCAGTATCAGGCAGACGAGGACGAGGATGAGGATGATGCGCTGAGCAACTTAGTGGGAATGAGTTTGGGGAAGGTAGCACTCAAGGGCGTGACTCTGCCTGTTGAGTTAATTCAGTGCATGCGGGGTTGATGAAGCTGCTGCTACTGCTGCGATGGTGTGAAGGTGTGATGTATGTGGTGATGCTGCGAGGATGAACTTTTCTGTGGTTGAACGTTTGTGGAACGATTGCGGTTATTAACTTTTGCGTTACGTGATACTTACAATAATGCATGGTGTCAACTGTGGTTATGTGGTTTACTACTGCTACTGCACTACGACTGCTGGCGAATTCGGGCTGCTGGGTTCGCTCCTCTCATCGTCATCTGTTGCTGGGGCTGGGGCCGTGGCCGGGATTCATATCGGTTTTGGTCAAGCAGGAGGCATTCCTTACGTGCGAACTACAGTGACTGCAACCAAGGGTTGCTGCAACAACGGGCATTCCTGGGGGCTGTGATACGCCCCTTTCTTTGCGCCGCCTCTTGGTTTAGGATTCTGGGTCAGTCCGTGCATGTGTCCCATCACGCGCCCTCCTACAACCAAGAGACCCTATACGTGCGTCACTTGTTGACCGTTGTTGGCCGTTGTTAACTGCCGTCAGCTGTCCTTCCGTACTGCCTCTGAATGTGGATACTGAGGCTAATTGCGGGTTATACGTAACTGGTGCTGGTGATACGAGGGTGACCGGTTTAATTACGCCGCCACCACCCACCATACCATTTTGAGAGGGGGAAAGTGTCCTTTACAGCTGGCAATAAGCTTATGTGCATTACGTAACATATGGGAGGTGGGAGGTTTTGGATAGCACAACAACCACTACATGGTATATAGTTAAATGGAGAGTTGATGGAATCCTTCTGACAGGCGGGTAACAAGAGAGGGGGTGGGGGCAGGGTGTGAGGCACTGGCCCGTGACCATTTGCTCATAATTGTTTAATAATGCATGGGAGCTTGAAGTGTGCGTGCAAGTCACTCGTATGTCGTCGGTGGTTATTAGCCAGAGAAGGTTGTGTGCGCGTTTCGACGGCTTAATAATGGCGCGGGTGATGAGAGTTGCATCTTCCTGACATACGGTCAGTTAGCCTTTGAGTGGGTTTTGTCACCATAAAATCATCGTCACCAGCTGTGCTCTTTATTAAGGGCCAGGAAGCGCACGCAGGCGTTGTGGAAATGGTTGGATATTTATGGTTGCCAGAATAAGAGGTTGGAATTTGGTTCCCCGAAGAAAGGTTTTTTGTGCTTGTTGGACGACAGAAGTACGGTTCCTGCTTAAGACTCATATTAGGCTCTTGCTAGAGCCGTTTACGTACCTACCTATTGGTTTTGCGTATGCCTGTCTAACATGTTGTTTAGCCAAACATTCAATTATGGAATAACGAAGATGTAAGTTGCTGCCCAGAATGCTTCTGCTGACACGTTGTCAAGCGCCTTCCAGTACACTTACTCAGCTGCGCACACGTGCCCTTCCTGGCGTGGTAGATGTGCAACGCATGCTCGACTTTCGACATAAAACTCCGGATTCGACTTACAAAGAGCTTCTTCACGCGGGGCGCGCGGTATGGGGCGCAGCACTTCAGGACTGGGGACGTCAAGCCTCCATGCACATACGGCAGATGTACAGCACCATGCCAAACCGTGCTTTCCATCGCCAAGCACGGCAAATGCTGCCCAATGAACCATAACGGCCTCCACCAGACGCCGAGGCACATGGCATGATGCCCACAATGCGTGCAGCGTCGCTAAGAAAGCTATTAATGGCCATAGCAACGGGGGCCGGTACGACAGCCGACGCCAATCCCGAAATCGAAGGCTCTGCACCTTCCTTAATTACGCTCTCCATCGTCAGTAGGATGGCCGTTCCATAGTACCAGTATGTCGGCCGCTCAGCTCAGCAGGTCGCAAGCATGAGACTGTTCCCCCTGAACAGCACCGCTGAGCCATATATCCTACGGCTTGCCCCCCCCCTGTTTCCCTATTCCCAGGCAGCAAACCCAAGCCTGCCTGCCCCCAAGCTCCCACAAGCCACCGTTCCTCCTGCATCTGCCCCCAACGCCCTCAGTAGCACAGCCCCAGCCCCAGCAGCAGCCACCAAAACCACCGCTGCGCCCGCAGCAGCAGCTGCAGCCCGGCCGCCGCAACAGGCAACTCCAGAAAGCCGAAGCCTACAACAGCCGCTGCAGCCCCCTCCTCCCTGCTCCCGCTCCTCCCGCTCATGACTCGATCTTCTGCGGCTGGTCCGGGAGCGTTTGGAACAGCGGCAGCGCCACCGAATCCGCTGTCTTGAGGAACACGCCCTGGATGGCCGCCCACTTCTTGGGTATGTGCTGCGATGCGGCGCACAGCGCTGCCTGCACGTTATCGAGCACCTGCTCGGGCGAGAAGGAGCTCCGCGCTACCTTGATGTTGATGGACGTCCCGCTGCTCTTGAAGAGGTAGGTGTTGGCGCATGCGCGCTTGATTTCCGCAGCCCAGTTGGCCTTGCGCAGGTCGATCGGGATGGGCTGCTTCTTCTTTTTGAAGAAGGATTTGCCTATGAGCTTGGGCAGGGAGGGTAGGATGCGGTCGTCTGCGAGGAAGAGGTCGTAGGACTTGCAGAGCTTGCGCTTGGCCTCGTGGGATTCGTACTTGGTGCGGAGTTTGGATGTGCCGATGACCTTGGCTACGCCGCCGTTCTTCTCCAGCTTTGCTAGTTTCTTCTTGGCGTCCTTGCCGCCTTGCCCGTCTGGGGTGTCCTTCACGAAGAGGCAGATGTCCTGCCCCTCCGTTGAGTACAACGGGTGTGGCAGCGGCAGCGGTACTGGCTTGTCTTTCCGAGGCTGCAGCGGCATCTTCTTTAACGCTATTTGCATGTAGAAGACCTCCTCCTCGTCAAACAGCGAGTTGGCCTTCTCCTTCTGCTCGCCTACATACTTGAGCAGCGACTGCGCTGCCTTCTTAACCTGTGGCAAGGTGGGGCAGGTCGTGGTAAGCGTCAACCGTTTCCCTTCGGGACTCAAAGACCGCCGTCGCATCCAATCGACCAGTCACTGGCGCATGTAACACAGGAGCGAAAGCTAACGCCGCCGACGACGCCCGCCAGCTGAGATGGCAAGGCACTCCGCTGAGCTTCGGCGGATTGCAAGAGGGCAGGAACGCCTCGACGTTTCACAATTTCTTACCTGTTGTGCTTTCCAGCCAGGCAGCTTAACGTCCACGGCAGCTTGGGATGTACTCGCCGGCGGCGCCGAGCGGTCTAGAGCTTGTGACATTATGTGGAAACGACACCCTAATCACTATTGTATTGGTAGACAAAAGGGATAGTGAGAAACAACACGTTTAATAGTGGCTTAGTATGAGAGCTTCCGGCGGCACTGTTAACACTGAACACGGTATATAACCATTAGCAAGAGGATTGTTTTATTGTAACAATCTTCAGGAGCGACGAAAAGGGAGTAGTTGGTCCTTACAAGCAAGCATGTACGGCGTATAATGCAAAGAAAGCGAATATGGGACATCAAGAGAGATCAAGCAGCACACTGTCTTATGAACCTTGAGTTTAATTAATTAGGAGGGTAGCGAGCCGGTGGTTCTAACTTGGGGCACCGGCGCAAGAATGCAGCTTGCTCGGGGGCAGCAGGCCGCCCAGCGGTCAGGCGCTAGGTCTACGCGGGTGTGCCAACTTAGAGTTAACTCGCCGGTGGTATCAAGGGGCGCAGGTGTGGATGTTTTAGGTCGTGGACGTCTCAGGGCCTCAAGCAATTGTAAAGCGTAGCCGTGTTTACCGAGCGCTCGATGACCCTGCAGTGAGAGTTCTGGCAGTCGCTGCTGCCCCATCGAAGAAGATCAAGGTCTCAGATGTTACAGCAGTTGGCCTGAAGGACGTGCCGCTGCGGTCGCTGTTTCCTGATGAGCCCAAGCCGCCTGCGCCGGTACGTTTACTTTCTGCAACCCAATAATATGTACCTCAACTTGTATAAGGGATTGGATTGGGCGACCAATTGTATACAGCTGTATTACTCTGCTCGCTACACCGCGTCGCATGCGAACAACCGCCGAGGGCCTGCAAGCGGCGATCCTCCGAACTATGACCTCGAAATACATGTCGTCCTTATGTTTAATTCTTAGGGTTTTACATCACACCAGGATTTAGTACTACTTTTTAAGTCGTGTCTCCCTTATCCTTGCAGGGTGCTCCGAAGTTGAAGGTTGCCATTGTGGGCGGTGGCTTGGCGGGCTTGTCTACTGCCGTAGAGCTGCTGGACCAGGGGTAAGCTTGCTGCTGCTGGCAGTTCCTGGGAGCAGTTGGTTGCAACTGCCGTACGGCCGCCTAGGTCAGCGGTCCGCATACCATGTTCAGCTGAGGTGCAGGGGTCTTTTGCGCGGAGTTTGTTGGGATTAAGCGGACGGGAGAGGTGTGCATAGGTACGGTAGGTAGTAAGCCCCAAGCTGTCCGAGGGTGGTACCCATCCCGGGGTAGCACTCCCGCAAGCGGACGGGAACTCGTGGCGCAGCGGCAGCAGCAGCAGCATTAACGACAACAGCGGCATCAACAACAACAGCAGCAGCGGCAGCTAGCCGCTTCGCGCGACGCTTGGCTGTCTGCCACGCTTCGCCGAAGGCATTCCACGACACAGGCGCGGACGCGGCCTAAGCTTGCTGTGAACTTAAGCAGCTGCCGCCACAGCTGCAGCAGTCGCTACAGCAGCAGCTGCTGCTCGGCTGCGCAAAGCGGGTTACAGCCTTTGCTGGGCCACCGAAGCAGCAGCAGCAGTGAGCAGCTCGGTCCAGGCATGGCGGAGCCAGTGAGCGCCCTGGCATAACACGTAACCGGCTACAGCCGCAGCAGCTACAGCCGCAGCGAGCTCAGACCATCATGATGGCTCAGGGGAGTTACAGCACGACAACACGGGCCGCAGCTATGTAGTTATGCAGTAGCGGTACAGCGGGTGTGGGCAGCATCCTGGCAGCATCCTGGCAGCATCACACCCAACGGCAGGGAGCGGAGCAGCGCAACAAGCAGCGCCGCGCGAAGGCTTGGCCATCGCACTGGCGCCATGGCAGCAGCAGCAGCTGCTGCTGCTCCTTTACACGCCTGAGAGAGGCAGGTTGTCGGGCAGCCATCCAGCCCAGGCAGCCTAGCCTAGCGGTGGTGTAGCCGTAGCTGCTGCTGCTGCTGCTGCAAGCTGCTGTACAGGAGCAGAAGCAGCGTTGTGGGGCTCATGGGGCTCATGGAAGAGATGGGGGCGGCCGCCTTCCTTTATCGGCGCTGTGAGGAGCTTCATGCATCACCTACCGCACCGCACCGCACCTCACCAATACTTCACCTCACCAATAGCAGCGCATCCCATTCTCTCATCCCACACTCTTCCGCCTTCCACTTCCCTCTTCTCTTCAACCCCCCCCCCTCTCAGCTACGAGGTGGACATCTACGAGGGGCGGCAGTGGATCGGCGGCAAGGTGGCCTCCTACGTGGACAAGGATGGGAACCACATCGAGGTGAGGGGGCGGAGGGGAGAGGAGCAGGGAGCAGGGGGAGCAGGGATCAAACTGAGCCGCGGAAACACTGGCCCTGGAGAGCAGGGAGCAGGGAGGGAGAAGCGGCGCAACAGCAGTGAGAGCCCGCAGTGTCAGCAGGGCTAAAGGATGTGGCTGTGGCGGGGGTCACCTTGTCCGAGGTTGGCCCGCCGTGCACTCTATTTGCCATTTTTCTTTTCGCCTGAGGAAGCAACGGCCACGACCATGTGCACCGCCGCGTCACCACCACCCTCTTCTTCTTCTTCCCCCACTGCAAACACCCCCAACACCAGATGGGCCTGCACGTCTTCTTCGGCTGCTACTTCAACCTGTTCCGTCTGATGGCCAAGTGCGGGGTGCTGGAGAACCTGCTGGTCAAGGTGGGGTGGCGGGGGGGGGGGGGCTGGGGCGCTGTGTTAAGGACACTGGCCACGAGTAGGAGCTCGGGACGCACTGTGGTGCGCTCCGTGCATGTGAGGCAAGCACGTCCACATGGTGTGTGCCAAGCACGTGCGTCCGCGCCATGACGGCTGTTTTTCTGTACACCCTTCCTCACCCACCCTTGCAGGAGCACACGCACACCTTTTGCAACAACGACGGCGACGTACGAGACCTGGACTTCCGCTTCTTCATCAACGGGCTCAAGGTCGGCGCGCCCTTCCATGGTGGGTGGCCAGCTGGGGTGGACCCGCAGCAGCGGGCAGCAGCCGGGGGGGGGCGGAAACTTCTTTGCGACCCTAAGCACCCCAAGGAGGGGAACCCCTGGTTCGACCTCTCGCTCCACCGCTGCCAGTGCTTCTTTAATGCTGCTGCTACTGTTGTTGCTAGATGCTTCCTCGCCTCTGTTTGCCTGTTTGTTACCCACCTTCCTCCTCACCCGCCCCTGCCCTCTTTCCCTCCCGCAGGCCTCAAAGCCTTCTTCACCACGCCCCAGCTCGCCCCGCTGGACAAGGTAGCCAACAGTCTGGCGCTGGGCACCTCCCCCATCGTACGGGCGCTGATCGACCCCGAGGGCGGCATGCGGGACATCCGCGACCTGGACGGCGTCTCCTTCACCGACTGGTTCCTCAGCCATGGCGGCAGCCGCAACTCCATCAAACGCATGTGGGACCCCATTGGTGAGTTGGGAGCTTGGCTCCTCCTCTTCTTGTCCTTCTTCTCCTTCCTCTTGTTCTCCGTCTTCTCCTTCTTCTTCTTTTCCTTCTCCACATGCCGACATGCTTCGTACGCCCCCGCCTGCCTGCCGTCCCCCGTATCCCTCCTACATCCCGCCTGGGGGCTTCTTTACCCCCACCCACCCACCCGCCTTCCCCGCCCTCTCGCCCGCCGCCTCCTCCTGCCCCCCCCCACCACCTGCTGCACTTCTCATTTGTTTTTTTCCTCCTCCCGCCCGCCCATGCTATCCACAGCCTACGCGCTGGGCTTCTTGGACTGCGACCACATCTCCGCTCGCTGCATGCTCACCATCTTCCAGTTCTTCGCCACCAAGACGGACGCATCGGTGCTGCGCATGCTGAACGGCTCGCCCGCAGAGCGCCTGCTGGCGCCCATCGCGGATTACATTCGCGCCCGGGGCGGCCGCATACACACTCGCGCGGGCTGCAAGTGGGTAGTCGTACTTGAGGAGTTGGGTACTACGCTGTGTGCTACCGGTCGCTAGCCACGGGATACCGCCCACGAGGTTTGGGGTTTGGATGCTTGAAATTCGGCTCAGAAGTAGTAACGTAAGAAGCCCCGATGCAATGAACGGTAGTATATTCTGATGGCCCGTCCGTTTTCTCCGCCCATCTATCCGCATCCGCAATCTCAGGGAGGTGCTGTACGAGACGGCAGCCGACGGCACCACTCGCGTCACTGGGCTTCGCGTCGGACCCATGGGTCGCGAGGAGCTCATCACCGCCGACGTCTACGTCGCGGCACTCGACGTGCCCGGCATTAAGAAGCTCCTGCCACCCGCCTGGCGTACGGCACATCGCCAATTCGACCTGATCTACAAACTCGTTGGCGTGCCGGTGATTACCGTACAACTACGGTACGACGGTTGGGTTACGGAGCTGAAAGATGCGGCCAAGGTACGGGATCTCCGTGCGGCCGCGGGTTTGGACAACCTGTTGTACAGCGCGGATACCTACTTCTCGTGCTTTGCGGATTTGGCGCTGACGTCACCGGTAGAGTACTTCAAGGAGGGCGAGGGCAGCCTGATGCAGTGCGTAATCACGCCGGCAGTGCCGTACATGGCCTGGACGAATGAGGCCATCGCGGCGGAGACGGACCGACAGGTGGGTCTGCGTGTGCGTGTGGTTAAAAAAAATCTGGCCACGTGTCTCTCATGCAGTCATGCCGCACCCGTTACCCCGCACCCGTGGTTTCCTTTCCTTACGTTCCTCCCTCCGCCCCTCCTGTGTACGACAACCCCCTTATCCCCCTCCTCGTGCAGGTACGGCAGCTCTTCCCCTCGGCTCGTGGGCTGCGCATGACGTGGCACTCCGTGGTCAAGATCTCCCAGTCGCTGTACGAGGAGGCTCCCGGCATGGACTTGTACCGCCCCGACCAGAAGACGCCCGTGCCCAACTTCTTCCTGGCGGGCTCCTACACCAAGCAGGTGGGGGCGGAAGGGAGACAGCAGGGGTAGGAAAGGGGGAGGGCGTACCCTACGGTCACGGTCACTGTTTCCTCGCGGCTCAGTATCTAAGTCAGCATGTAATCCCTCCCTCTGCCTCCCCCCGTCTCTTCTGCCTCCCCCTCTTCTCCTCCTCTCCCTTCCCTCCCCTCTTCCTCAGGACTACATCGACTCCATGGAGGGCGCCACGCTGTCCGGCCGCCAGTGCGCCTACTCCATCCTGGAGGCCGCTCCCGCACTGCGCAGCGCCGCGGACAAGCTGGCGGCAACAGCGGCAACAGCGGCAGCGCAGAAGGTACCCGCGGGTGCGGCGGTGTAAGGAGGGATGATCCCTGGTGGAGGGAGGGAGCTTGGGACTCAGTACTCAGAGTGGGGGCTGGTATTACAGAGATGGGGGATGCGGATGCGACAATGCATCCGGCGGCGCTGCTGACGTGGGTGTACGGCATGCAGGGCTGGCTACACGTGTGCATGGAGGGGTTGTGCGAGGGCGGGGTAGCTGAGGGAGGCGAGATGAGGTGTGAGCGGGGATGGTGGCGTGGTACAGAACAGCAGGGCGTGGCCTGACGCAAGAGGAGCTGAGGTGGAGGAGTGGAGGTGAAAGAGAGGTAGCGGCCTCGAGGCGGCGTGTCGTGTGGGGACCTCCTGCCGAGCTGCATTGCTGGTGTGCAGACAAACATAGTTCCAGCAGGACGCGTGCCGATGCTGGGGATGCTGGCATGATGACTCGGGGTTTTAGCTTGTACATTACGGAGACCGGCACTGCACGGCTGCATGCATGAGATGCTTGTAGCGGTTGCATGGCAGCTGCAAAGTGGAACAGCTACCGGCAAGGGTTTGCGTAGCGAGTCTGTGCAGGGATGGGGGTGGGGGTGAGGGTTAAGTGCTGGCGCGCTGAGAGGAGGGCATTGCAGCGTGGTATAAACCCGGAACGAAGGGGTGCTTGGCTGGGGCTGTCATGCTGCAATATGACGCGCAAGGCGCTGACAGTTAGTAACATAGTTATAGCGATGTAGTTAAGAGAGAGGAGAGGAGTTGCGGCGGGTGTCCGCATGCATGCAAGGAGGAGGAGAGCAAACCATGACTTGCTGGTGTATGCACGGGCGAATGAAAGTAGCGCTGGTTATGACGATACGGGATGCGTGATTTTTCACACGTCCCGTAGGAAGTGAGTGCTGGTAAGAAGCATTTTAGGTAGGCAAGGAGCGAGGAGCAGGGAATGAGCGGTCCCGGCTTCTGCTGCTTTACGTGCAGCAAGCTTTGGACGAAAGCGGGGCATGGACGGCGAAAACGAGAGAAGAAGAAGTACATGTGAGGCCCATGGCACGCACAGGAGCCAGTGACCCGTGGGTCTCGCTGTTGATTTTGTTGCGGCTGCGAAAGGAGGTATAGTAGAGGTTGGTACCGAGGGTTCGTCTGGCCTGCTGAAGGCCGCTAGTTTGCCCTTGACCGGGTGGAGTAACCTCTCTCATGGAAGTCGAGCCGCCGCGTATTAATCACGCTTCAGGCTGCCGTGGGTCCAAAGCCCAGCCTCGTCTATTCCAGACAAGCCCAGGTTCCGCACAACGGCTCCTCTGGCTGTTACAGCAAATCGCTCAGGCCAGGAGCCAAGGCGCAGACCTCGAGGTAAGGTGCGCTGCGGGCTTTTGTCCATAACACCAAAACTCCAGAAGCTACCAGACAGATACGAATGGCCGTACATCGTCGTTACCGGTCTCCCTCGTTGTTATCCACCAACGCCTCTACTGAAACTCCAACACCTGAGGACCCTCCTCCCCGGCCCGTGCCACCACCGCCGCAGCCGCTCGCCCGATCAGCAGTCCATGCGCCACCACTCCCTCCACCTGCCGTACTTCATCAGCGATCTTGTCGTACGGCTCGTCCTCGCCGTACAGTTTTAGGCCCTCATAGAACCGTACATCCACAATGGTATGCCCCTGCGCAGCAGCATCGTCACCGCACAGGTTAAGTTGCAACCAATGCCGACGGGATCATCGGCAACCATCAACTCGAGATATCGGGAATGCAAGCGAATACACACGCACGGTTTCAAAAACGGTGTTATTATCAGGCGGGTAGGACGGCCAGGCTCATATAGGCTACACAACCAGACCCCTTCGCGCCATGCGGGTGTGCGTGCATGCGTGCGGGTTAGCCGACGTACCTGAGGGCTGATGTACGGGTGCTCCCCGCCGCGGGGGTCCTCTGGTTGCCCGGTGAAGGATCGCCGCCTGAGTAGAGAAGGAGCAGGAGGAGGCGGAGGGCGGGAAGTAAGGCGGAACGGGGTGGGTGAACGACTTACCAGACTTACGACGGAGGGTGGGTTGGAGGCGGTGGCCGCAGAGCCGCGTTAGGGCTCGACGGGTAGCGGCAAACCGGCATTGCTAACATGCTGCTACGTCTACAATGCTACCGCTGCTGGCAATGCTGCTACTGCTACAGCTCTATTTCCGATATGGCCTGTTACATAAGTACGACAGGAAATACGACAGGAAGGCGCTAAAACCAATCTGGGAGCACGGATCTGGAGCCCAGAGAGGGAAATTGGTACCTCCCACCACACCCATGACATACACGCACGCACCATATCTCTGCGTCCCCGAGGAAAATGTCATCCAGCTGCTCCGCCGCCTCCTCCCACACGTCCGCATCCAGCCACACCGGCAGCACTCCGCCCAACCGGGACACAACCTTCAGGGTTTGGGGGTAGGAGAAATGGGGAAAGCGAGACAGGTAAGCAGCGGATATGCAAGCGGCGCCGGTAAGCCTGAGCAGCATGTCCCTCATGTCCCTCATGCAAGAGGGAGTTCGAAATTACCGGTAACAAGACATACCGGAACAGCACGGAACGGCCTCCTGTAAGCAAGGAGGAGGGCGACAAGGACAAGGAAGGACTGCTCCGCCCGCTACATGAGGGGTCCGGGCGCCATGACCCACGGGTCACAACAGGGACATACACAGCAGGGACGCAACCACGCACCCGTGATGCCTCCGTCAGCAGTACGACACGCGGGCCTGCCTCGCCAGCCTCCGTCGGAACAGCTGCAGCCCTCAACAGCCTTGGAACCTGTGTGGAAGGAGAGACAAGAAGAAGAAAGGCAAACGCAGGAGACAAGGTGACGACATGCCCCATGCAGCGTAAGGTCCATGTCAGGCAACCGCTGCCCCACATCAGCGGCACTTCGCATGTTAGTAAGGAGCATCCGCTAAGCACCAAACCACGTGGGTTAGCACCCCCGTGTCACCATCCCCCCGGGTCGTACATCGGGTTGTTGCGGCTCGCATGCACAGCCCAGCAGCGCCGCATTGGCCGCCGGGTCGAACTGGTCCGCGTCAGCCAACAGCAGGGAGGCCTGAAAGGAGGGAAGGAGGTGAGAATGGGAGAGGTTAGAAGAGGGAAACCGAGGTTAGGAACGCCTGTGAGGATGGGGGAGAAGTACAGTTGCGGAAGGGAACAACGGCCTGCTGTGCATAAAAGACACACCCCGCTAACGCACCTCGCCAGCTCGCGACTCGGGCACCAGCGGCAGCCCATGGAAGGCCGCCTCGTGCGCGGCCATGTCACACACCGGCACTCCCGCCACGTCCTGCGGCATCGGAACGGAAACATGCATTCGGAGGTTGACTAAATCGGTGCACGAGGACATGGCTGGCATGGCAGGCATGGACGGGGCGCACATGGACGGGGCGCACATGGACGGGGCGCACATGGATGGGGCGCACATGGACGGGGCGCACATGGCATAGCATGGAGACAGAGAGCATGGCATGGCCAGCACGCACCTGCAGGCTTCCCTCCGCCAGCCGCCTGCCCACCTCCGCCACCACTAGGTTGACCTGCCGCGCGGCAAGATGAGGGCAGCAGCAGCGATATGAAAGCGATGCCACGGAAGGACAGGAGGAGAGGAGGAGAGGATGCGAATACAACAGCAGCTGCCAGCCACTGCATGCAAACTGTGCTACAAACCGTGCTTCTTCTGAGCCGAACAGCCCGCCTAAGCATAGCGGCCTGCCCTCCCATGTCCACCACGCCCTATCATTATGTCCCCATGTATACCCAACACGATCCCAAGCCTCTCAAGCCCAGAGCTTTACCATTTCTCCTTGCCCTAGCGCAAGTAGTGTGTTGTTACGTACGAAGCGATCCACACAGACTCGGGCTGCTTCCCTGGAGCCATTCCAGCAGGAGGCGCAGGATGTCATGAAACGGCAATGGTGCTTGTACGACTTCAGCAAGGACGTAAGGTTATAAACCACTACAGATTGGAACTGAGGCTTTCATCCTGACGACAAAAGGTTAGTAGTCATGGGCCGCATCCTCACCGTTTGGCCTCGGCCATTATGTTGGGCTTGCTGCAACGGATGGCTAGGGTGCGCCGTGACGACCTGCAGGCGATTTGTAGCAATTGCCATCGGTTCAGATAGGAGTAGGATTATGGGCCCTTATCTCTCATTGGCGGGAAATGAGAGCGCCGGAAAGGGGCGACGGATGCAATGCGCAGGGCTGCCGACTGCTTCGTCGCTCCTTCCCCACCTAGCGCTATGGCACCCATACCGCTCGGTAATTCATAAGCATAGAATAATTGTATCGCGGCCCTTCGGTATACGCAGCAACAAGCCTGCGCACCCACCCGCGGTTCAGCGCTGTGTCTCGCACTCGACACCGCTGTATCGACTGCATGGACTTAAGCAATTGTCGGGCTCAGGAAAAGCGGTCTTAAGGTGAATCCTATTGGCCCAGGTGGTGCACAGGTGGAGACGCTAGGGCAGTCGCCGCTTTGTGAAGCAGAAATAAGTCGGACAGCTGTTTAAGCGTTTTGGACGCAGCATACAGCGGTGTTTGCTGACGCTAACCAGCCCTGCCCCTCTACCTTGTCCCAACCGCTCAAGCAGTATGCTTGCATGCCGTACGAACTTGCCGCCCTCTTGCATGTTTTATCGGCAATGGCTGCACAAAAGGTTCGATTGCTACCTTGGTATATCGCGTGACACTGCCTTACGAGCGACATCGTTTCAAAGTCAAGCTGTTTTACTCACCGTCCTGTTCTTGATACTTTCCATCAAAGCAGGCATAGTATTGCGTGAACTGCAGCTACTAATCTTTGCATCATCTTGTCTTTAGTCTTTCCGCCGCCAGTTGATTGCACAACAATGAGCCCCAAACGCGAAAGAGAAGACGGTGGCAACGGGGAAAAGCCCCAACATAAGAAAAAAGAGGTACTGCAAGACTTTGCCGTCGTCAGAGCAACGGCAGGCCTTAATACCGTCCACCTGTCCAACCGCTTGTAGGAGGTCGCCCACCCACGGAAGCGGTTCTACCGGGCTCGCGCCCACAGCAACCCGCTGAACGACGCCTCCTTCGACGTGCCCACTCGGCCAGAGGACTTTGACTGGTGCGTCGATCACTCGATCCCCGGGTCGCTGTGCAGCAACAAAGGGAATACCTTTCTTCCTTGCATCTACTCGTGTTGGACCCCTTGTCCCTCCCCTGCAACCCCGCCCACGCACAGCTAAATTCCCCCCATGTCGCATACGCTCAATACACATGCACCTGGGCCCTCCTCGCTGCTCGAAACTCCACCAGGACGGACCACTTCCCAGAGTTCCTTCAGGAGTGGCGGGAACGGCAGCAGCAGCAGCAGCCGGAAGCAGCAGCCGCCCCCGCCTCTGGTGACGCCGCGGATGGCTCATCAACAGCCGCCCCAGCGTCCACATCTGCACCCTCCTCCTCCTCCTCTCCCTCAGAGCAGCCTCTGGTTCGCTTCGTGGATATTGGCTGTGGCTTCGGCGGGCTGCTGGTCAAGTGAGTGTGCCGTACAACACCTGTACAGAGCTAACGTGTCTACTTGGACGCACGGCATGAGCCCCATATACTGCATGACCTTACGGGTTGGTCCTCCAGTTTAAACCTCACATCGCAATGCACTGTGGCTACCGGTATGTACGGATCGCCAACTGTTTCCCCGCACCACGTCCGGCAGGCTGTCGACCATCTACCCGGACACGCTGATGCTGGGGATGGAGATCCGAGACAAGGTCTCGGAGTACGTGCGGGAGCGGATAGGCAAGTGCGGGCTGGGGCTGCCTGCAAGCGCAGGCTTCCCGCATCACAGGGACCCTGGTCCTCACCTCCGTATTACAGGGAACTACCGTACTACAGGCTCTTACAGGGTGCCCGGTAGCCCTCCATGCGTCCTCTTCCTTCCACCACAGGGCCCTTCCAACCACCCTCTCTCCCCACCTGTCCACCTGTCTACCGGCACCCAACCAAATACTCAATCCTCCCTATCTCTCCCTCTGCCTCTGCCTCTCTCGCTGCCTCTCCCTCTCCCTCCCCCGCAACCTCGCATCCTCTCGCAACCGCCCAGCCGCCCTCCGCCGCGAGCAGCCCGGCAGCTACCGCAACGCCTCCGTGATGCGCACCAACGCCATGAAGTACCTGCCCAACTACTTCCACAAGGGCCAGCTCACCAAGATGTTCTTCCTCTTCCCGGTGAGCCCTCACGGCGACTGCAGTTGGGCTCTGACTTTTTATAATATTTAAAGTAAACAAGTTTGGGCTCTGTATGAACACTCTGCGGGACATACTCTTTTGCGCCCTCCCTACCTCACCCCCTTTCTTCTCTCCCTCCCTCCCCTTCCCTCAGGACCCCCACTTCAAGGCCGCCAACCACCGGCGCCGCATCATCAACACGCACCTGCTCACCGAGTATGCGCACCTGCTGGCGCCCGGCGGCTGGCTGTACACCATCAGCGATGTACCGGAGCTGGGGGAGTGGATGGTGGGTCGGGCGCTGGGGGGAAGGTACCAAAGAATGAAGTCGGGGGAATGAGGAGAAGAAGGAGGAGAAGAACCAAAGTTTATACTTCGGGAGGGTGGAAAGGGACGGGATGGGGCGTGGTGAGGGGGATAATAATGTGGGGCGCGTGGCGAGTTACACGGTATATTGGTTGATTGATGGAGCACAGGAGTAGAGCCAGCGACGTGGGTTGAGGTGGCCGCGGTGGTGCCGGAGCACCCTGCCCCGTATGGTACTCTGTAGGCCCCTGGGTCTCTCCATGGGGTTGGGTTTTGTTGCATTAATGTCTGCCCCTGTCATGTGCTGCATGTTCACCTGCACACCCACCACTCTCCCCCACCCTACCCTCCCCTGCAGCGCTCCAAGCTCGAGTCGCACCCGCTGTTCGAGCGCGTGAGCGAGGAGGAGCTGGCAGCCGACCCGGCTGCCGGGCTGCTGGCGCTCAGCAGCGAGGAGGGGCAGAAGGTGGCGCGCAACGGGGGAGCGACCTTCCGTAACGTGTACAGACGACTGGCGGCGCCACGACAGCTGCAGCAGCAGCAGCAGCAGGAACAGGAAAAGCAGGAGTAACTGAAGTAGAGTGGAGGCGGGCTGAGGTGGAAGCAGCGGCGGGGCGGCGGCAGGAGCAACAAAGCGGAGGAGTGATGGAAGCCCTGTCTATGATAGGGCGGTAGACCCTTGCCATGGTCAAAAGGTGGAAACTAGTCTTGTGTAGGCGATCACGGTTTGAGAGGGGCAGCAATGAGGAGTAGCAAAGGGATAGGTGGTGGGTGTGTCGATGCGCGATTGGTGCATGGGAGCATCGAAGGAAGCACTGGAATCCCCAGCCCATTGCCCATGAGAAGAGTAGGGAAGGGCTGAGGAGCGGTGTAGGAGAGCCGTTTGAGTCCTATGTAAGAACGGGCTGGGAGGCTTCGGTCCTTGGGATTGCGAGGAGGCGTGGATTGAGAAGTGGCGGCTTCTGGGTTTGGCTTGAGCTGCCCCATGCAACGGTGCTTGAACTGGGTTTCGTGATGGTGTTTTACGCCAAGGCACGCGGCGTTGGGTTGCTGTACCTGGCGTTCGTTTTGCGGCGTTGAATGTAGTAATTAGACCACTCACAAGACCGGGCGGCAATAGTACACGTTTCTGCACTTGGCGGTAACTGGATGGGAAGCTGCCCAGATGCTATACCGGTAGTCCTCGTCCAGCCTCTGAACCGACAGCAGAGCTATTATAGAGAGCTGAGGAATGCGTAAGTGCCGGCGGCAAACCACAACTGGCCGTATAGTTGCCGCAGCAGGATATATCACAGGCTGATCGGTGACTAAGACCTGCTGCTCCAGTGTTATACTCCCGGTCACTTTGTGTCTCAAAGATCTTATGCCCAGGCTAGCCAGAAGGACCACCAAGAAAAAAGCCTCCGACTGAAAAAGAAGAAGAGTTCAGGACATCAGGAGTGCTTGCCCGACAATGTTCGTACAATAGTTCGTAAGGGTGAAAGGGAAAGTAACAGTACGCTCCCGCCTGAACACCTGAAAATAGCTGGATGCTCTTGAGGATGTCCAGATGACTGGTAGTTCACAATCGTCAAGTACCAAGGGTTGGCTCTATCCTATGCTTGCTATCCGAGAAACCTGCATACTAGCTACTTAGCAACCGCCAGTAACTTCTCAAATGCGACCTTTAATTCTTATTGGAATTTCTCTAGTTTTCTTAGCGGGACCGTCAACGAAGACGGCATCGGGGCAGGTCGTGGACGTGTCCAAGCTGCAAAAGTGTACTCAAGGGCTCGCGAGCAATGTGTCAACGTACGTTGCTTTTAGCTTATTTCGTCCAGCTCCGGTGATAAGCCTGCCTAACTGCCCTTAATGTACACCGAGGGCTTTGCAAAAACACGTTCCGTCGTCATTGTGGTATGAGAACTACATTGCAGTCCAAATCCTCGTCAGCGGGTTTGACACTATAGTCCTTTTCTACCCCATCTCCTAGAGGCTTGTCCCCATTCCGGCCCATCGTTTGTAGGTCGGGATTTTGCCCGACGTCTAATAGCACTGCAGCTGCTAGCAGCAGTGCCGATGCGTTTGCTACTGCCGTGGTCGAGTACCTAGCGACCTGCCTCAGCGTGGATATTCGGGTACGTGTTTGGTACTGTCCTTCACCGAGGAAGTCCTTCCCGATGGTTGTGGCATGACACAAGGCAGGACGTGGGGACACTGTCGTGGGAAGGAATCCCATCCAGGGCTGCGAAAAGCGCCTAGCGTGGAAGCAATCCCACGAGCCAACATAACACCACGTCGGTCACCAAACCCGGACCATGTCCCATCTACCCATGCAGCCACTTCGTATTATGGTGCCGAATGCCACGCTGCTGTCGACGGTGCAAACACTTGCAAAGCGTTTCGAGGCTACATACAACGTGTCGGTAAGTCAGCAGGGGGCATCCGCCACCATGTGGTGCTCCCGGGAGAGCCACTACTAGGGGCTCAGCTCGGGTGCTGCTGAAGCAGGCTGAAAGCCGTGAGGTTTCGCATGATTGCAATGCATGGGATATGCCATAACCAGATGAATTGCATGGGATTTGCCATAACCAGATGCATTGTATGGGAGTGCCATTACAGAGTCACCGAGGTGGTGCTCACTGTGGTTGTCGTACATTCCCTCCTCTTGTGTAGGTGACGCTCACGGTTGTGGATCCGGAGAACCTGACGGACTCTGTTATGGAGGAAGCCATCTTCAAGGAGCAGGTAAAAAGGCGACACTGTTTTGGGCGCGGACGTAGGTTTGTCTGGGAAGGGGTGGGGCACGGGCCCAGCCTGGTGACCAGAGGGCATCTGGGCCAAACCTTTCCCCTTCAACCTTGCTTCACGTCAGCGTCCTCTCATGCGCCGCAGTCCGAGAGCGACGGTTGGATCATCGACCCTTCCATCCTAGGTGCGGGCATGTATGCGTATGAATGCGTTGGGCATGCCAGACGGCATGCATTCCTTTGCCCATATTTCGTCGGGCCGTGTTATCGTTTATTAAGCAACATGGGCCGTCCGATGCGTTAGACAACCAACTTCTCGTCGCGCACAAAAGCTGTCTGTTAGGTGTCACTGTCAACTGAGGTTTGCCTAATTGCGACCCACGGGTCGTCCCTTGTTGGCAAAGTGCAGGTGACCTGGCAGATTACGATGCCTTCGAGGACTTGAACGACGAGATAACCGCCGACAAAGACATTGCATGGGATGACATGTCGTGGTGCGTTGAAATGTCGTCTACGATTGGATACCGCGTTGCTGGGATTCCTCTGGACGGAGACCTGCTGCTGCTCTACTACAGGTGCGCATGCAAGTCACTCAAAAGGGGAATGCTATGAGAGGAAAGGGTCGAAACGAACGATGCCAGTAGGACTTAACGGTCCCTTGCTTAGTAGTACACTAGTACTAAGAGGTCCATGTTATCAATATACCGGCCGCTTCTTTTGACCTCAGGCTTGATTTGTTTTCGCGGCACGGACTGAAGGTCCCCGTCACTTGGGAGGAGCTTGTGGCTCTTGCAAGACGAATGAACGGCACGGACACGGACGGTGACGGTCACGGGGACTTGTGGGGCGTGTGTCTCAACAACGCACCGATTCCGTGCGAGGAGCACTACATTCTGGCCGCTATGATGTCGCCGTACCTGCAGTACAATGGAACTGAGCAGGTACGGCGGTTACCGTACTTTCTAATGGCTGTTGAACTTCCCAATATACTGGTGGATACCTTGACTCCCCCTGTTGTGTGCTCCAGGGCGTTTTCATCGACCCAGAAACCATGGCCCCACTGCTCAACAACTCGGCGATGATCCGGGTTGTGGAGCTTTACATGGAGTTATCAAAGTAAGCAAGCCTGCCAGCCTATCATGATGCATGTCGGGGGGCCTCGGGCATGGTGTTTGACGCTTGCATGTTTGACACCCAGCCAAGAGTCATAAACAGATACCGGTATCATATCATCAGCTTCCCCGCATTCCTTCAACCTTAACCCGGAAGCATTGGGTTACGTCCCATGGCGGTGATTCCAGACTCGCTCCGCGTTCCGCACACCCCTTGCCCGTGGACTTGCAATCCTTAAGTTGGCGGTTGCCTTCACCGGCCTTTGCCTTGTTCCTGCGTTGGCCGTTGACAGGTACCAACCCAGCGTGAGCACCTGCAGTCGAACGAACGAGTTGTTCACCAACGGTAGCTGCTTAATGACTATCAATTTTGGTAAGTATGGGCCGCACGACCTGCGTACTTGGGGTGTAGCGGAGAGGGTGCGGCAATCGCCGAAAGGGCATGCGAAGACACTTGGTCCAGGCCACAGCGAGTATAAGACCCCAGGCGTGGCCGACGACTCTTGTCGGCGCAGCTTTTGTGCAGGGTGCGAGCTTGTCGGCTTTGCATCGTTGCATCCATGTGTGCAGGTGATCAATTCAAGGCCAACGCCTACAAGACCAGCTCATTTAAGGGGACGTTGGGGGTGGCTCGTCTGCCTGGGTCGGCGGAGGTGTACAACAGGACGACGGGGACACTGGCGACGTGCCTAAATAATGCAACCTGTCCTTACGCTGAGCAGGTACGAGGACTTGGAACCTGCAACTGCAGTCACCGCCCTTTGTTCCGTTCCTGTACATTGGATCAAGACCGCGTCTTGCGCTTAAGGAGCCTTAGTCCTCATGGCCTGTCTTCCTGGGCTTCCCTTGGGCCCGCACACTGCGTCACGCCCGCACCACCGCTGTTACCTAAATATGAAACCCCCACCTCAGGTAGCCTTGGCCAACGGCAGCTTATCGTGGGTGAACTTTGCTCCCTTCACCGGCTTCGGAGGCTGGACCAGCATGGTCAATAAAAACGCGCCTTCCGGCTACAAGTCACTGGCGTATAAGTTCTTCTCCTTCGTAGTAAAGGTGCGGTTTCGCGACGCAATCTGCTCTCCAACGGGCTTTTGGAGGGTATTTTTGTTTCTAGTCCTTGGCAAAGCTAGGATCACGTTACGTGCATGGTGACATGGCGTGGGGCGTGAGATCCGCTTGCCAACCATACTGGATGAACACCCTACCCTGTCATAAACCTGACTGTTAATGACTGGCTAACATGACTGATTATATGATCTGGCTTGCAGCCGATGCACGGCTTGGAGGCTGTGCTGGACCAGACGAGTGGGATAGACCCCTATCGCCCCAGTCAGTACAGTCTGCAAGAAGCCAACCTGGCGACGTGGGTCGCCGCGGGGTACGACAGAAGCGCCACAGCGCAGTATTTGGCAGCTGTTGGCTTTTCCATGGAGAGCTTCAACCTAGCCCTCGACATGCGGCTAGAGTGAGTTGCATCTACTTGGGATTGTGGCTGGGGCTTGTGGCAGTGGGCATGTGTGCGTAGCACGAAGGAGAGGAAATGTCCATCTGAGCTGTGCTCCATCTATATTAGCCATTTCCTGTTTGTGGGGTGTTTTTGATGTCCTTTGCTCGCTAGCGTGCATACATGCCCCAAAACCATCGCCACCTCTTGACTGTCCTTTCGCCTCGTGTCTTGTTCTATGCTATTGAAACCTCACATACAACATGCCTTTGCCTGAATCCTTGCGCTCTCTTCTTTCCCGTGTGCCTCTTCCTGCCTCCTGACTCCTGACTCCTCCTCTTGCCAAATCAGAGGCATGGTGAGGACGACCCATGCCATCCTAGACGACATTGCGGACAACACCACGTGGTACATGAGCTCGCTGCACACGTCGCCGTCTGCCGTACTCGCGCGCGGGCAGCTGGTCATGCAAGAGACGCTGGACTCCGTGGACGTCTCGATAGACGCGCAGCGGCAGTACTGCATGATCCTGGGTTGTTACTTCGGTTGGGATCCGTCAGGCAAGCCGTCGGGTAATCGCAACAACACCAACGATAATCCCGCTGTCGATCCGGGTAAGTTGAGGGGATGCCGCGGCGGCATGTGGCTACATTTTATTTCCGATGTGGACTGTTACAGAGGAAGGACAGGAAGACAACCAAAAAAAACCAGCGGAGACTAAAACCACTGGATACGAGGGAAGCACCCCTGGAAAACACATGTGTGTGAAGGCGCCAATGATGGGTCCGTGGTGGCGACGGAGGGGCACGGCTTTGGGTATTGCTTACGCGCGCTGTGTAGAACTGTCTAGAACCCAATCGCGCCTGCTCCCGTTTGTTGCACCGCCAGCGGCATTTACAAGAGGCGACACGCATGTCCACCTGTTTGTTTCTGCACGAGGGGATACGCCCATATCCGCCATATGATGTCGTACAGACCTGGCAAACCCGGCCCTTGTGCCCTGTGACCCTTTCCTGTCGGCACAGGTGGTGGCGGGAACAAAAAGCTGGTCATCCTGTCAGCCGTTCTATCGCCCGTGGGCGCCCTCCTGCTGGCTGCCTGTGTGGGGCTGCTGCTGTGGCGGCGACTGGTGGGACACCGGCACCTGCTGAAGGGCGCCGTGAAGGCGCCCATGGCTGGCCCCGAGACCAGCCTCCTCATCACCGACATCCAGGTGCGGGCTTGGCTAGCGGTGATGACCTGCTAACAACACCAAGTTCGTGGTTGTCGCCCACACGGTTTGACGCCCACCTCACGCGGCACCCCCCCCCCATGCGTGTTAGGGAATACTGACCAACACTTTGTATTGTGGCACCCTGCCGCTTCCTATCCCCATTGCTTTGCCCTAACCTGTGGTTTCCTATGGTTCATCATGGTCTTCGACCCCACATGCATGCATGGCTGCCTCGCAGGACTCCACGTCCCTGTGGGAGGCGCTGCCGGAGGATGTGATGGACGCCGCGCTGCGCACACACCATGCGGTGGTACGACAGGCGCTGGGGAAGCACGCGGGCTACGAGAGTGCCACGGAGGGGGACTCCTTCATCCTGGCCTTCCATACCGCGGGGGACGCGGTGGCTTGCGCCATGAGGTGGGAGCGCGAGGGGGAGGCTTGTTCGCTTGTAGCTTGCATCCAACACATACATTACGCTGGCACGTTACGCGATTCAGGGGTCGCATGGGTCCTGCTGCAACGCAACCGCCCATCCTTACCACCCTTCCAATGCGCTCCCTCTTCTCAGCCGCCTCATGCACACTTCTTTCCTTACCTCCCGTTTGCATCCCAGCTCGGGTCCCCATTCACCCTGTTTACCCTGTTTCCGGATTCAGGATCCAAACCGAGCTTCTGACGGCTGACTGGCAGCAGCCGCTGCTGCAGTGCGCCCGCTGCGACTCCGCCTGCGAGGTCTGGCAGAGCCCAGCACGCGGCGGCCAACACATGGCCCTCCTCGAGCTGCTCTGCGGCTCCCAAGCCATGGGCCGCAAACGGAGTCACAAGCTCCGAAACCTGGAAGCAGCCGGCCGCAGCGGCGGCGGTGCCTCGCGTGTTCTACGGGGCCCACTGGCCCGAATGGCTGTGCTGCGAAACACCCTTTGGCGCGGCCGCCAGCCACCAGCTGCTGCGGCGGCGGCCGCGGGTGGTGCTGCTAATGGCGCCATGGTTGCTAGTAGTATGGCAGCGGCGGCAACAGTAGGAGGCGTTGGTCGGATTACGACCTCATCTGGGTTTTGGGAGGCCCGGACTACAGCCGGCAGCAGCAGGATGTGTTCGGAGCCGCAGCACTCTCTGTCGGTTGACCGGCTGAGCGGCCCCAAGTGCGTTGGCAGGGGTCTGGGAGGGGCTGGGGGGGGGGGCTTGATTGGGGCTTATGTTTGGTATGGATCTACCGAGCTGTCGACCGAGGAGAAACACACTGGCCGCTGATATTGTGGCGACTGTTAATGTGATTGAATGCACTGTCTGTGCGTTGAGCCCTCTGTCGGCGGGGAAGGTTCTTTGGCAACGGTGGTGGTGGTCCGGGGCTTCGGTCTTTCAGAGGAGGAGTATGGCAACGGGGGTCGATGAAACCATACCGGTCATTGTTGCTGGCTGCGACCTCCACCTCTTTCCTCCTCCTCCTCCTCCTCTTCCCACCCTTCGCAGAGACGACCTGATGGATGAGGACTGGTGCTCCTCCCCCCACATGAGCAACCACTGCAGAGCCGTGAGTGTGGTAATCCTCGTGTTTTCTTGTTGTGGATGCCACCACTGTGTGGCCCTGGGTACTGCATACCGCACATGAATTAATCCTTTTTTTAACGTGTATGATCAGCTGGACGCTAAACGTCCACCCATAGCGCCTGCATCGCAACTGCTTGCACCTGGGTAAGGAACCTTGCAATTCTGTTCTGACTTTGGCGCGGCTTCGGCGGTTTCGTGTTCCTCATTCGGTCGTTCTTACCTCCGTAGTTCGCCCCCTCGAGACCTACTTGCTTTCCGCTGTCCGCCGTCGCTCCCCACGAGTGCACACTTCTCGGCAACAGTCGCATGTCGGCGCCTCCCTCGGCGGCATAGAGTCGACCGGTAGCGACGTCCCGCACGTAGCGGCCACCGGTTCAGCCCCAGTGCATTAGAACCCCCATGCCACTAAAGTATGTACCGTTAGCCGCCCCTCGTCCCTAACCCTCTACCGGTAACCAACCCTTCCTTCGGGTGCCTTGCACCCCACGCAAACCCACGCACAGCGTGAAGCGGCCGTCCCATGGAGCGATTCCGGCGGCGCAGCTTCAGGCAGTGTCACCACGTACGGCAGTGTCACCACGCCCGCCTTCACCACCCAGCCCACCTCCACCTCCATCAGCCTCCCTAGCGCCATGCTGCTTCGGGACTACATCCGCTCTGCATGGGTGGACCCGGAGGCCGCCTCCTCCGTACATGGCGGCCGTACGGCATCCGTCGTACCGGTACACCCCCCCGCCTCGGCGGGCAACAGCTTCATGATTGCTGCATCTTGCGCAGTGGACGCCATCCAAAGCCCTACCAGTCCGTATGCAAACATGTCGGCTAACACTACCGGCGCCGTCGACACCGCAACCGAGGACGCAACCACAACCGCAGCAGCAGCCGCAGCAGCAGGTAACTCGGGCACTGCTGCGGAGGCTTCATCGCCGCCTCCGCCGGGCGTTGCCATCCAGATGGCCAACATGACTCCTGGAACAGAAGCCCTTGTGCCTAACCGGTCGTACAGCAACCTGGCTTACGAGGGATGGGAGGAGCAGCCGGGGTCCTCACCGCCCCAGCCTCAGCCGCAATGGCCGGCACCGGGCAGCAGCCCCAAGCCCTCCGAACACCTGCTGCTGAAAGGACCCATGAACACCCAAGGCGCCGTGACCCATGGGTCAGCCACCGAGCCCGCATCCTCCTCCACGCATCCCCAGCATCACCACCACCACCATCATCATCATCATCTTGGAAGAGCCGCGAGGCAGCTCGCGTTCCGTGGCCTTCGCGTTCGCATGGGCATCCACTCGGGTATTCCGGAGGCCTCGGATGTGTCGTACAACCATGCGGAGGCGCGCTACCACTACACGGGTGTGGGCATGGCGCTGGCCCGCGGCGTGCAGGGCGCAGCGGCTGGGGGGCAGGTGCTGCTGAGCGATGCAACGTTTGCGCTGATTCGGGGAGGAGGGCCCGGAGGCAAGCGAGTCAGGGATGCGGTGGTGAGTGAGTGAGTGGGTGCTACTGCTGTCGCAGCATCGGTTTCGTGAGCGGCAAGGACTGTCCCTCTTCATCTTCCAAGAGCTACCGGTACTGTTTTCATTATGGTGCGTCATGTCTTCCGCTGCCCGAATATCCGGCTGCCCCCGGCCCTAACCAACCTGGTTGATTACATGGTTTACAGCTCCTACATTCCCTCCGCCGCGGCCCCCTTCTCCCCCAGGTTCTCCACATGGGAGAGCACGAGCTGGACGCCAAGCTGCCCTCCGGCGGCCCCCAGCAGCTGTACCAGGCCCTGCCGCGGCAGCTGCTGTGCCGCCTGCCGCTGCTGCCGCCGCTCAAGATCATGTGAGTCGATGTGACCCTTGCGGTGGCGCTTAGGAGGCGATGCTGAAGCTGCTACCGCGCTCCTCTTGTTGCTGTTGCTAATTTTTGGGTACTACTGGGTAGCATCCCCATCTTGCCCGTAGCCTTTTCTAGCCTTCTGGGGCTGGTTCCCGCACATCCTTCATGGAACCATTGCGCCACTGCGGTCCTCACCCCCATAACCGCTGCAATCCCTGTGACCCGCCTCCCACACACATACGCTTCGCCTCGCGGCCAGTTAGTTTAAAACACATACGTTCCTACTCGCGGCCAGTTATTTTAACACACACATACCTGCCGTACATGCATGCACACGCAGTCGTACGGTCACCGTGGGCGCTCTGGATGCGCCGGTGGGTCGTGTGACGGTCGCCTTCCTCACCGTGGCGGGCGTGTCCACGCTGCTGGCCTGGAACCCCGAGGTGACGCGGCGCGCGCTGGAGGTGTTTGACGCCACCTTTGCGGAGCAGGCGGCGGCGGCGGCGGGCGGCGGCAGCGGGGCGTACATTGTGAGAGCACTGGTGATGTTGTGCTGTGGGAGGGAGGGAGGATGTGTAGAGGGTATGTTGTGATTCAACTCTTTGCGAGGGTCCACCCCAACCTCTTGTACCCAACCCTGTGCCGACCCGGCTGCCCTCCCGCCCCCACGCCAGGTTGAGGCTACCGGCGGTCTGCTGCTGGCCGCCTTCGCCAGCCCCACCGCCGCGCTGGCCACCTGCCGCCGGCTGCAGCGGGCGCTGCTGGGCGCGGAGTGGCCGCCGGAGCTGCTGGAGCACGACCTGTGTGAGGAGGTGAGGCGGGAAGGGGACACGATGGGCGAGTGGGGAGGGGGTGTTGGGTGGAGAGGGAGACTAAGCCTGGTGCGAGGAGGCGGGCTGATGGCGGGTAGACGGGAGAACGCTTGCCCCATAACTTCAAGGCTCCAGCTGCTGGCTTTCGTTCCCCCCACCTCCTGCTCTCCTCCCCCCCAGGTGGCCACCACCACTGCGCAGTCGGAGGGGACGTACGTGAGGGAGCTGCTGTTCCGGGGACTCAGAGTCAAGGTATGTGAATTGACAAAACTGGCCGCGATGTGTGTTTGAGAGCCTGTGCCCTACTCTTTTTACCGGTACAGCGACAGCTCAGGCTATAGCAAGGTTGCTAGGCCAGGTGTTTTGGCACCCAATTCCCCCGTCTAGGCCTCTCCTTCCTCCCTGCCCACCCTTTCCAACCCCGCCCTCTCCTCCCAACCCACCTCTCTCCCCGTCAGGCTGGTATCGACTGCGGCCCCTCCCGCGCCGCCCTCAATGGAGCCACCGGTCGGGTCGCCTACCGCGGCAGGGTGATGAACCGAGCGGCGCGCATCAGCAGCCAGGCCACCGCGGGACAGGTAGGCAGGCCGCTAGGCGGGGGTGCGGGGGTGCTGACCGCAAAAGTCAACCGCTGTGTACCGGGAGTGTGAGGGAATGCAGGAGGGGTGTTGTGCGAAGGGGCGGTTGCTGACCCATCATGGACGCGTGTTCACCAGCCGTCGCCGCTACACGGTTGTCTTGCCGTCTCTTTGCGCAGGTGCTTTGTTCGCGAGCCGCTTGGCAGGCTGCCTGTGAGGCGGAGGAGGGCGGCCCCGCGGCGCACGGCCTCACTGCTCTGAGCCTGGGAGCCAAGACACTCAAGGCAGGTGTTGCGCTGGCGGCCTGCAAGTGACCCATGGGTCACAACCGATTGTCAGCACTACTGTAGGCCTTGCACGTTTGCTGTATCTACCACATCGCGGGCTGTCTAGCAGTTTCATTTCCATGTTGTGTCGCACCCACTGTCCGCATGCGTCGCTTCCACCCTCGAACCCACGTGACCGCACCTTCCTTGGCAAGTACCATACGCAAGCCACCAACCCCTGCATGGGTGCCGGCTTGCTTCGCTGTTCACTTGCTTCCCCGCGCGCTATTTTATAATATCATGTGTGTTGTGCGTGCTTGCCTGCCTGCAGGGCATTAGTGAGCCAGTGGAGGTTTTGGAGGTCCGCATGAGTGCAGCTGCCGCCCTTTCCGACCGCATCGTGGCACTGAAGGTGGAGCACGCGGGGAGGCCTTGAGGTGCAGCAGTCCCTGAGAAGCAGCAGGCCCTGAGGAGGCCCTGAGGAGGCGCAGCAGCAGCCAGCATCTCCTTCTGCCCCGCTACTGGTCCTGGTACCAGAACCACCGAGGAACTACGGATACGGATGAGACAAACTACATGCCATGTCTCCTGCAGTATTACTCGCGTTACATGGGCTTCCCTGGGTTGTAGGTTTGCGGATGTGCGAATTTGCAAGAAGTGGGTATGGCAGTTGATTTGTTTGTCCGCTTGCTTCTTTAGGCGAGTGTGTAGGGCGTGAGCGCGTAATCGTAAGAGAAGCCTTTCTTTAATGTCCGCTGTAATGGTGCACAAGGATAATCGCGATCGGGGGGCCTTCAATCTGTTGGGTGCGAGCGATTCGCGTTTCTTGTTGGGCCTTGCGATCTGGCTTGCTATGTGCTGCACTTGGCAATAACCCACAGTAACATACTCCCATAAGCCGCACGGTTTTATTCTCCCATCTGAAGCCCTTAGTAAATCATTTGCGTGTTTGTTGTGAAGTCCTTAATATATCATTTGCGTGCGTGTTGCGTGTTCTCTGTACTTCGCGGCTCATAAAATCGTTCCGTGAGTATGCGATCCCATTCCTCTATCCTTCTTTGCAGGTCTTGACGAGCCTTTATGCACGGGTAGTTTGTCCGACGAAACCCTTTTGCGCGCCCCAGGCCTCGTTTCCACGCGTAATGCACTATGTATGTTAGTCCGTGTTCCTTAGGTGTTCACATGTTTCATTATGCAAGTCGCTCATTTTGCAAGCCGCGGGTGACCCTAAATGAATATACAAAATCAGCTGAACTCCCTACCAAGCCTCTCCTTTGATGTGAGGCGTATGCCAACTGACGGATTGTTGAGTACGTGTCGCCGCCTGGTGTGTTCAAATCCCCCTGTGCTCCCCAAAAGACAAGTTGCCGGAGGATAGAGTGTCAAACCCTTACGGTGGGCATGTTGCTCCTGTGGTTTGGCTCGCGTTGGTGATGACAAATACGACTGAAGTGCCGACTGAGATGAATATTGCGAGCGTGGCCTGACCAGACTTCTTAACTGTCTGTGGCGCTTGCGATCAACACATGTGACGGTTTCTGTGCAGTCTATGGCCTCTCATGACATGCGGCCGAGGTGTTTCAGTAGCAACACTTCTGAACTAGGAATAGTATGTAAGAAACATGGGCAGTATAGCGCACCTCGCACCTCCAGGGGCATTCCAATCCTGTCTGTCGGGAGTCTCGACACCGTACGGTTATTAATCTTACCAAATGTACGGGCACTTGCACAGTCCTGCTTGCAGACGGTCGCTTCAGGGCATTTGGCGATGCTTATATATATACCTATATAGACGGCACCATCATTGCTGCGGTGACTTGCACGATCGCGGCTTGTTGGACGCCAGATATCAGTGCAAGACTGGCTGCCAGGCATGGTTGCTGAACAGGATAGAGAAACTAGAACGGGAACGCATATGGCTCCTAAATTTATTTGGCTCTGACGCGCTTTGTCTATGTGGTCCGACACGTCTAGGCCGTCGTTGATGGCAAGGATTGCGAAGACAACTAACCCTGTTGTCCATGTTCTCATATGGTTTGCGTTGGTTTGCGTGTGCACTGGTCAACCACAGCCTTTTAGTTATCCGACTCCGAGCCCACCGGGAGCCGGGGTAAATGCTTCAGACTATGACTACGAAACTTTGGTGGACTTGTTGACACAAAGTAATGATGATCGACTGCCTCTTGTGAACTACACTCGAGACCTCCTCTCCCAAAACTTGAGCGTCTTCGGCCAAGCTGTACGCATAAGGAACAACATCTTCTTATCTCATCGCTGCCAGGTGCGCTCATGAATTACTAGCCTGACCAGCTAGTAATTGCAATACACGCAATCCTTCACGCAAATGATTAAACATACGCAGTCCCGTTGTTGCGCCTTCCATTTCCCCCCTCCTGCTTGCATCGGACCCCATCCCGACGATTGCCACCCCACAAGTTCTCCCCTATTACCCTCCCGGCCGCCACCTCTGTCGCAGGTGTTATACCTCGGCAACCCCAACTGGGCCAACCTGAAGGTGGACGTGAACTTTGTGGGCGGCAATTGCACCGGCACTCAGCGCCCTCAGGCCTTCTTCGCCTACATTGATGGCTACAACGCCCCCTCCTCCCTCAGCGCTGTCACGCTATCCTCCAGTAAGGCTCCATGGGCTGCGGTTGTTGCGCAACACGCCACCAACACCGCTACTACCAACAGCAGCAGCTCGGCGGGCCGGAGGTCCGTCCTGTCGCCTCATGCCAGGGAAGCTGGGGGAAAGGAAGAAGACATAGAGCTCCAGCAGCAGCAGAAAGAGGAGGTGGGAGAGGAGGAGGAGCAGGGTTTGGAGGAGGAATCGGTGGTCGGCGGACTGTGGAGCAGCATCAAACGGCGGTTGGTGTCGGTTAGCAGTTTGAGCACTGGCGGGTAAGGGTTGGGTTGGGGTAAGAGGAGCAACGGCAACCATTGGTTGGGTGGGCTGGTTGCCGCGCTCCACAACAAGAATGGAACCGGAGAGGATTACCCCCGCTGCTTGTTTGCCCCTGTCACGAGTTACACCTTCTGTCTACACGCTAACAGTAGCTTATCAAGGATTAACATTGGCTCAACGCCCACGAGACCAAATGTCTGTCTGCCACTCCCCTCATGCCGCTGCAGGCTAAGCTTTAAAAGCGCGTACGACGGCGTTCGCGGTCAGGCCCTGGCCACTCAGGAGCTTCTGAATCGCGGAGAAAAGTTCGTACCAGGTCCGGAAGGTCCCCTTGCCGTACCTGCCCTAGTCAGCCCCCGTACAGGCGGCTCCGTCGCCTCCCACAGCCGTTACACGGAGGGAGCCATGCTGAATCAGTTGGAGGAAGGTACGGCGGCGTACGGAAGGTTGAAATTGTACGATGTGTCGTACAGTAGGACGGCACGTTTTCGTGCCATGCGCGAGTGCGCAGAGCCACAAACCCAGTTATGTGCTCCCCCTCCCGGCATCGGATTAGCTCAACAATACTTTTCCTGGCCTCACATGCTTTGTGTATGGCCTCCCTCCCTTGCATCGCACAGTTTACCGGTATCATACTCTGTTACTCATCATTCTCGTTGCGTGTGGCATCGCTTCTGCCCATCCGATTCCCGGAAACAGGGGGCACCTCGGATACCAACATGAAGTCCCTGAAAGACTCCACCAACGTCTACTGGGCACCTGAAGTGGACTGCCTCTCTGTGATGGGCCTTTCGGGCGGCGTCAAACGCCGCACAAGCGGCAGTAGCGGCAGCAGCAGCAAGCCGCAACAGAGCACGAACAGCAAATCCTCTTGCTTCGTCACGCAAACAGTGTTGTACATCTATAATCCATGCGCGCCGGATCCATCAGATGATTCATCAACGTCATCCGGCACCGACAACACCTCTGGTGGGGGCCATTACTACGATTATAACGACCCACCAAGTGGCCTTTCAGGCGCGCCTAGTCCGCCAAAATCCCCATTCTCCTCTAGCCCGCCAAGTCCTGCTTCCAATGCTGCAAACAGTAGCAGCAGCGGCGGCGGTAGCAGCAGTGGTGTCAGTCGTCGATTGCTTGATGAGGGCACAGCAACCGGCGACAGCGGCAACAGCACTGAGGAAAGCCCCTCCAGCAATGGCAGCATTTTCACGACTGAGGAGGAGGTGGATTGGGCTTTGCAGGGCGCGCTGGACGTGCAGGGGTGGCTGATGTCGTGGGATGCGCCCGAGGGCTATGTGGAGGTCACGGTGAAATACACGCCGTACACAAAGTGAGTGTTTTTGCCGTACATTACTGTTGAATACCGTACATTTCCTGCAGCAACGTTTTTTGTTTTTTGTTGTTTTTTATATCCCGTAATCAGCAGGATGAGTTTGCGATTGGGGTAGGCTTTTTAACCGTGTTTGTGCTATGCAATGCTGTTCGGTGTTGCAGGTGCTTCAGAAAGGGCGTGGATACCCTAGCAGACGTGTCACTTCAGGTATGATGGCGGGTACTTTTGTGCTTCTCGGGCTCATAGGAACAACACGGCGAAACAAAGTACGAGAACAAAGAAGGCACTCGTATGTGCTCCTTTCTACCGGTATATGTTGCTATACCCCCTGCCCCAGCCACCTGCCCTCCCCCCTCCAACAAGTATGACTATAAACATAAAATCCTAGAATCTAGTCAAATGCGGAGTATATATCCCTTATATGCCCCTCCCCCTCAGGTGATGATATTCTCCGCCCTTGTGTTCGGTTGGCTGCTGCTCCTGCTCCTGCTGCCCACCCTGTATCGACTGGTGCTGGAGTTCCCATTTAACATCGTACGACATGGCGTGCGGTGAGAGGAGGGGCGCGTTTGGTTGGGGGCAGGGTAAGGGCAACGGGCTTTTGGACCGCCCAGCGGCTGCCTCTCGTTTTCGATACCGGTACCTCGTAGTATCTCGTAGTACACAGGGTGGGACGAGGCATGTGTCGCCCCCTGTGTGCGCGCGTATGGGTGTCTCTAGCGGAGGGACGCCATCCGTCCCCTTCCGAATGGCAAGTCTGACTGCATCTGAAGAAGCCTCTGACAGTTGCAGCAGCAGCAAGCAGCAGCAGGGTGGTGGGTCAAGCTGTTCACTGACTATCCTTTCTTCCGTCTTTCCCCCACCACCCTTCACCCCCCCGCAGCACCCTGCTCGGCCGCCACGACACCCTCAAACCCCTGGCGCCCGGCCTCAGCTCCCAAAAGAGCTCCAGCATGCGTTGGGGGCGACTGTACGGCAGCACATCATCATCTGCAGCAGCAGGGGGCGGCAAGGGTGGCAGCATGGGAGGTGGTGGTGGTTGTGGGTGGTTTGCTGGAGCGGTTGTGGGGCCGTTGCTGCGGGGTCGCAAGCACCTGCTGTACGCGGTCAGCACCGTACACAGCTCGGATGGGCAGTCGCGGGGGCTGCAGGTGCGTGTGTGTGTTAAGAAAACTGGCCGCGAGTAGGAACGTACTGGGATGTCGGAAGATGAAGTCCCCACAGAACCGCCGCAGTGCGTGTGTGTGTGTATGCGGGAGGGGGTTGAGGGGGGGCTGGGGGGCGGGAGGGCAGCCGTGGAGCCTACATGCAGTGCAGGGGGGCGGCTGTAGGAACATGACAGGCGGGCGGAGGGGGGTGGGGTACATGCACGCCAAGGCACGTGTCAGCAGCGAGTGAGCCCTAGTCCACGACCAAACGAACTACCTCTACTCTCTATGCTTCCTGCTGCTCCATCCCACCCCACCTCACCTCCCCCACCCCACCCCACCTGCACCTGCAGGTGTGCGTCATCAGCAACGTGGCACTGTGTATTGCCATGGCGGTCTACTCGCCCAAGCTTCACCCGCCCCTGGAGCACTTTGTCCCCCCGCTGGCGCTGCAGATCACCAAGGCGGGGTCGGCGCTGGGGGCGCTGCAGTACTTTGGAGATGTGGGTGAATGAGAGCGCGGGGGGGTTGCAGTACTTTGGAGGTGTGGGTGAATGAGAGCGCGGGGGGGTTGCAGTACTTTGGAGGTGTGGGTGAATGAGAGCGCGGGGGGGTTGCAGTACTTTGGAGGTGTAGGTGAATGAGAGCGCGGGGGGGTTGCAGTACTTTGGAGGTGTAGGTGAATGAGAGCCGGGGGGGGGTTGCAGTACTTTGGAGGTGTAGGTGCAGGACGAGCTGGAGGAGGGCGGGTGCAGGACTGGGTCGGGGGAAAGTGATGTTCGCCATGCTATTAGTTGAGGCTAAAGGGGGAGGGGTGGTAGGGAGGGAGAGTTGCTGCTGTGGCTACTACTGGTGGTTCAACCCCCTCACACCCGGGTGTGGAGATTAGCAGTGGGAAAGGGGGCTGAGAACCGCATACCAGCATGGAACGTACTGGCGAGCAGTGCCTCCACACTACAGTACCCCTCCCCCTCCTCGCCTATCCCGTGTATGTTCCCCTCCCCCTCCCGCCTCAGCAACTTATATCATTATCACACCACACTTTGGAATTTCTTTTCCCGCCTCCCCCCTCCCTCCCCAGATCGTGATCTTCTCCTCCCTGATGGGTACCCTGGGCTACCTCTCCCTGCTAGCAAACTACAACACACCCGTTAATCGGTGAGCAGCAGCAGTAGCAGCAGCATCTGTCAGACGGATTCGAAGAACAGGGAAGGACAGAAGTCCCCCGCACTTGCAGCCCAGCATGCATGGCGGTTTGTAGTCAAAGTCCCACCTACAATAGGACACTAAGAGTCTCACCTCCTCTTTCCTCGACTGCCATGCCTTCAGCCACCCGTGATCCCTTCCGCCGTGTCTCAACCGCCCCCTCCCTCTCCACCCCCACCCCCCCGCAGCTACTACCGTGTGCAGTGTGTGCTGTCCGGCTTCTTCACGCTGCTGCAGGACCTGCTCATCCTGCTGCAGCTGGTGTCGCTGCTGGCGCAGTGGGACAATCTGCGGCCCGCCTGGCCCTACCTGCCCATGGTGGTCTTCCAGCTGGCAAACCTGGCGGCAGCGAATGTGCTGCAGGTGGGATGAAGTGGTGGCTTCGGCAGCCGGGATGGCCGTGGTGTTTGGTGGCTTCAGTGGCCGCTACGGTGGATGCGCTGGAGCTGCAGCCACTGTTGTCGGTGTCTCCCAGCCGCCCATGGTCAAGCCGGTTGACAGTGAGCTGACGCATCTGGTAGACATGCATGGCCGCCAGCTGACCAAGGGCCAAATTCGGGGCTGCCGGATTCACAACAGTGTTCCGCAATTGTAATGAGCCTGGTCACAAGTATGCAGACTGCCTGAAGTGATCAGGCGATGACAGGTCACGGTAGGTGGTTGCGCAGGTAACTGAATGGATCCCCACATTCACTTACCTGGGCAACTACCTACCGTTACCTGTCGTCGCCTGATCGCTTCAGGCAGTCTGCTTACTTGTGACCAGGCTCATTACAATTGCGGAACACTGTTGTGAATCCGGCAGCCCTGAATTTGGCCCTTGGTCAGCTGGCGGCCATGCATGTCTACCAGGTACATGTGCCAGCCCACTGTTGTCAGGCCTGACCATGGGCGGCTGGAAGGGGCCAACCTGCTGCGCGTGTCGTTGTTGTTGTTGTTGTTGTGGGGTTTGGATGGAGGCAGGAGGTCATGGGCACGTGGTTGAGATGATGGTGTGTGTGTGCTGTGCTGCAATTGCGAAGCTGCTGTTTGTTGTGGCAGCTGCTGTTGCTACCTACCTACCTACCTACATGTACCCCTGCATTGGACCGCATGCTGGGCTTCGGCCTGCCTGCATGCTTCTATGCATACGCTTGCGTGGACATGCTGATCTCTACCTGCCTCCCTCTAGACCTTTCCTTGCAATTGCTGTCAAATACGTTACCTGCTGACAGGTCATCATCTTCAGCAAGCGACACGAGCAGCACAACCGCAATGTCTACAACGCCTACGTGCAGCACCAGCAGGAGCAGCAGCAGCAGCGGGTGTCTCGGGAGCAGCAGCGGCGGGAGGAGGAAGACGAGGAGGCGGAGGCTGCGGCTGCTGCTGCTGCTGATGATGACAGCCGTCTCAAGACGTATGGTAGTGATAACCATGATGGTGGTGAAGACGACGGTAGTGCCGTGGATAAAGGCAAGGTGTGGCCGCTGGTGGGAGGGACCCGAAGGAGCAGCCGAGATGATGGCGGCAGCAGAGGCAAAAGCAGGAGGGGGCAGCATGAGCGACGCAGCATAGACCACCGGAAGGAGGAAGAGGAGCAGGAGGAGGAGGAAAGCGCTGGCGGGGGTGATGGTGGTGTTGCAGCAGCAGGCGGCAAGCGTCATCAACAGCAGCAGAAAGGGAGGACTCTGTCCGGTGCCGCGCGCCCTGCACCTCCTCCCGCTAGAGGTCCTCGTGGTGGGGAGGGTGATGAGGAGGCTGCGGTTGCGGCACAGAAACCTCGGAGGCGATTGCTAGGCGGTGGTAGTGAAGACAGCGACAACGAGAGAGGGCAGCAGCAGCAGCAGCAGCAGCGGCCTGCCAGGCGTGAGGTGTCCACTCGGCAGGGGCCGCAGCCGCTGGGTGAAGGTCGTGAGGTCGAGCCACATGAAGAGCAGGTACCTGGAGCCAGTGGGACACGGCAGCGGAGGCTGTACAGTGGCAGCAGCAGCGCTGGCAGACCCGCCACTGGGGGCGGCAGCAGCAGGGTTACCGTCGGCCGTGCCAGTCTTTCACGAAATGGTGACGACGAGGACGTGGGCGGTGGTGGTAATGACGACGATACCCCGCCGCCTCAGTATGTGGTCAGGAGGGCGACGTCTCGCAAGGCCGCTGCCACGGAGCAGGCGAACCCACTGTACGACCAGGAGTCCACCGGCTCAGCAGCAGCAGCAGCAAGAGCGGTAGTTGGAACAGCAGCCGCAGCAACAACAAGAGCAGGTGGTGGTGCCATTGGACGGTCCAGCAAGGGCATCACGACTGTGGGCCCCGCCCTTGTCATTGTGAATGCGCACCCTGCCAAGCGGGGAACTACTGGTAGCTATCGGGGCAGCGATGCGGAGGACGACAGTGACAGTGAGGGAGGCAGCAGCAGCAGTGGTAGCGACGGTGATGACGGCAGCAGCAGCCGGAGGGGGAGGAGGAGCAGTGACCGGCGGGGTGGGCATGGAGGCGGTGGAGGAGAGACGGAGGGTCAGGCAGGCGGCGGGCTGAAGGCGGCGCTGATGAAGGGGCCCATGCGGCTGTGGAAGGGGCTGCGGGAGGTGCCGGGGTTCAGGTAAGCGTTGTGGGATACGTTGGTAAATGACATGCATGCATGCATGTGTAGTTGGGTGTAGGGAGGCGAGTTGGATGCATGTCTCCATGGCCCTCTCCATGCTGCTGTATGCGTTCATGCTCTGCCCTGCCCTCTCCATGTGCGCATGCCTCCATGCGTTTCGTCGCCCTCGCTGACTCCCCTCCCCCCTCCCCAGGTACCCCGCCTGGCTGCTTGCGGCGCTGCTGGTATCGGCCTACATGGTCATCTTCCACTACGCCCGCGCACTGGTTTGGTCGGACTCCATGGCCGACTGCATCCTGGACCCCCTGCAGTGCGCAAACAACGTGATGGGACGGTGAGGTGGGGGGGAAGTGAAGGCGGGGGATGAGATGGGAGGTGAAGGGGCGAGAAAAGGCTGTTGCTGAGGGGGCACGAAATGTTTTTGCTCCTGCTACTGCTCCCTTTGCCGCTTCCCTGGCACCCTGCCCGTTCTTATGGAATTCATTCGAGCCCCTTTTCATGCTCCCCCTTCCTTTCCCCCTTCTTCCCCCCCTTCCTTCCTCCCCCGCTCTCCTGCTCCGCAGCTACTTCAAGTTCGCTGCGCGCGTCTTCAGTCGCTCGCAGCAGTCCAGTCTGCGGGACTCGCTGGACCTGGTGCTGGCCACACAGGACCCGCTCATGCAGGTACCGTAGAGGGGGTGGTGGGTGTGTAGGGTGTGTAGTAGGGTGTGTGTTGGGAAAAGCTGGCCGTGAGTCGGAAAGTGCGAGTGTGTGTGTGCGAGGGGGGGGGGTCATGCATGCCCATGCATGTGGGAGGAAGGGAGTGACCCATGGGTCTGCCTGTCGAACCCCACACATGGGACGGAATGACTGATGACTGTCTGACCCGGCACTGCTATCGGCACTGTTGGGTACGTATGCCCTCTCTCCCCACTGCCCACTGCACTCCCCATCATATCTCCCACTCCTTCCTTCCTACTTCTTTCTCCGTACTCCTTCCCCCGCTCAATCCGCCCCGCCTTCCCCCCTCCCGCAGCTCGTGCGAGACTCCTTCAGTTCCAACGGCACGGGCGGGGCAGTCAGCGGTCAGCTGGGCGACCTGGTGGCGCAGCTGAACCCGCTGGGGATGCTGGACCAGATGGCGGTGAGGAGGGGGGCAGGGTAGGGGAGCGGGAGGGCGGTGAGGAGGTGTTAAGAGGAAGGAGGATCGGACTAGCTGTGACGCCTGTGAGGGGAGGGGACTTTGAGGGGTTGAAAGAGGAGGGTAGGTCCCTCTTTAGGGAAGAGGGCTGTAAGGACGGGCGGATGCTTGTTGCTGTTGCATGATGCCGCTGCCGGCCTTAAAAGAGGTTTCTGCTTGTTAGAGGCTCCTAACGACACGGCGAGTGGGATGTACGGTGCCCAGTGCACTCTCAGTGACACAGCTGTACATCCTCCTCCTCTACACCGCCCCAACCTCCTCCTCCTCCGCCTCCTCCGCCCCCTCAACCCCCCCCACCCCCACCAGGCCGACCTCACCTCCAACCTCAACTCCACAGTCGACACACTGGTGGGCGCAGCGCTCTCCTCCGCACTGGCTCAGGCGCTGGCGGGGGCGGGGCTGCCGGGGGTGGACAACGACACGCTGGCGGCGCTGGTGGCAGCGGTGACACCCAGTGAGCGGGGGGAGGGGGGTGGCACTCAGTGAGCGGGGGGAGGGGGGGTGACACCCAGTGAGGGGGGATATGGGCGGTGTGGACGTGGGGTGCGGGGTTTGTAAGGGGTAACCCGACTGAGCCGAGGTGGATCACTGACATTGGGTAGGGGTCAAAGAAATACCAAGACAAAGGGAATACCGGTAGAAGGCGGCAGGGAGCGGCCCGGCCGCTGGCGCATGGTGGGCTGGGCGGGTGGCGTGGGGCGCTGCTGGCAGCGAACACGGCAGGGCAGCGGGTAGCTGAGGACGAGCCCCATCACCTCCTCCGCACCTCCTCCGTACCTCCTCCTCCTCTTCCTCCCCTTTACCTTCCTACCCATCCGCTATCCCCACATCCCCCACCCCTGAACCCCTGTCCCCCTGCCCCAATAGGCCTCAACAACGCCGTCCAACAGGGTGTCAACTCCGCGCTAGCTCAGGTGGAGGCGCAGGTGAACAGCACCGCCTACCTGCTGCCCTCCCTGGTCTCCCAACAGCTCACACAGCAGAGCCGCGGCTTCAGGACCATCAACCAGACACTGAGTGTGGTGTACGGAGCGGTCAACGTTTCGTCAACGTTCCTGTCCAAGGCCATCAAAGTGGAGGGAGAGGTGAGAAGTGTCCAGGGGAACGAGAAGGAAAAGAAATGAAGCCTGGTGCATGGATGTGCTGGCTATCACGATGCGTCTGTGGTGATGCATGGGCGAGTAGGCTGCCAGCAGTATGCAGCGTGGAACGTACCAAGCTAGCCACAGCAGAACATGGAACACACCTTTTTACGTCCTGTCCCACCCTCTCTATCTCCTTCCCTCCGCAGGTGGCGGTGTGGCAGGACGGGTTGTACTCGCGGTTCAAGTGGACCTCCGTGCTGGGCTTCACGTTGGGGCTGTTCCTGGGGCTATCCACACTGGTGCAGGTGGGGCGGGGGTGCGGTATGTGGGTGGGTCAAAGACCATACGGTATGTGGGTGGGGGGGGGGGGGTACTGCCAGTAATGCGAGCAGTCCTAACCCACTCATGTCCCTTCCCCCTCCTCTCCTCCCATCTGCCCCCCCTCCAGACCGCCGCCTCCTTCCGGCGAGCCGTTCGTCGCTCCCTTAAGGACCGAGTAGCCCGCCGCATCTTCAAGCGCCTCTACCAGCGGGGCGGGGGGGCAGGAGGAGGAGGGGACGGCGAGGAGGGGGAGGAGGGGCTGCCGCAGCTGCTGGTGGGCGGCAGGAAGAGCGCGGCGCAGCAGCAGCGCATCTCCCTGGTGGTGTTCTTCTTCGGAGTGCTCATGAGCACGGCTGTCATCCAGCTCTACATGGTAAGGGGGGTAAAGATGAGACTGACGACCTGACATGGAAAGGGGGGGTGGGGACTTGCCAGGCGCCAGGGTAACCCCTGTGTTACCCCAAGGCTGGCTGCACCTTGGGGTTGCGACATGGGTGCTGAACATGGGGGCGGCGGGGAGCGGGGGGGGTGTTGTTTTTCTTTCTCTTCCTGACCCCACTTCCATCCTATCACTTCCTCTCCCTCCGCCTCCCGCCCTCTCCTCCCTCCTCGCTCCCTCCCAAGCCGGTGGTTCTGGTATACCTTTGACCCTCCCCGCTCCCCCCCACACACATTGGTTATTCTCCCCCCCGCCAGGTGGGTGTCGTGCTCAGCGTCTTCCTCGCCTTCATCACGCACTCCTGGACCTGGGGATTCCTCATGCCCAAGTACTGGCTCTACCTCCTCGCCGTCGTACTCGTAGTCGTACTCAACAAATTCATCCTGATTGGCTACCTGGGCAACGCCTTCCTGTCGGACGGCGACCACATCCACCGCCCGGCCGCCTGGCTTGCCTTCATGACCATCATGTCCATCACCAACCTGGTGATCGGGCTGCTGCTGGCGGTGTACCGCATCGTGCTGTTGCTGCTGACCACCGTGTTCGCGCTGGGCAAGCTGGAGGTGAGACATACAGTGCAAGATGGAAGACGTGGAAGATGGAGGACGTGGGGATTATGTGTGGAGGGTGCGTGATGTGGGGTGCGATTTGTTTTGGGGGGGGATGAGTGCTTTTGTGCTGATCACCAACCCCTCCTGCTGTTTCCTACCCTGTGTCCCCCTCTGTGCCCCCCCCCTTCAGGTGACCATCTTCACCTTCTTCTCCTTCCTGGACCTGCCGCACAACAGCTTCCTAGCGGGGCTGCACCTGCACGTAAGAGCAGCTGCGAGCTAGCCAGGGGTGAAGGGCGGAGAGAGAAATGAATTTTGCCCGAATGCATGCTGCTCTATTCATGGGCCGGAGGCGGAGAAGCAATGGGAGGCTCTCACGTGTATTGAGAGTGGGCAGAGTTCGGGATCGGGTCCCGGCAACGGGTAACTGCCAAGCGTCGTTAATGCCTTGACCTGTTGTTGTCGTTTGCTTGTCCCAACTGTTACCTTTCTTGCCACACGCCCTCACTCCCTAATCACTTCTCCCCTCCCGCCACCTCACTCCCTAATCACTTCTCCCCTCCCGCCACCTCACTCCCTAATCACTTCTCCCCTCCCGCCACCTCACGCCCGCAGGAGTCCATGTCCAATTTCCACGACCCCATCTACCTGCCCGGACCCCGCGGTGCCGCTCACCGCCGCTGGCGCAAACTGCGGCACACGGTGCGAACGTGCTGAACCTCCCGCCTGCCCCGCATGCCTGCCTGCCTGCCTGCATGTATTGTCCACCTGCATGCATGCATTGTTTGCTGGCTTGCTTCCCACCTACTGTAGCTCATGGGCAGGAACGGAGAGGCGTGTGTAAAGTGCACTTCGCGCACCCCCTGTGTGCGCAGGTGCGGAGCATGCCGGCGGAGAAGCTTCGGCTGCTGGCCACCTTGGGTGAGTGTTTGTGGGCCCTCCGAGTCCCGGTTTGCATTTCAAACAACGTTCCTGCCAGGTCCCTGCAGCACCGATCCCACCTTTCTCTCTTCAGCCCCGTTACAGCCTGTACCTGTGTCAAGCTTCCTCACTCACACAGGCAGAACGGTAACCGCACTTGTACGGCGCTGTGCTGTGTACGGCGGCCCATCACTCATGTCGTACTGTCGTACTTGTCACCCATGTCGTACACCCACAACCCACCCCGCAGGTCGGCCCAAGGAGGTGCAGGCGTGTCTTGACCACGTGGTAGTGGACATGCAGGCGGCGCGGGTGCGGGCTGAGGGAGGAGGTGGGGGCGGGGGTGGGGGAGCAGGAGGAGGAGCAGGTGCAGGAGGAGGAGCAGGTGCAGGAGGAGGAGGAGCTGTAGCCATTGGTGGTGCGGGTCGTGTTGGCAGCAGCGCACTTAAAAAGAGCAGCGGCACCAGCAGCACTTGCACTGCCGCAAACATGGCACCACCGCTAGAGAAGGCCAGCAGGGGTGCAGGAGAGGTGGGGGAGCGGCAGAGTCGGGGCAGCGCTGGCAGCAGCAGGATGAGCGGGGGAGCGGCGGGGCGGGGTGGTGAGGGTGGAGGTGAGGGTGAAGGAGCGAGGAGGAAGCAGCAGCAGCGGGGGAGAGATGCTGCCCGTAGGCGGAGTGGAGGAGAGGACGAGGAGGCGGATGAGGAGGAGCAGGAGTACAGGGAGGAGGAGCAGCGTAGGAGGAGGCGGCAGGAGCAGCAGCCGCAGCAGCAGCGAGCAGGGGGTCAGCGGCCGCAGCGGCGGCTAATGGATTGATGATGATAAGTTGTGAGGGCGATGGGGCAGAGGTTCTATACGGCGTGATTAGTTTAACGCTTGCTGAATGTCGGGGAATGAACGGGTTCCAGCCAGAGGGTAGGTGCTCGCGTGTGAACCCCCCGCGCGCGGTGGAGGGTTCTTGGCTATCGGCATCATCACTGACCCGCGTAACTGTGGTTTCTTAATGGCGGCACTGAGAACTTCTGGAGGTAAGACCTGTAGGCGCGGTTTCCGCATGCAAGCAGATTTATGCTTCGACACATTTTTGGCGCTGTCACGTCTTCGAGGTTATACGTGATTGGATGCGTGTGCACGTGCGCGTGTGCACAACGCTGTGCGTGGCGTGTGAAAAACTGGAAGTCGGCATGGTGCTGCTGCTGCTGTTGATTGGCTCGTGCGTGAATCCTTGTGTTCGACATATGTGCATGTGCAGTGATAGGTTCACATGTGGTGTGCAGTGATAGGTTGACAAGTGATGTGCTGTGATAGGTGTTAGCACTGTTGTGCAGCGTGGCTCGAGTATTACCAGTATGTGATGGTGGGATGATTGCCTTGGGGAGTTCGTACCATTATCGTACCTTCGTATCGTACTTTCGATGTGGTATACGAGGTAGAAAGAGAGCAGATAGAGCTCGTCCTACTCGTCCCGTAACACGTGTACATTGTTCGCCGAACTGTATGCGATGTGTGCTTTGCTAATGCCAGCAACTCGTCTAGCGGACACAAATGTCCAGGTTCCTGTGAACTGTCAGGTTACTGTGTCATCTCGCAACATGGGAGGCCTTTTGGGTTAGACGGCCTCCAAACGTCTCAGCAACAGGGCCCACATGTTGGTTGCCTTAGGGGTGTGTGGCTGCGGGTGTGGCGTGTATCTTGGTTGTGTATCAGACATCCTCATAAACCTGGTTAGTGTTGAAGAGGTGTCCTTGTCAGGGCCAATGGTGGCCGTTGACCTAACAGTGCGGCCTTGGCGCCTCACACCCTAGACGGCATCCAGCCCTGACATCCTGTAGTGGTCCTGACTGAGCGTTTAACGGAAAGGTGGTACTGGTTGGTTGAAGGCCGGAACGGCAAGAGACACATGTCGATGTGCATTGTATTGTGTATGTCAAGACGTATAAACCGAGTCAAGACTGCTTTGAGCCAATCCCGTGTTGCAGCCAGCAGCAGTCCCCAGCATGCACTCCCCCAGTATGCCTTTTGTCGGTGTACAGGAGCTGAATCCAAAATATGATCGGATGGTCGTGGATTTCACCCCTCGTACGGCAGCACGTGATGTCAACGTGAGCCATCACACTCACAGGGGAAACCAGCCCTGGGAGGAGGCTAGGTAGCGAGACGCAGCATGCATTTTGGCCTGCCTCTCGGCCCAGCACCATGAGCCTGCACTCCACACTTCCAACGTATCTACGCCAGGCGGCCAGGGGACCCTGTGTAACACGCGCCTTCCTTTTAAGGCAGGGGCGAGGGTCTTAAGGTGGCAGGGGCGATCGTCTTAAGGTGGCAGGGGCGAGGGTCTTGCAGTGGCAGGGGCTAGGGTATTGCAATGGAAGGGGCTAGGGTATTAAGGTGGCATGGGCGGGGTAATGAGGTGGATGGGGCAAGGGTCTTAAGATGGCAGGGGCGAGGGTGCTCGGTCGGCGGGTGCTCGGTCGGCGGGTGCTCGGTCGGCGGGTGCTCGGTCGGCGCGTGCTCGGTCGGCGGGTGCTAGGTCGGCGGGTGCTAGGTGGGCGGGTGCTAGGTGGGCGGGTGCTAGGTGGGCGGGTGCTAGGTGGGCGGGTGCTAGGTCGGCGGGTGCTAGGTCGGCGGGTGCTAGGTCGGCGGGTGCTAGGTCGGCGGGTGCTAGGTCGGCGGGTGCTAGGTCGGCGGGTGCTAGGTCGGCGGGTGCTAGGTCGGCGGGTGCTGGGTCGGCGGGTGCTAGGTCGGCGGGTGCTGGGTCGGCGGGTGCTGGGTCGGCGGGTGCTAGGTCGGCGGGTGCTAGGTCGGCGGGTGCTAGGTCGGCGGGTGCTAGGTCGGCGGGTGCTAGGTCGGCGGGTGCTAGGTCGGCGGGTGCTAGGTCGGCGGGTGCTAGGGTCGGCGGGTGCTAGGTCGGCGGGTGCTAGGTCGGCGGGTGCTAGGTCGGCGGGTGCTAGGTCGGCGGGTGCTAGGTCGGCGGGTGCTAGGTCGGGCGGGTGCTAGGTCGGCGGGTGCTAGGTCGGCGGGTGCTAGGTCGGCGGGTGCTAGGTCGGCGGGCGCTAGGTCGGCGGGCGCTAGGTCGGCGGGCGCTAGGTCGGCGGGCGCTAGGTCGGCGGGCGCTAGGTCGGCGGGCGCTAGGTCGGCGGGCGCTAGGTCGGCGGGCGCTAGGTCGGCGGGCGCTAGGTCGGCGGGTGCTAGGTCGGCGGGTGCTAGGTCGGCGGGTGCTAGGTCGGCGGGTGCTAGGTCGGCGGGTGCTAGGTCGGCGGGTGCTAGGTCGGCGGGTGCTAGGTCGGCGGGTGCTAGGTCGGCGGGTGCTAGGTCGGCGGGTGCTAGGTCGGCGGGTGCTAGGTCGGCGGGTGCTAGGTCGGCGGGTGCTAGGTCGGCGGGTGCTAGGTCGGCGGGTGCTAGGTCGGCGGGTGCTAGGTCGGCGGGTGCTAGGTCGGCGGGTGCTAGGTCGGCGGGTGCTAGGTCGGCGGGTGCTAGGTCGGCGGGTGCTAGGTCGGCGGGTGCTAGGTCGGCGGGTGCTAGGTCGGCGGGTGCTAGGTCGGCGGGTGCTAGGTCGGCGGGTGCTAGGTCGGCGCGTGCTAGGTCGGCGGGTGCTAGGTCGGCGGGTGCTAGGTCGGCGGGTGCTAGGTCGGCGGGTGCTGGGTCGGCGGGTGCTGGGTCGGCGGGTGCTGGGTCGGCGGGTGCTGGGTCGGCGGGTGCTAGGTCGGCGGGTGCTAGGTCGGCGGGTGCTAGGTCGGCGGGTGCTAGGTCGGCGGGTGCTAGGTCGGCGGGTGCTAGGTCGGCGGGTGCTAGGTCGGCGGGTGCTGGGTCGGCGGGTGCTGGGTCGGCGGGTGCTGGGTCGGCGGGTGCTGGGTCGGCGGGTGCTGGGTCGGCGGGTGCTGGGTCGGCGGGTGCTGGGTCGGCGGGTGCTGGGTCGGCGGGTGCTAGGTCGGCGGGTGCTGGGTCGGCGGGTGCTGGGTCGGCGGGTGCTGGGTCGGCGGGTGCTAGGTCGGCGGGTGCTAGGTCGGCGGGTGCTAGGTCGGCGGGTGCTGGGTCGGCGGGTGCTGGGTCGGCGGGTGCTAGGTGGGCGGGTGCTAGGTGGGCGGGTGCTAGGTGGGCGGGTGCTAGGTCGGCGGGTGCTAGGTCGGCGGGTGCTAGGTCGGCGGGTGCTGGGTCGGCGGGTGCTGGGTCGGCGGGTGCTGGGTCGGCGGGTGCTGGGTCGGCGGGTGCTGGGTCGGTGGGATGCTGGGTCGGCGGGTGCTAGGTCGGCGGGTGCTAGGTCGGCGGGTGCTAGGTCGGCGGGTGCTAGGTCGGCGGGCGCTAGGTCGGTGGGATGCTGGGTAGGCGGGAGCTAGGTCGGTGGGTGCTAGCTCGGTGGGTGATAGGTCGGCGGTTGCTAGGTCGGCGGGTGCTAGGTCGGCGGGCGCTAGGTCGGCGGGCGCTAGGTCGGTGGGATGCTGGGTAGGCGGGAGCTAGGTCGGTGGGTGCTAGGTCGGTGGGTGATAGGTCGGTGGGTGCTAGGTCGGCGGGTGTTAGGTCGGCGGGTGCTAGGTCGGCGGGTGCTAGGTCGGCGGGTGCTAGGTCAGCGGGTGCTAGGTCGGCGGGGGCTAGGTCGGTGGGATGCTGGGTCGGCGGGTGTTAGGTCGGCGGGTGCTAGGTCGGCGGGTGCTAGGTCGGCGGGTGCTAGGTTGGCGGGTGCTAGGTTGGCGGGTGCTAGGTCGGCGGGTGCTAGGTCGGCGGGTGCTAGGTCGGCGGGTGCTAGGTCGGCGGGTGCTAGGTTGGTGCAGTGGCAGGGGCGAGGGTCTTGCAGTGACAGGGGGGAGGGTCTTGCAGTGGCAGGGGCAAGGGTGTGAAGGTGGCAGGGGCGAGGGTCTTAAGGTGGCAGAGGCGAGGCGCGGGTATTGTAGGTGGCAGGGGCGAGTGTATTGAGACGGCAGGGGCGAGGTTGGGGAGGTGGCAGGGGCGAGGGTATTGTAGATGGCATGGGCGAGGGTATTGAGGTGGCAGGGGCGATGGTACTGTAGGTGGCAGGGGCGAGGGTATTCAGGTGGCAGGGGCGAGCGTATTGAGACGGCAGGGGCGAGGTTAGGGAGGTGACAGGGGCGAGGTTAGGGAGGTGGCAGGGGCGAGGGTATTGTATTTGGCAGGGGCGAGGGTATTGAGGTGGCAGGGGCGATGGTACTGTAGGTGGCAGGGGCGAGGGTCATAAGGTGGCAGGGGCGAGGGTATTGTAGGTGGCATGGGCGAGGGTATTGTAGTGGCAGGGGCGAGTGTATTGAGACGGCAGGGGCGAGGTTAGGGAGGTCTGAGGTAGCAGGGCCGAGGGTAT